TGTCAGTATATCGATAAATAATCACTGCGCATGAGCAGAATAAGTCAAATTTGATCATATTTATGTTGTTATATTTTATCTATCTAAGAGAAAACGTCCGTACGAAAACACATTTTGAAATAATACTCTGCGTAATTGCGTACAGGTCGTGCGTAATTCCTTACCGCCTTGTGCGTAATTTCGAAAATTGGCAGGCACAGTTTTATTTTAGTTCATATAATTCTGGACTTTTTAAAAACAATGCTCATATTATCTCTGCTTATTTTAAAAGGGGGATCCAAATATTTCGGATTAACCGTGCAGTCAATTCAGTAGTAATAAAGGCCGTGTCTAAACATATCTGATTTAATATATCAGCATGTGACAGGCCATAGCCTCAAGTCTTTCCTGCACATAAAATGCTGTCTATTTTGACTTTTCTCCTAATGGTGTTAACCATGAAGACTAAGGACCCCCCTGGCAAATTGTCAAATACAGACTGACTTTAACCTTATTTAGAATTTGTTCAAAGATAGATACACCACTTTACGGTTTAGTGTTTTCAGTGTGAAGTGCTGCCAGGTTTTTCCAGGACATCTAAACAAACCTGTGCAGGAGATGGAGCGAGTGGTCTCTAAAGGAGGATGACATGTGAAAAAATCATTTAATACTCATAATAAAAATTTCTAACACATTGTTGTGAAAGCTTTATGTCTTGTGGTTTAAAGAGAAATGCACTCTGGAGATTGCTCTAAATGTAACAGCAACACACGTCCTTATCTTGTAAGCTATTGTTGCCACCACAAGCGCTTCACGCGTGGTGTGTTCATTGAGACCTTAGTAAAAGAAAAACAAGGCTCTTTAGTGTTGCTTGAAACTGTTCGCAGCTCATACAACCAAGTTTAACTGCCCGACTTACATCCAATTAAACTTATCTAGGCCATGAGGGGACAGTAATATGATTACACAGGCTACCCACATTTAGCCTTGACTTCAGCTAACTGTGCAGTAGTGTGTCCTGGTGAACTGCGCCCATTGTGTGTGTGTGTGTGTGTGTGTGTGTGTGTGTGTGTGTGTGTGTGTGTGTGTGTGTGTGTGTGTGTGTGTGTGTGTGTGTGTGTGTGTGTGTGTGTGTGATGCTGGCATAGGATTTATCGACTTTAGAGCCAAACACTCTGCAATATTTAGGAGCGTCATTTTTGAACTGAGAGTTCTTCTTAACAAGAGGGTGACACCTAGGTTAACCATTGTAATTATGGCGCTAGGTAGCAATACATAACTTAAATTCCACAGACACAGTCGTAAAGTTTGTGCTCCAACGGTGATATTTAAGCAGAGAATGGCCAATGTTTACAACACCTTCTCTCTGGGGCACGCAACAGAAAATTTTGGCTACTACTTCAAATATCTGTCTTATCTTTTTCACGTGTTGTTCATCTAGCTCAAGAATTAGTGAGAGAAAGTAATCACGGGATTGGTAACTCGGATACAGAACCCTTTGCGTGCAAAACTCTGCATATCCCTTGCCTGCTCATTTGGTGCAACCAAATCAAACTTTGCTGGGTCCTACTGCTAGCAGAATATCAGCTGCTGTGAGTCGTCCATGCAAGAGAGATCAACACATGTGAAATGTTTTTCTTTGACTGATGGTCTGAGTGCACCCAGGCGAGAATAGCCAGTGTTCAAACCATCGAAAGGTGGATATGACTAAATACTGCGCTTTAGATGTTCATATCATGTCATGTTGTGACACATTCTGTGTCTTGAACGCAGCCAGGAGTGTTGTTTCCCATCCGTTTAAACACTTTAATTCATCTTGTGTTGCTGTGTAGTTTGTTAAATTCCTCTTTCGCAAACTTCACTTGATCAGCAACCCTAACTTTTGAATTTTATTGGTGCATCACTTATTCATACCCTCGCATTACTTATTTATATCGCGCTAATACGCATCAGTGAAATAATTATGATGAGGAAATGATTTGACAATAATGTTTTGGACTGTCTGCTGTTGATCTGTTTTTGCTTGGGGAAAGAAAAGTTTGTGGTTTTTAACTTATTGCCAAACAGTTTTTTTTTATTTCCACAGTTGGGTTGTCGGGTGATGTTGACATGTAAATATAATTTTAAATGCGGTATTTCAGGACATTTATTGAAGGCCAATTAGCATGGCAGCTCTTCGCAGTTTTTTTTTCAACTTGAGTTTGCGCCACTCTCATGAACTTTTGATTTTTACAGTGCGCTGTATATTCTACAGTTTGAAAGTAGTCAGTGACAGGGTTGATGTGCGGATTATCATCATTGTTAGGAAAAACTACACAACACCAGTGGAGCAGCATGTGTCGAGCATGTGTCCATACAGGCCACAGGCCAGCGTGTTTACACAAATATTTCCAAAGCTGTCGTTGTTCTTATTCCAAAAATCACAGCAGTAGCTGCACTTTATGACGCATAAATACACTTTTATATTCTTTTATTTTTAGTTTTTTGCGACATTAACGAGCAATCTTATTTGGATTAAATTAGATCAATATGTTAGTATGACAAACATCTAAATAAATAGTATTTTGTGCTTTCAGTCTTTTTGATTTGGGCCTGAAATGTTGAATTTGTGGCAGGATGAATCAAGTTGCTGATGCTTCCTGCGTAAAGGTGCATTTTCGCTTTTCTCTTATTTTTTTTTTAAGTTGCAGAATATCTAGTAGTTAAAAATCCAAATTCTTCTCATTCTCCACCTTTATGGCTTTCAATAGAACAAAGGGATTTAGCGTTACTACAGCCATTCGGAGTTTTATGGTGGACGAGGAGAGGATTTTAGTGGTCAAATTCAAGTGCTGTGTCTGGACAGCTGTCTGCTTTCTTTGTACTTGGATGCAGGATGCATCATGTGAGACAACCTTTTGTCTGTACGAGTAGTAAACAAGCTAATGCCAATGCCACTTTTTCCACCAACACCCCTGCAGAAGACTCTCATTTCCGAAGAAGAAGAAGAAGAACTCTGATTACGTTTCTTTTTTTCTTTTTTTTTTTTTTGTCCTCATCGTTTGAAACCACAGGACACTCACTTTGTTTTCAATTATTTTCCAACTACGCAGGTGTCCCATGTGTGGTTGTAATAGAATGATGGTGTTATTGGAATATTGGATAATAATTCAAGAGTCTTTTGCAACATTTAGGAAGTAGCCCATAATAATAAACAATGGACCATCATATTAATTTCACCTTGTGATAGTAACAGTTAGTCTATAAAGATTCCAAGATGGCCCTCAACAGGACAATTAAAAGTTTACAATGACGCAAGAAGGAGCACGCAGGCGCGTCTTTTCTTCAAACCAGGCATTTATTTCAGTTTATTGAGAACAAAAAACTCCGGAGGATATGTCTCTGTTTTTAACAGTCACACGTTGGAAGGTGTCGACAATCCGCTGGAAAAATAAAATGATCATAGCAGCTTGAAATATCAACAGGGACTTATTTTATTTTAGAGGGAAACGTCGGAAACATTCATGCAGCCTGGTCAATAAGCCCACTCTGAGTGGCCAATAAGCAGCCGTTTACAAGAACTCTAATTGTTCCTCTGCTTTGGAGCTCAGAGGGAAAAGCTGCAACCTAAAACATTTAATTTGATCAAGTGAAGTGAGTCCAATGAGACATTATATCGCCTCTGTATTCTTAGGCTAAGAAGATGACTGTTGCGGCAGTGTTATGGGCGCTGTTGCCAATATTTTCTCCTACGTGAAATACTGCTGATCCCAGCTTTTGGAAGGAAGTGATCTCTGTATTATTATTATTTTTATTTCTGAGTTTGTGGTTATGTTTCCAGGGCACAGTTTCGCTCGGGGGGAGATGTAGGATCCAGGGCTTCGGTGGTAGTACTCCTCTCGGAACTCCAGGAACTTGAATTGCGCAGTTTGTCCTCCACTCTGTCATGATCCAAAGTCAAAGGGAAGAATGAAAATGGACCGATTACAAACCAGCATGCATACCGTGTATATCCTGCCTTGTTCAAATTCATTATACTGCAAACATGCACACTCTACATATGTCAAAGTTTTTCCTTCTGTTGAGAACGAAAAATCAAATGAATCTGTTGTCTATTTTAGATAGGAGTCAGAATCTCCCTCCTCACCTCTGTGAAACACAGCTATGTGCGTTAGAGTCGTTTATCCACCATTAAGAAAAAATAAAAGGGATCATAACAAATACTATAACCCTTATCAAACGATCTCCTGCATATTCACAGACCACTGTGTAAAACTGTCCTGAGGCGGCTTACAGATTTGTCACCGTGATTTGTTAACTTTTTTTAAACACTGAATCGTGGATGAGGCTCGTGAAATAGCTTTTTAAGGACTTTATGTTTTATTTGGGTTTCATTTACAGCGATTAATGACGTATAGGGCTTTCTTAATGCAGATTTAATACTGTGTGAAACTGTCTGTGATGATAATCCCTCATTACGTGAGAATTAAAATGTTGAAGAATATCAATAGATAGTACTATGTAGTGCAGAGGGCTGGTGTTTATCATTTAATATCAGTATCATTAATAATAATGTTAATAATATCAATAATAATAATAATTGTAATACTCTTACCTGTGAATCTTCATAACCCTAGTAAATGCATGTGAGGGAGTGCAGTGTGCAGTTAGTGCTGTGCCTGTTTAAGGAACTGTAGCAGTTGAGCTAGCCTAGCAGCAGCAGCCCATAAACAAAAACACACACAGCACATATCTCTCTAATTGTCATAAGGCAGCGAACAGGAATCTGTTACTGCTTTTCTTAGTGCGTCTGTGGTGTTTGGAAAATTATTCGTTTGAACCGCGCAGATCTTACCTAAAGCCAACCACTCCTACACATCCAACTCTTCCAAATTGATATATGACAATATCTACTTTCGATCACGTGTCTGCGGGGCGACTTAGACGGATTGCGCGTCATCTCGCCTTCCCAAATTTTTCCCTTCTGCTGCAGCTCGTATCCAAAACATCTATCTATAGTGCGGAGTACGAGAGAGAGAAAGATGTTTAACTCGGTGAATCTGGGCAACTTCTGCTCCCAGACGCGCAAAGACCGGACATCCGAGTTTGGGGACAGGACGGGCTGCGCGTCCAACATCTACCTCCCCAGCTGCACCTACTACGTCCCCGAGTTTTCTGCCGTTTCCTCGTTCCTTCCGCAGGCCCCGTCCCGGCAAATCAGCTATCCTTATTCCACAAATCTCTCTCAAGTACCGCAAGTACGGGAAGTTTCCTACGGCTTGGACCCTGCTAGTAAATGGCACAGAAGCAATTATGCATCGTGCTACTCGGGAGAGGATCTGGTGCATAGAGACTGTCTACCACCATCCACCATGACAGAAATGCTCATGAAGAACGAGAGTGTGTACAGCCACCACCATCACCATCACACCCACCCGGGCTCCAATCACCCCTCCACAGGTTTTTACTCCGGCGTGGGGAAAAACAACGTCCTCCCGCAAGGTTTCGACCGCTTTTTCGAGACGGCGTACTGCAGCAGCACGGACAATCAGTCAGACAATTGTTTACAAAAGGGCGAGGGGGGAAAGCTGGAAAGCGACTCCCAGCAGCAGCAACAACAGCAACCCACAGCTTCGGTACCCGGAGCTCCGGAGCAGGAAAAAGACCCAGAGGATGAGGAGGAACATACAAATTCGGGCTCGTGTACTTCTTCCTCCGCAACAACCAAGGACGGCACCGCCAGCAAGAGCAGCCACTCCAGTAGGTATACCGAGCTGTAAAATGGGGGAAGGTTAAGGGGACTAGCCCGGTGTTTTGTCGGTCAGATTTTATGTGGAGTTTTATAAGCATTCAAAGGATTTTATTATAACCCTACAAAGCTCTTTCTTGCAACGAGAAGAATTTTTACGATGGGAAAGCGCTTTGAAAAAAGGGGGATGTTATACACAGACGCCTCTATGGTGAGAGTCTGTGAAATTTTTAAGAGAGAGCTATTGTGACAAATGTTAACTTTGATCATGAACTTGCGTTGGGCATTTTAAGGGATTTTCTCGTTGCGCTGTCGAGAGTAAAAACCAATTGGGCAGAACATTGCTTTTGGCGTCTTGTGAATTTTCTTTTTAGCACAGGAAAAAAAGACGAGCTCCGAGTATTAGAGAATTTACGGTTAAACGCATCTATCTATCTATCTATCTATCTATCTATCTATCTATCTATCTATCTATCTATCTATCTATCTATCTATCTATCTATCTATCTATCTATCTATCTAATGTTATAAATGAATGAAGGGGGGAAGGATTTTGCCTCCATATATAGGAAGAATAAATAGGATACAAATGATGCCATTTCTTTATAGGCTATATGCTCAATCCATTTAGCTTGCCTTTAGCATCCCATACCATTACCTGTGATTTGTATGCATGCAAATAAGCATAGCTGTTATCTTTATTTACTCTACAGGTAGGAAAATTATAATTTTTGTTTAATGCTAATATTACTCAGCTTCTATGTATGTAAAGCCTCGAGCTTATTGGCCCAGACTGGCTGTAGATACAAGCTAACTGAGGCTGGAGTTTGCCTCTTTTCTTAAGGAGAAAAAAATAAACAATAAAAAAATCCCCAGTCACCTGTTTGATAAGAGGTTACAGGGCCACGGAGGTCTGCAAAGGCCAGTCTTTTAAACACGGTCAACGCATTTCAAGTCAGTGCCAGAAGATTGTGTAAATAGTTAGTTTAGCTCCAGGGGAATGTGTTGCACATAATGCGCTGAAATACTTCTGTTGTTGTATATTTATAACAGATAAACACGTACTTAGAGGCTGTAAGTTGATATTATTTCCATGCAAGCGATTCGGATATTTAACACTCTTTATGGCCGGTTTATCTGATAGCCTCAGCCACTTTGCCTGATGAATGCTGTCTGAAATGTTTTCATTACTAACGCCACTGAAACGGAATTCTTTGCATATTGCAAGTCTGAGAGCTTGACTTAATTTTCTCTTATTTTCCCACTTATGTAATTACTTTTAATCATGTGACGCTGTTATCTCCTCTGGTTTTACTCCTAATTCTTTCATTTAATTCTCCTCCATGCAGGCACTCCTCGTACAAGGAAGAAGCGGTGTCCATATTCCAAGTTTCAGATCCGAGAGCTGGAGCGAGAATTCTTCTTTAACGTTTACATCAACAAAGAGAAAAGGCTGCAGCTCTCCCGAATGTTAAACCTCACCGACCGCCAAGTCAAAATCTGGTTTCAGAATAGAAGAATGAAAGAGAAGAAGCTGAGCAGAGATCGCCTGCAGTACTTCTCTGGAAACCCCCTGTTGTGAGCATGGAGCAGGGGAAAAGTGTCACAGTGTGTTGGTCAGTGACATTCAGGCCTCCTCGTATCTCATTGAATTGTAATCGTGGGCATAACCATTTTTTTTAAACGGAGCCCACATCAGCAACAGTGCAATGTAAAAGCGGACAGTGGGAGTTGTAGGCCTGCATGGGATAAAGTCGCCATTTTCTTATTGCTCCCTCGACCGGAGGTGAATTTCTAATAGCTGGTCTCCAGAAAAAGGTCTCCATGGTTAGAATAATCATTTATACCTAATGCTATTCTTGAATATTTCCCTCTATTTATCACCATTCTCCATTGTGTTTATTCTATTGTTCATATAGGCATATTTGTTGTTAAAATATCAAATGTATCTGACAATTTGAATCCTTATTGCGCAGACAACTTTGAGCTCTTCCTTCGCTCTGGTCTTTGTAAATAGCATATCATTATCTAATTATTTCTCGACCAGAGCTTGAACAAGTTAAAGCAAATCTCCAAGGCTGTATTTTTTTTTTCGCCATTAAGAACTGTGACGTCCAATCTGTGAAAGTATATACCCCCCTCCTGTACAGAGTAGCCTATGCAATGTGCATTCGTGACTGTAAATAGGCGTATGTTGAATTTCCTTTACCCCTTTTTTCCCTGCTGCTATTTTTCAGTACACCGTACAACTTTGAACAGCTTTAATGCCAACACTCGTTAAATTATTTGTTCAACCATTGGTGCTTTGGATTCCAGAGTGGAGGAGTGGATTGTTGGCCTGTGTATCATTAATATAATACTATTAAATAAACAGAAACGTATAGGCAAAGCCTTACGACTTTGTGCTTTTGTGCAATTATTACCACAGTTACCATTCATTATTTTTTATTCCAAACAGCCGCGACGTTTCCACTACCTTCTCGTGCGCTTTTTTTTTTGTGCAAATTGCATGTGTGTATTAACCCAAACGATCAGCCTTTAAGGCAGTAGCACATCTCCAGGTTGTGTTAATCGCCTCCTCGTGTTGATACACACTTTTCTCAGGTACTATTGGATGACTCTATAGTCGGCGGGCCTACACTTGTCGGATTTTCGTCTATCTCTAAGTTGCACCACAATCAACCATCATGTCTAAATTTTAGCAAGCGTGTTGAACCAAGATAGAGGCCACATCTTAGAAATGTAGAGAAAGAGAGTGCAATGATAACCTCTTTTAGTGCCCACTAAATGGAATCGCCACTCTTGTAGTCTAGACACTGCCATAAAGACAGAGGCACTAAATGGCTATTTTTTTCTCTTAATTGCACCGTCTGTTCGGGGGGAATGCCGTTCACTTCCGCAGTAAATAGTAAACAAGCAAGGCTGGATGTCCAAAGGGTGGGGGGGAAAACCAAGAGGTTTCGACATGAACTCGGACTGTGCAGTGTGCAAAGTCAACCCCAACCCCCTCTGCACGCAGGCGTCATGTCCACTCTGTTAGGCTGAAAATTGGAAAACCAAAAGGAACCTCCCAAAGTGGAGATTTTGCGTCATGTAAGTTGGATTTTAATACTATTTTGATATGATTTATCCTCGTGAAATCCTGGTGTTCCGCAGCTCAAGTGAGAGTCTGTTTGTGTTAGCTGCTTTCCAACATGCACCTATTTCAAATCATCACTTATCAATAAATAATTGTTGACTAATTGGGGCCATGTGGTCTGAGTTAAATAGAAGTTTACTAGAAGAAGGAAATTACAAATGGCGTTTCCCCTGTGTGTGTGTGTGTGAGTGTGTGAGAGTGTGTGTGTGGGTGTGTGTATCCAAAGGAAGTGAATGTGTGTTTTCAGCATATGTGCATGATGATTGCACGTGTGCATTAAGTACAATTTATAATTAAATGTAGTCTTTGAACTTCAATAATGTCAAGGCCTTCACCTTTAACCCTCTGCAGTAAAGAGGAATCAAGGAGCCCCTTTAGCCCGGAAATGTGTGCCGCGGCGGAACGGGCCAATGAGAGTGAGTGGGAACAGAAAATGGAATGTGTACACAGACCAACTTTGACCCCTCACATTAAACTACAGCAGGTAACTTGGCCAGCTTTAGCACGCCCAGTAAATACACTTTATTGTCCTTGTAAAATGTATACGTTTTCACGCATGAGGCGTTTTAAATCGTGTTGGTACAAACTGTAGGCCTATATTTGTATTCTGTAAAAGAAGTCAAACAACGTGTCGGTGTGTGGCTGTCGCAGTGTGCGTGTCGTTCTGGGTGGTTCTGAGAGTGTAACATGACGGTTCGTGCATGCGTGGGTGTGGGAGTCTGAGTCAGTCCTTTCCTTTTTTGATTTGTGCCCTAAGATGTGACTCCTGGGCAACCAGCGCAGCAAGCATTTGCATGGTGTTGATTGAATTCAGGGTGTGTGGTTTAGATTTCGGCTGAGGTTTGATGAGGGTTTGGGTTTTTAGATGAGTGTGATGCAGGGAAATAGGAAGAAAAAGGAGGAGCTCTCCCTGGTAGTTTCCACGTGACTCCTATAGCGTGTTGCGCATAAATTAAGAAGGACTTGGCAGGTATATTCATGAATTGAGTCGAGGGTCAATCTGCATATGTCAGAGCAATATCAGGAAGGACATGGGGGCTTTTCTGACAAAGAAAAGACGCCTCGCACTCCCGGAGATCAAGGCTACAGAAGCCCCCCTCTCCCTCTCTCCCCTCTCTCTCTCTCTTGCCACACCCACCAACCTTGGCCCTGGGACGCTGACGTACGTAGTCTGTTGGTTTCTTCACAACGCACAACGTCACTAACAGGGCGCGCTGCAGTGGGTCTTGCTAATGTTGTCTATCAACCACACGGGGGCCAGGAGTCCCACAGGCCTCTCTGCACTGTGTTGTTTCCTCAACGGGATCCTGAAAACGCTTCCTGACTTGAATGCCTCGGTGACATCAGAGTGGTATTATTAGACATGCAAAGACAGCTTGTAATGTCTTGTGTGGCGTGTTCGCGTTGTGTTGGGCATGACAGAAGGACAGTCCACTCTGCAGGAATGCAACTCCTGCCAGTCTGGATTGTGCACTTGGGTGTTGTGGTGGAAGGAAAATGGCGGTGTGTTTTTATGTAGATGAGATGAACCATGCAGTAGGGAGAGGCCATAACCCAAAACCATAAAAACGTGGAGAAAAATAAAATAATTCAGCTGCGTAAAATCTGCGGAATTATGTTAAAGGTTCTTAATCCATCTCACGCTGTAAATGTGTCAATGCGGCTTGTTTATCTTTGACTTTTGGATTGCAAACAAATAGTGTTTCTTTCTCTGGGAATATTGTGGTCTAAATTTTAGAACTGTTGAATTATTTCCATCGGTAAAGACGCTCAAACTAAACATGGCAGAATAACGAGTTGAAGCGATCTTTTCCCAGAGTTAATAGTTTGACAACTTTTTTTTTTTTAGACAAATTTGACAGCAGAATAAATAAATAAAAATAAATAAATAAACACATCACACATCTCAGTTATACAGCAGATCTTGTGTCAAAATAAAAAGCCCCCGCTGTTTGTTTTTACAGTATTTTACTGTTGTTGCAGATTTTACATCGCTAGCATCACTTGAAAAGTCTTATTAGGTTATAAACGTGGAGTAAATGCAGGGGGCATCCTTGTTTTTTCCTCTGCAAATACTAATCAAGTGGTTATAGGCTATTGAATGGTTTTATACTACAGTATAGTGCTCACATCTCAGCACCTTTCCTGTTCTATAGGGCCATAAAACAGTTCCACGCTGTAAAACCAGCTCCTGCTATTGCTGCAACCAAATAACTCTGAAAACACACGGATGCGCACTCCTCCATACTGTACTTCTATTTCTAATTTTTTGCTGCTCTTCGCTTTGATTAAATATAACGAGATTGGGCGGCTTTGGCGTGTTTCTGTTGTGGTTGTGACTTGTAGTAATATAACGCTGCTGTACTTTGATGGCGGTTCTCACTCTAGTTGTTAATGAAGAACTAACATGATTCTGACGCCGTAAATTTGCACTTGTGCATTAAGTGGGCAGCAGCATGAAAGAAGACACAAAGCAGAGCCTCCTCACATTCAGCTGGAAAGATATTTCAAAGTGGCTGCCAGCAAAGCAAATTAGTGGTGTCTCTCCGTTGGATCCTGATTAGTAACATTGAGGGAAAGCCGCTCCAGGGCCGAGTCCGTCTGTCCCGCAGCAGCACTCCTGTATACCTGTGCGTCAACTTATTATCACAGCCGTGCCCACGCTGATATCAATGCGCCGCGAGATGGTGGCGAAAGAGCTGGATGAAGTTTAGACAAGTGTGAAGACCAGGGTCAAATACTGGCCCAGTGTGTGTGTGTGTGTGTGTGTGTGTGTGTGTGTGTGTGTGTGTGTGTGTGTGTGTGTGTGTGTACTTAGATATATGTGACTGAATTCTCTGAAAGTATTACAAAACATCGCATTTATCGCGTTTTTCCCCCTCTTGAAATTAATTCCAGTGCTCGTTCACTTGAAATTTTAAGGGAAAAAACACAATGAATAAAAAAAATATATTAAAAAAAGGTTTCATGTACCTTCTGGGGAAAAACGTGAATATTTGTAGGATCAACAACAGATAGGTAAACAGATGAGAAAATACCAGTTTGGTTCGTGTTTCGGGAAATAGACCCGGATAAACAGAAACATGATTCACCTTTGGTTATGAAAGAAAGGTATGCACGCACATGAAACCTCCCATTAGCTGTAATTAGACTTTCTATTCTTATTACTCATTGGAAACAAATACAGATCCAACTAACCTATCAGCGTCGACTGTCTCCTTTTTAATTCGTATGGAGGTACACAATGCGTTTTTTTAAATGTCATATTCTTCTCACCCTCGTGTCACGTTTGTTTGTTTCACTCAGCTGCACGTGATCACCCCAGCTTCAAATTCTTAATCAATAGACTAATGTATAATTCACCCGGATTGTTATCCTGAGGTTTTTGTCGACATGAAACACATTTATTCCACATTATTTATCCTGTAACCTCACATTCTTCCCTATGCGCAGCTGTCAGGGCCGTGAAATCCTCAGGCTTATTGTGCTATTCTGCCAGGTGTGTGTAACAATGCAACAGGTATACTGTCCCCAATAATCATTTCAGCTCCTTTACATTATATAAGAGACATTTTTCTGCTCTGCCAGGTATACGAGCTCATATCAGCAGAGTCTGAGTCATCGCGTTGTCCTCAGCATCTCCTGTGAAGTGTAAGCTTTATTTAGAGCTCGGTGCTGCTTGAAAAGTTGTTCACATATAATTTGTTTTTATTACTTTTTGGTGCTAGGCGGAGCTAGCCTGCAGGCTAGGTGTGAGAGTGCAATAAAGCGGTGTGTGTGTGAGTGTGTGTGACAGTAGTGTGATGTCGTGAGGGGGTTATACATTAACTCCGCTTATTAATGTGTCCCTTAAATGAGGCAGAAAGTGTGTTTGGGTGAAAGAAAGATGGATGTGAAAATAAAACCATTAATTTGACTGTATTTCAACATATTCCAGATGTAGAGGGAGACAAGTAGTTCTTTAAAGTGTCAACATTTCAGTGTCAACATTTGGTTGAGTGCGTGCCCTTTATTTTAAGTTTTTTAAAGGTTTCACGAGGCCACTCCATCCCCTCGTGGTGTCTCCTCAATTAATATAAAAGTCAAAAAAAGTGAAAGGGCTCCTTTTTTATCGGCATCATAGCTGTTATCCGCAAAATTACAGTCATAAATGTAAGGAATTATGAGGATAGAGAATAAAAACAAAGATACCGGTGAGGGGTTGACCTATAATATTTATTTCAGGTTATCACTGTTGGTGAATGTTGTGCCTTTTTGACAAAAACAGAAAAAGAAAACAGAGGGATTGAGGGTTTACAATGATGATGGTGCGCCCTTGCCTTTGGAAATGATACTGAACCGAAGACGCACAGACAGACAGACAAACAGACACACAGACAGACAGGCGCGCGTTCAAGTCTCGCTCAAACAAACAAAACAGACCACAAAGCACATCCGCATTATAGTTTCAAATAGGCTTAATGCACGCTATTACTATTTGCAGTAGAAGTTGAAAATGTTTCTCTAAGATGAAGACAGACTTGATATAAAAAAATCTGCGGATGAAACGTTGGCTCATAATTTTGCAAACGCATTAGGTTTAACTGGAACCTTACAACAGCTGCTGTCAGTTTCACAGTTACTCTTTAATACAATTTCTTAAAATAAAAAAAATGTTACAAAGATTTTCCCTTCGACTAATTTTCTTCTAACTCTCATGCGGCTGATCCCTGGAAACATTTTGTGCTCAGCTCGTCAGCTTCCAGCAGCTCTGTGTAAGTAATTGTGTGTGTGTGTTTTTTTCTCTTCTTCTTCATGTAACAGCGGATTGGTTTGGACTGGATTTAATGTCCTAAAGCTAAGATAAGTCAAGACAAGGCCTCTTACAACACAACACAACACATGACGACTAAAAGTCCCTAAGAAAAGAGGGGAATTTTTGTAACCCAGGCACCAGCTCCAGAGTGAGAAAATTAATCTGTCACGTGGGATAGAAACTAATTTATTTGTTTGAATAAAAATAAATTATTACCCACCTCCGGTCTTATATTAGAATAGAACATTTCGTGTCTTTTCACATACATAACTCCTTTTATTAGCGTGATTCATAGAAGGCTAATCTTATTTAAAAGTTATAGTATAAATAAAGAAATCATGTCTAAGGCCTCTCTGGAGTCAACCTTCACAAAATATTATCATCATTCCTGTCAAGCGCACTGTCTTCATATATCATAACAACACCTGTAAAATATTAAAAGTGCAGAAGTGTTTGTTTATATTTGTTTTAACAATTCCTTACAGTTAAAATATATTATCATCTGAGCAGGACACGATAATCGTGCACAAATCCTTTAGTTTTAGGGGAGGTAGAATTAGGACAAGTCTTTCTTAATTCTTCTAAAAGTCTATTAAGTGACAAAAATCCTGAAAATATCTCATTCACTCTAAGCAGAAACATACTTAATTAACAAAGCAGCAGTTAGTCTGATATTTGGCCTCAAAGTAGGAAAAAAAGATGTTTATTTCTGATGTATTACAAACTCAAACCGCGCCTCGATAACGACAACAATCATCCAGAGAAAACCTGATTTGGTGTTTGGAGCTGAAGCTCAGGTGCGCAGTGAATTCAGTTCAAGTGTTTAATATCAAAGTAGAATTAAAAAGAAGGAGAACAGTAGCCTATATGATTGACGTGAATTTGCCAGGGTTGGGTTTCATTTCAAACTCCGACAGCCTAATAAAATTCGCACAGGCCTGACAACCACCAGTAGCTACAAATCCACCGACTAGTTCCCGATTTTCAGCCAATTTCAAGCCAAGAACAAGTTAAACAGTCAAGTGTGGTTTCACGAAACAGCGTCAGAAAAGCGTAAGTCAACTTATAGCATCAACAAGAGGTGATTTTCGTCTTTGAATTCAATGAGATCTACTTCTGTTTGAGTCGCCATATTCAAGAAAAAACAAATAACTAAGAGTAAAATATAAGATAAAGCTGATGCACATTTTGAAGTTAGATAAATGCGTCGATATAGATCTACAAAGTGTATTAACTAGCATCAAGGAAGTAAGCATATCTGAATTTAGCAGACGGATTGCAAAACGGACTTTCTTTATTAGCCTGCATACTCCACAGCGTCAAAATGGAAAACCTCATCTGCAGTTTACCTCTAACTTTTCTGTCAGTTTCCCATAAAAGTCTTTTTCGACTAGTTTTTCTTCCATAACACACCTGCGAGCTGCTTACCTTGCTCTATCGATGGCAAAAACAAAGCAAAGCAGTGAAAAACAAACACCAAAAGCCAACATCATGTGCACTTTTCGAGCCAGAATCTCGCTGGATCCATGTCCACCACTTTAGTTGGATAAAGAAACTCAACGTGGGCTCATGCTATTGTCCACAAACATGTCAAGTTCGCGCTTATTCAGGATAAAAACACTGAAAAGCCACGTAGTAGTAGTCCTGCTGCAGCACCCGTCCTTTGTTCCCTCCGCCTTGAGGCCTGCTGTCATGACCGCCTTGTGGCCGCGAGGTGGCGCTCTTGCTCCACCAAAAAGCTGCAGATTTCCCAACTTGACCGCGCTGACGTCACGTCAGTCTGGAGCATCAAGGCCACTTCCACGCCGCTATTGGTCTGAAAATCACATGACATGTCTCCCAGCATCCATAATTATGTTCCTGATATTTTTGCACCCCCCTCCAAAAGATGTCAGCATCCTACTGTCCTGATTCTCCTGCTGCAGGAATCCCGCATAGTTCAGAGCCGCTGAACGCACCACACGATCAGAGTGGTGGTGCCAAGTGCCAAAATGTCATGTCCGAATAACGTAGCGCCCGGTAACTTCCTCATGGATTCCTTAATGGGAGGATCATCTTCCTTCAGGGGTGACGGTTATTCCAGCAACCCCGGAATGTACATCCACACAGCAGCAGCAGAGTACGGATACTCAGTGATGAGAAACATGGGCAAGGTTGGAGCCTCTTCACTCTCCAAAAGAGATGAGCTTCCTCCTCCGGGCGCTGAGCCTCACAGCGGCTTCCAGGATGCGTCCTACCTGTCCGCACAGCTGCCCACATGGACCCCAGGCTCCAAACCCGGCAGGGACCAGCAACCTGTTGCCCAGTGTTTACAGCCCTGCTCGTTTCCAGCGGGCAGCGTCAAAGAGGAGGCGTTTTGTTGCCTCTATCAGGATGACAGCAATAAGGGGAAACAACAGACAACAACAGAGTCAACCACTTACATCCGGCTGGGAGACAATAGCTGCCGGCCTGAGCGGACCTCCGCCTCGTCCAGTGGCTGTTTCCAGGTGTTCAACAGCACAGAGAGGCCGCAGCAGGACGAGCAGCAGCAAGAGCAGCAGCAGCAGTTTCCCCTTGGCTTCTCTCTCACACACTTGGCGTCATCTGTTGAGTCAGCATCAGAGGCGACAATAAGTTGCAGCAAAAAAACAGCGAATGAGACAGGAAGAGAGGTTCTAGAGGCAGATGTGAGTGTGAGCAGGAAGGAGGAGAAGGCCAAGAGTGACAGCTGTTCTGAAAACTCGGACGGGGAATCAAAAGGTACACTGTACATCCTCCTCCCTCCTCCCCCCTCCTTTATACACGCACACACACACATACATACGCACACATAAATACGCACATATAGACGCACATTTACTCCAACATATCAGACTACTTTGAGGAGATTATTTATCACGTGCATTAATTCGGTTGGTGTTTTGTGCACGTTGTGTTGCACCACAGCGAGCTCATAATGCAAAGCTGGAGTTTGATAGTAGTCTTAGGAGGCTGGATGGGCCTTTGACAAGCTCGCCTAGCAGGGGTTACGATGCCCCTGGTATTTAACACCCTTCCATTAATGTGAGAATGTGAGATGGGCAGTTATCAGTGAAATAAACACGCGCTTTCTCTTTTGCACGCACGCACAAACACACACGCTCACACACACGAGTTTTTCTATTATTCCTCTGTCTCTGTGTAGGATATCATTTACATTAGAGTCAGGATTTTACGCATTGAAATTAGCTGTATTAATCCTACTTCAAAGTTTTAAGGATATGATCCAAAGTTGATGATAATTCGTCGTATTGCTCTTTTTTATTTTAGACAACTACAGAGTTTATTATGAAATTATTAGCTAAAAAATGTGTCACTTAAACGCATAAATGTGACGATAATTTAGTCCGCTGGATTATTTTGAACCTTTCTTCTCATTTTGTTATGATTGACACACTACAAGTTTGAGTGTTTTGACTGGTTTGCCTATTCAGAGTGATTTGTGATGGTTGACGTTACGTTATTTTTTTTTTTTTACGTACACGTTTTTTTTTAAACGTACTCGCACAATTATCATTACGCAGTGTTATATGTTGGAATTTCTGTATTTTAAAAATTGATTGTTGACCAACACAACATACACCAGCGCATTAACACCAACACACACACTCCCTTTTTAACTTTAGAGCACTTTAAAAAAAACGGTTCCGTGTGTGTTTTACAGTTAAATGGTTTCTGCTCACACCTCCATACACGACTATTTACTGACTATTTTCATTCTATTTCAAATTAAATTATTTTAAGCGTCGAGGCAGGCAATCTGCTTGTTTTTATTGTCTTAATGTGTGCATGGATGTGTGTGTGTGTTTGTGCGCGTGTGTGTGCCATTAATCCCATGTCACTGAATTAAATGTTTTGCTAATAATTAAATGTGGGCCACACACTGAATGTTCACATTAGGGTAATTATTACTGTAACATACGGCATGTGTGTGTGTGTGTGAGGGGGTGCAGCGTGTGTGTGTGTGTGTGTATTAGTGAATGTGTGTGTGTGTGAGAGAGAGTGAAGCAGAGGCGTTATTCCCCTGAGCCCGCAGCCTAATCAAGGAATTAACTGGATGTGCAGCAGTGTTATTTCCCTGCTAACAGCGACATGCCTCCTCGTTTCCTTTGTTTTTTTTATTTTTTTCATAACTCGTGTATTGTGCATCAGAGACTTCCTCCTTCCTTTTGTTTTGGGGATGCACCTTCGAGAAAAAAAAAATCATTCTGGCTCCGGTGTGCAGAGGTAATAAAATTTTATAGCAGTCTGAGGTCCAACGCAGACAAAAGAAATGCTTACACATCCCGCTTTGATTTGATCTAATTATAGCAGTACATCACCCAAAAGCAATTTGCAAGCTGTAGTAGTAGTTGTTGCAAAAGGTGGGATGTTCACTTGTTCGAAAGAGAGAGTCGGAGAGTCCACACCCAGGTAAAACTCTGCTTTTCAACTATACTCTGTTTGCTACAAATCAACGCTGCTGTATATGCGTGTGTGTGTGAGATATGGGCGTGTTCGCAGCATCCAGTGTATTGATGGACGTTGTGTAGCTGCATTTTTATCCGGTACTCGATCACGAGTTCTTATTGTTGTTATTTTGCTTCCTCCTGATAGATGATTTATCCGCGGAAAAGACGACGGGAAACTGGTTGAAAGCCAAAAGTGGAAGGAAGAAGCGCTGTCCCTACACAAAGCACCAGACGCTGGAGCTGGAGAAGGAGTTCTTGTTCAACATGTATCTGTCTCGGGAGCGCCGCCTGGAGATCAGCCGGAGTATCAACCTGACCGACAGACAGGTCAAGATCTGGTTCCAAAACAGACGCATGAAGCTCAAGAAGCTCAACAGGGAGAACAGAGAGAGGGAACACAGCGCGATTTATAACTACCCCTGAACATAATATTCATTTACCTACACATGCATTAACACTTACATTTACACTTAAACATACTCACACATAGCCATGACACACATTAATGCAGACTCTCCAGTTGCACTCATCATGTTTCTTCTACACACACACACACAGACACATAGACACACACACATGCACGGTGCCCCTCAAATTTGAACTCCAGACTTTAGTTCCAGGTGAAGACTTGCAGCAGCATTGGAACGGTGAGCTGCTCTTATACCTTACATTGACAATTATCTACCATGAACACAAAGCAAAAGGAGCAGTCTATTTATAGCTCCTGGCATGAAAGCAGTTTGACTTCGCAGAGCTATGATGAATGTTTTGCAGCATCTGCTTTGGTGTCTTACATGTGCAGCGTTAATGTGCATGAAGCTAAAGACTCCAAAACAATAAAAGCAGAGGGAGACGAAAAGGTATAACTTTGTCCTTCCCTTTGGTGTAGTGGTGCAAATGAGAAGGGGGGAGAGACACTGCGGATGAGAGAAGGAGATTATGGCACTTTTAATAGAAGTGAAAGACCATAACGTTGATTTAAATATTATCCAGGTGACCACAGTAAGTCAAGGTCATAAAATTCTAATGTCAGGTTCGCCCTGGAAAGCGTTGGGGGTGGATTTTATGATCTGCAAATATAATGTGCTGCAGCAGTAAAGATGCGTTTAAAGGTGTGTGTGGAGGAGGGCGAATCCACACAGCAGAGACTGCAATGTGCATGAGCCGAGCTGAGGCGATGGGCTGGAAGGGGAGCAGCCAGCCGCCTCCACCCGGATAATAGAGCTTTCATGGCAGCAGGAGATAAGAAAGATGGTGGATAAAAATGAGGGGGACAGTGACTGCGACGGCTGCGGGGGGACAATAACAACAACAAGCATCGCGGCGCACGCACGTGGATACCTAAACGCAGCAGGAAGGCGTCCTCTGCAAAGGGCCAAGTTAAGGTAGGACGCACATTATTTTTTTTTTCCACGTAGCATCTTTATTTCCTGTTTAGTAAAGTGTGCCACATCTGTCAGGGGGAGCTTGTTTGACAACTCGTGGTAGGCATGGTTGCGCCTGCACACGTTGATGGTTTATTTTGAGACTATTAATCAGTGTGCTGCACATTTCTGCTTTCTCTGAATGGAATTATTCTGGTTTTTGCTGCTGGATATTTTGCAGAATATTCCTGGATTCACGTTGGGATTGAAGCTGATTTTCTAAAATGTTGCTTTGCAGAATATGAAATCAGAGTAACCGAGAATTGTAGCTTTGAGATAAACACAAGTTGTCAACATGCAGATTTAAGACAGAAACTTGATGCACATTTAGACAGAGTGTTGTCATGCTGTTGGTACTCGCCTTTTCTCTCTCCCTCACTCTTCTGGATTGTGTACATCCTCACTTGGCTTTTTTTTTTGTTGCATGCATTCTCCTTTCCTTGGATTTTTAACCCCTTTTGCGCGAAGCTGAAGCGTGGTTTAGGTAGTTTCATGTTGTTGGGGTTGGCTTCCTGGCTCGGCAACAAGAAACTGCCTTGATTACGTCAGTTCGTCTTCATCAAGGGCACAATTTCCGCTGAATGACCCCCTATAGTCACCCAGGTCTCCGCAAATGGCATTGTAAATGAACTGAGCTGCAATACCTTGGACAGAGACGTTTTCTTTCTTTGCTGTTGTTTTGTGGCGGGCTGTAAAAAACCTCTGAGGCTCTCATCGGGAGAATAGGTTGTAAACAACATGGGGTAAAGTTTTAGACAGCGTTGTGTTGCGTTTGACAGCTGTTCCGTGATGGTCTGAATGGACAGATGGATGGATAGATGGATGTCACGTTTGGACTCATTAATCTATCCGATAAGTGAATCTGGATCCACAACAGGAAATTGATGCGTAATGATGAATTCTGATTTTCTTGTTTCTTTCTGGTGATTTTTGAGACGCAGTCTGGTGGAAACCTTTTCTTCTATTTCTTTGTTTTTTACTTGAAAGTTTTATATTAAGATGAAGCACAAATTTCAAAAAAATTTACACCATATCTCTTTTTTTTAAAAGTATTTTCTCCACATTTTTTAACAAACACGGAGACATCTAAACAGGCCTTCAAAAAATCTCTGTTTTATTTTGATATCTTGTTTATTTTTGGCGTGCAATCAATGCTGTAATCTTAGTCAAGACAGATTTATTGTTGTACTGCAATCTCTTAAGTAAAACCTGCTCGGCCCGTTAACTAACTAACCATTTTCAGGCTACGTGCCAGTATTTTTCCAAATATTTTCACCACTTTAACCGATTAGAGATGCGTGATCTTTAAATTTGGATAAATGTATCTTCTTTCCTTTAAATTCAGCCTGTAATTCAACTTTTAAACGCTTTAATTATGAACCTTTTTGGTGTTTAATTACGCTTAATTCTTTAGCTACTTGCTAACACACGGCAGACTATGTTTTGAATCTGTGTGAGACACTTATCACCAACCCACAATTCTAGTTATCTTCAAGTCTCACCTTAATTAGGAGTTTCTTTCATTTATAAATGTATAGAATATTCTTCACGTGGATGGATAAAGGTTTTAGAATCAACATACCATGAGTGGTAACGCAAACAGCAGGTTTCAGAGGAGCGATGAGCCGGTGTCAGAATTAAGTATTTTTAGAACAGTGTGTTCTTTTGGCGCAGTCAGCTTTTCTTCCCCGGTGTTTAAACTGGTCACTATTTCCCCTTGTTTTCTCAGCCCCCCTCCTCCCTTTGGCGGTGGTGCAAACTGGAAGAGACAGTCTGGAATCCAAAGTCACTTTCATTCAGCCCACTGAATGAGTGTCTCCCGTGGAATGCATCCCTGACAAAGACTTTACAGCAGTGGAAACAGCCTCGAGAGACGCGCAGATTCACCCTAAAACCATATACACATAAAGCAATTTATTTCACTTTGTAGTGGCGCACAGGAACTGAGGGTTTCACACACACACTTCCTCTGGACAGCTCGAGATGGCTTAGTGCTACTGGCATGATCAGACATGAAGAGGCTTTGCTAACGGCTGTATTTTTCCTTTTTCCTTTTTTTTCTATTTTTAAATCAGTAATATTTTCTTCTGTGATATGGAGGACATGGGTCTACCTCATATTTTATTTAAGGCGACATTTTCGAAATTAGTGGACGATTTCATGAAGAAAAAGGGACACTATTATACTTTTGCATTCTGTGTATGGTAAAATAAACTCAGATTTTCACTCAGTTTTACTTGATTGTCTGTTTAGATGTTGAATTGAAAAAAATAATCTGTGTGTTTGATTAATTGTTTCCGAGCTGGAGATCATTCTGCTTTGTTTACGCATCAACAATCTCATATATTCGACTATCCTAGACCTGATTTTAGGGGTTGCGACCTCAATTCCACAAAGATAATTTGTTTTATTTTACACACAAATTTACCCCGAAGTAGCAAAATATTCTAAGAGATGGTCTAAAATGATCAGTAAGAGGATTCTGACCTTGTTGTGCTGGAGAGGACAGAGAGTGGACGTGTTTTGGCGAAGAAAACACTTGGAAAAAAGGACTGTGATGCATTTTAAGCATTTGGACTCCGTGAAATATGCGATTATCACGGAGAACTGTAATAGTTTCCAGTTTGTTGAAATGGATCATTTTGTGGCCTTTTGTGGGCAGTTTATTACACAGTAACTCGTGTTCGCGTGGGTTTCTGTCCTTCACAGGAGACCCGAAATAACTTCTGATACCCATTTTTCAATATCACTGCAGAGTTTGACCACAGTCCGAAACAAATCCGTCTAATAAAGCACTGGTTTGCTGAGAGTTGGTTGTAGTTTACACATTAAACAGATTAGATGATGTGCCTTTACCTAGTCGTTACGTAGGAGATATCTAAAGTCATCGTGCGCGTGATGTATAAGAAATCAGAGCTCAGTATGCAGCTTACATCACCCGTCTGTCATTTATCCACCCTGTAATTAACGCACCCTGCTTTTCCTGATGGAGGCTCACACAAACAAGCAAAGCGCATCCTGACAATGAAGGTGAATCATCACCAAACACGCACAGGAGATATTTTTAGCGTGACAATGAGCCTTATCTGGCACTTAGTTTCATAATGACGGCGCTAATAGTGACTAGTCTGTTAGTCTGCCAATCTTACTTTCATAATTATAAACTTCCGGTTTGCCCCTTTAGAAGATTCTCATTTCTCACCCGCCTTTTTTTTTGCTTTTGCATCAAATTCCACACTGACAGAAATATAAGGGAATTGGTGAGGGTCCATAAACAATTTCTCTTGTATATAATTTCGTCTTTATCAGAAGTGACAGCGCCAGGCTGCAGTTCCAGCACATCCAGCCTTTGCCTCACTGTAATCTATTGGTCTGATATCGTTGTTTTGAAATATAGCAGTTTAAGGCTGGTCGCTAATGGCTCCCAGTTAATACACAAAGCGACACTGTCCACTGCAGAGCGTGCAGGCTTTGGCCTGCGGGGCCTGGTTTATGCGTCATCCTGCACAAGAACTCACTCTGGATCTGTTATCACTTTGGATTTGACTCACATTAGTTATTTTTATGTATGACTTGAGGAGACAATTAAGAGAATGCCGAGGAAGAGAAATGTCAGAGTCATGCAGACTGATAACATCTTTATAAATCATGTTTGTTGATCACAACATTAGACATCTATTCCTGTTTATTCAAGAATTGTGCAGGGTTGAGAATGAAACGGCTCTGTATTATCTTCATCATATACAGACGGAAGGTGTCGTGTGCTAGACGGACATTTCTTGGCCTTTTTGAGACTAAATCAAAGGTCTAAATGGTCAGAAAGTCCGTCTAATGTCAGGCTGAACCAACAGTTTGATTTCATTTGTCAAGGCGAGTGTTTTCGCGTATTTATCCAAATTCGTATTTTGTATTCTTTAATTCTACACAAAAATAAACTAGTTTGTTCGTGCAGGTCGTGTTTAATGACATTATCAAGAAGGTAGAAATGAAATCATGACACGGATAGAGTGCTTGGTGATGTAGAGAGCCTTTTTTCTTCGGCTGGAACTCAGTGGATCAGAGGAGGAACCCCAAATAAAAACAACACTGGTGCATTTTTGTTCTCACTTTTATTCAAATCTCAACAAACAGGTACACATCAGAAATGACATATAATCAAGTGGATATTGTAACGAATATACAGACCTCTGTTTTGATGGACTCACATTAGCTCACACTCTCAGACAAACGCGCTTAGGCGCAAACACTGACGCACACGTGCGCACCCCAAACATTAATGAGCAATCACAGGATAAATGTGGACAGAGATAGAAGCCACATCATGTATTTATATGGCCATATGTTATGGCAATAAAGTCTCACTGAGCACTTTTTCATTCAGTTTTAATGGCAGCAGCAGAATAAACGGTCCCAGACCTTCAACCTGCAACACACACACACACACACACACACACACGCGCACACACACACACATAAAATCCTCACATTTAAGATCGGCTAAATTTAGTCAACTCCTTCATTTCTGTGGACATGTGGGGAACTATTTGACTCAGCACAAACTGGTGCATTTATCATTACACATTCTCTCTGTCTCCCCCTCTCTCCCCCTCTCTCTCTGTCTGTCTGTCTCTCTCTCTCCCCTACACATACACACACACCAGGATTCCGTTTGGCATTATCCGGGTTAAGGTCTGGCGTCTGGCCTTTTAAATTTCATGGTTGAATCTGAACTCAGCAGCCATGACAAACATAGCACTTCCTGTAAAAGTTTACCTTTTAGTGCACCTATAGTTTTAAGTTTGGGAGTTCATGTGTGACAGTATTGTGTCTGTGGATTTACACACATAAGCGCTGAATTGAATCTAAGTAAAATAGTAGAATCATGACCTCATTGCGTCCTTGGCGGTAGCAAAGACACCAACCGACTTTTCTTTCCTACAGACGAACTACAAGGGAGAAAAACTCAAATGTTACTTTTGATTGAATTTTAGTTTTTAAATGTGACTTTTATTCTCCACGTTTGGCATTTTGTGGCACTCACATTGCGCCCTCATTCCCGCGTAACTCGGCTAATTGTATGTAACTATCGCACTTAAAGACTGTTACTTTTCACCCAATCATCTTAACTTTAGGGCAAATTACATGCAAGAGGCTTTTTATCCCAAAACACAGATCCAAAGTTGGGAAAAAAAGATAATAATATAACACTTACTGGGGCAATTACGCACGTCAACACTTAAAACACACACACACCACAAAGAGAGGCTGCAGCTCTGCGCACACATGCACACACACAGAGGAGATTACAAATCAGTTACACTCAAGATTAAAACACTCACTATCACTATTTTTACACATATATACGGATACTCTTCCGCACCAAGGGCACCTCGTCACAGTCATCAGTGTGCATCAGCCATATTGTCATATAGTGCCTTATTCTTCACGCGTGGAAAAACTTGAAATTAATGCAACGTGCTCTATACGCTCCTGACTTCTTACATTTTTCTATTTTAAATTCATATTTTTTTTCAGCCATGCAAAATAGTGCAGTGTTATTTCACACTCTACTCCCTGACAAGCAACACCGCTATATACTGCACGCCAAACGTCTTCCCATTAGATCCAACAGTAACATTATCCCTGTTATGGAAGCTTTCATGTATTTAGCCTTTTTACGAACCTTTTTACCTCCTCTGTTTGCAGCCTCCTCTCTCTCCTGTTTTCGGCCTCCTCTCTTTCTCTTTCTCTGTGACAGGAATTGTTTCTCATGCATTCAGCAGCGCTGGTGGTTTTTATGTCGAGCAAGGAACTCGGATGCAGCCTTATTAACGACACGTTTATGAACAATCAAATGGTCCTCGTTAAAATTTATTGATGGGCATAAAAACATGAACGGCCACTCGCCGAATATAGCCCGCTATAGTGGGCTGCCTGTCAAGAATCTGAATACCACCCTCTCCTATCTCCGCAGATCCCATTTAGGAAATATTTGCTCTGTTGCGCACTCGTTAAAAGTGTGCAAACTATATTGCTCGTGTTTCCTGCCACCTGTATTTTAAAATCCCCATTCTCCTGTCTCTTCTTCTTCTTCTTCTTCGTGGAGCCGCAGCCAAAGCTTCTCCTCTCCTCTCTGCGTTTTAGAATAACAGCACAGCTCAGGAAGTTATAAAAGCCTCACTTTATCAAATTTGTTGCTTGGTTGGTAAAGATAAGAAGCGTCAACAATCCAATAAACACTTGCGTGCTGTAACACTATCCACAGCAATAAGTAGAGCTACGCTACATTTTGCCAGACAGAGATTGATTACACCATCAAATAGTTCCTCTCTCGGTTTTAGACGGAACGTGCGCAGGGCTGCACTGCGCCTGCACGTATCTTCTATCTGCACTACACAAGCATATTTTCACCATAAGGACGCATGTTGTTGACGTTACCTCCAGTATGTCCTCTGAAAAGTAAGGAAGTACATTCTTTAATCCCATTTATGTGCATTTGTATCCCAGGATAAGCGGCGCATTGATCCACTGTACAATTTTTGTGGGGGTAAATATAATCACGTGTCGAGCAGGCAGCCAATAGCAGCCGAGGGAGCGTTGAGAAATAATTACCTGCCTTGATTGTTCTATGGCTAGATAAAAAAGTACACATACAGTCCATATAATAATCGGATGCATGTAAAAGAGTCAGGGAAGCCTCGACATGTCGACCACGGGTCCCATAACTAATTATTATGTGGACTCCTTGATCAACCATGAAAACGAAGATGTCCTTGCTGCAACTCGCTTCTCGGCTCCCGGTTCGCACCCAGCCGGCCCTCGTCCACCGTCTCTAGTACCGGAGTGCGCCGACTACCCTTCCTGCAGCTTCGCACCCAAGCCCCCCGTCTTCTCCACCTCTTGGGCCCCCGTCCACTCCCAGTCCTCAGTGGTTTATCATCCATACAGTCACCAACCTCACTTAGGCACAGACTCGAGGTACATGCGCTCATGGCTGGAGCCGATATCAGGCGCGGTGCCTTTCCATGGCTATCCGGGGAACGGCAGGCACTATGGGCTCAAACCCGACGCTTTCCAGGAGCACAGAGCCGGAGAGTGTCTGGGCTCCAGCGGACGGACCTACACGGATTATTTGTACTGCTCATCCACTGACATGCGGGACAAGACGCAGCAGAACGTCCCCTCTCCCGAGTCGGAGCTGCTGGCTTCAGGGAAGCATAAAGACGAGAAGCCGGAGCTAGATCCGAGTAAGTTCAAGCTCCTTTTACGACCGGGTGGGAGTTTGGGTTTGGGATTGTGTAAAACTGGTTTAGAGGCATTTTAACGCCCTTGCATATAAAATGTAATTATATACAGTTTAACCCTTTCTTCTTGCTCAGACCCGGATAGCTTCTGCTAGAGGGAAAGCCTTGGGAACTATAAAAGACAAACGCTACCAGGCTAATATTGGGGCTATAAAAGCAGACAGGGTTATAAACATGGACTCAAACCTACAGGAGGACGTTGAATTTGGACGGATGCGCCCTAATGTTAAAAAACAAACAGGTTTTTCCCCTTTAATCGTCAAAAAATGAACATATATTCACTAGTGAATGTGTTATGACGCATTTTTATGAGCGTGTTTTTTAACCCGTGCTTTATATACGGCACATGAATCCTCTATAAGCCGCCTTGTGTCCTGTTTCCATTTTATATGTAGGCCTGCTGCTAAAGGAAACCCACGTTTTAACTCTGTTTGATCCCAGCTATAAAACACGTGAGTCACCCATGCCATTATGGGCTAGATAGTGTGCATATAGCTTCATATTCAAAATTTTCCCTCTCATCTCTGAGTCCAAAAACATTTTCATTTTCACGTGACTCTTGCAGCTAACTTGAGGAATGTAGGGACATACTTGAGGACTTTCACCACGGACCTGTAAAGGCTTGAACCACGGGCCATTTTATGGGCCAATAAAGTGAATAAGCGCATTGAGTATTTTACGACGGTGTTACTCACAAGTTAAGGGGACAAGGAAGCAAATCAGTGCAGTGTTGGATGGTCTGATGCAGAGATTTACCTCTTTAAATGTTTTAACTTTAATGTAAACATACACAGTGTCTTTGCTCTTATATTGGTATAATGTTTGGCTCATTTACTGAAAATCATTCATCAACTCCAAATGCTTTAGAGCAAATTGTCCTTGTTTCTATTTGTAATCATATTAAGTAATAATCCAGATAAATGCTGTCATTATAATTATGGGGATTTTATTTTCCTTTCACAGATAATCCTGTGGCAAATTGGATACACGCCCGCTCCACAAGGAAGAAGCGATGTCCCTACACAAAGTACCAGACTCTGGAACTGGAAAAGGAGTTTTTGTTCAATATGTACCTAACGAGAGACCGTCGGTTCGAGGTGGCGAGGGTCCTGAATCTGACCGAGAGGCAGGTCAAAATCTGGTTTCAGAACCGGCGAATGAAGATGAAGAAAATGAACAAAGAGAAGAGCGACAGCAAAGAACAATAATATGGACTGCAGCAGTGTGAAAACAACACTAATAACCACTAGACACATGAACAGCACAGATGTACCAAAACACTCCTCCTCCTCATGTTTCTCACTTTGTTGGATTTTTTTTGTATTAATCTTCTAACTCTGAGACTGTCTGATGCTCATTACGTTAATTCCCAGTGCACAGTGACATGTTGAAGAAAGGAAAAACAAACTTCTAAGGAGATAATTACATTCTACTTTCACTTCGAGATACCTTTATGCGTTTATTTTCATTTTTTTTGTATAGAGAAATGATACACGTTACAGTTTGGACACGTTGAAACTGTCTGAAGATAGACAATACTTGAATTCTTTTGAATTTCACAAGCCCATAATTTATGATGTGAATGTTTTCTTTCATGTTTAATTTCCTTTGTACGTTGTTGTGCAGGTGTAGTAGCCTATTTTGTACAGAAACGGATCATCTGCGCTCAGACTCGTCTGTGTTGTATTTTTTGTGATAGTTGTTGCTGTATTTGTGCATTTCTTCCTTTTTTTTTGATTGTAGCGAGTTTAACTATAGACTATAGATATAAATACAAACTTAATCACTACGTGCTTGTTTTTTGTATTTATTGTACCCTGAACTGGATATGGTGTTTGCGTAATGAGTTCACGGCTGCGCACAGAGGGCCAAACAAACACAAACTCGGTGCGTAATAGCCAAACTAAAAACACAGGAATATGGCGTCACCAAACAGCAGCTACAAACCACAAATAGAAGAGTGTTTTAGAGTTAACCCTCATATGTTTTTGGACTACTAGCATTCCTCCAAGTACAGCCGAGGCCTAAATAGGCTACACCTAAAGACGAGGTTAAAAACAGTATAGGCTGTGTTGTCTGCTCAGTTTAGGATCCAGCAGGACAAAATTGTATTTATTTTCCTCTGCAATTATTTACATTAGAGTCTTTATTTGTCTTATAAAAGTGTGAGCCACACACAATTACAGCAATTACCAAATGATACGAGTGTGTACACATCCAACAAACGCACCATGGTTCTGTTTGGAGAGGAATTTAAACTCCGTTTTGTCAACGGGCACAAATTCAACGCTGAGAAAATAGTCCCCGGTCATGTGTATTCCTGTTTGTAGATAATATGAGCAAGCTAAAGCAGTAAGTATATTTAAAGTATTAACTTAAAATTAGTAAAAGAAAACCTAAAGTGAAATTGTTGTTATGTATGTGGGATTTTATTTTATTGTTTCCCACTCGAACTGAAGACAAAAACATTTGGTGCGGTTCTCACATCTCACATCAAAGATGGTGTTCACTTAAAAAAAAAACTCCTCAAATGTGCTAGTTTTATTTTTCCTTTTCTTTTTCTTTTTTCTCTAAATTAACTACCTTCGTAAAGGTGGATTGCTAATTTTATAGTCTGAGTTACGCAGGCCCGGAGGCGATCAGAAAACGTGCGACTAAATTTGAACATCTGAGCTTAAAACCAGAGACAATTCCCCATGTCGCGCATTTGTTTCCTGGGACCAGCCTAAATTGCCTTTTTGTGGTGGCAAACAATGCGGACAGGATGCTGTAATTTCAAAGCCCAATCCAGTGCATTTCCGCTCAGCTCGGACAAAAATGCCAGTTTTACAGCCCCTGTTGGAGCACGGCTGTTTGTCTCAAATGCAGACCAACAAAGCAAACTCGGCTGACTGGCTAGACGTCTGGGCTAAATTACTTTATGGTTTTAATGGACGCTGCTGCTGCTGCTGCTGGACGCGTTCAAAGGAGCGTCATGCGCACCGGTGGAGGGGACTGTGGCCTGATGGGCCAGCCGCAGCCCCCCTGCACTTCATCATAGGAGAGGACTATTAGCCTACAGTTTGATGCAAAAAGTCAATAGTTATTGTGGATAAATATGAGTGCTGCAGAGTAACGCCATCGCTTATATAACTGCAGTTAAGGCTAGCGACTTAGAAATACTATCCAGAGTGAAATTCCCCATCATGATATAAACACAGAAGAGTGATAAAGATTTGGTTGAGGATTTCTTCTTTAAATCAGCTTTATCTTATGAATCAAAGTGAATACACATCAGGTTTGGACAAATGTGGAGACCCTCTCTGTCCCACAACCACAGTTGTCTCTGATTGGTGGATTCGTTTAGGTTTAGGGTCAAACCTCAACGCTAGATGACGCTGTTGGTCCATGTTTTGAAGAGGATGTGTGTGTTAAAGGGCTGTTTTTACTGCTCTGTGGCTTGGCTGTAAAATGAAGAGTAACCTATCGATGACAAAATGACAGATTTGGTCACCAGCTGCATTGTATGTAATCAACCACAGAGCAATGCTGAGGAATGCACTTAGCTGCATGTTGTGTCCGACACAGAATACGTGCAAATACATGGTTGCTTTATATTTGTACGTTGATTTTCACCGTAATTTAGAAGTTATTTTTATCAATTCTTAAAATATTATGCTTCTTGTTGTGGATTTGTAGTTTTAGGAGGTAAACATGTTTTAGCTGTATATATTCACCAAAATGCTGTAGCAAAAACGGTGAATTTGAACCTACTAAAAAGGTGCATTTTCACCTCGAAAATTTCTTTTAAAAAGCAACATTTTCCATGTGGCTAATTCAGCTCTGTGTGTGCATTTAATTCACCACTGTTTTATACTCGTGAAAAAAAAAACCTTTTCACAGCAAAAACAAGAACAGAGAAACACAATAAAGACTGAACAGAACAGCAGCCAGAGGCAGAATATAGATACATAAATAAAAGTTTTATTGCAGTTTTCAGACAGTTACAGCAGTAATGTAGATAACACAAATAGTAGTAATAACAGCATAAAGAATACAGTAAATCAAACATGTATACATGATCATTACAGCATAAAACAATGATATAATAATAATAATAATAATAATAATAATAATAATAATAATAATAATAATAATAATAATAATAATAATAATAATAATAATAATAAATTCTGAAAGCGTAATAATCGATGTGTGTATTAGCAGCCTATAGTCCTCACAAGTCTTCAGCAGTGATTGGCAATCTGCATATTTATAGAGTGGGAAAGGTCTATAAATTCGCGCAGTGCGCCTTTCATATTTTACGATGATGTGAATAAAACGTCAGTAGGCACACAAAAAAGCACGCCGGCGTATTTGGAGAGAGAGCCCACGCAAGCGTTGAGCTGTGTGCGCGCGCTCATTGTAGCTAAACATCCAATGTAAAATTTTATGAACTCCTCCATGTGGGAGATTTACTGCGTATCCTCGTCGGTTTTACGGGGTCAGTAAGTGGCACCTAGTATTCACAGGTCGTGTTTATATTTGCGTGTGTCGGTGTTTTACTGCACTTGGTGCAAGTGCTTTGCTCTGGCTGCCCCGGCTCTAGCTTTCCACGTGCGGGCTATTGTGTCTTATTCTGGATTTTAAATGGCTTTTATATCTTTAGTGTTGTTCTGTGAAACATTTTGGTTCTCCCGAACGACCCGGGTGCCATGTTGACCTCCTGGAGCCCATAAAAGGAGAGCTATTTTCAGGAATTAGTGTATAACCTTTATAAGGGCCCGAGAGGGCAAACACCAACTCACAACAGCTTTATCTGGTTAAAAAGAGGAAATAATCTGCTAATAAGATGAACTTTAGGATCAGTTTGTAGCGGGTATACTTAATGTGTTACTCTCTTTATATTTCAACCTTTCCACACAACGACTCCATTGATCAGCGTGTAACAAAGCTCTTGTGATAAACACAACATTGATCATATTTAAAGCCTCTTAGGTTGTTGCTTATGATTAGTGCAGCTCTTCTCAAGGTGGAAATATATGTAGGGCCCACGTCTGACCGCTTGTAGAAAGATGAAGGGGTGGGGGGCGGCGGTGGAGGAGCAGGGTGAGGGTGAGGAGGGGGGTGCCTGTGATGGTGGGTTGGGTGGGAAGGTTTAAAAAAAAAGGAAAAAGAAAGAAAAGCGTCTGTGACTGTGCCGGTGGAGCAAGCCAGCTTAAAGCTTATAGCTAAACGCACATGCATGCCATGAGCCGGGGTTTGAGCCTGTGAGAAAAAAAAAACAAACTCCACTCACGACTGCGAGAGAAACCCGATGAGAGGAACGGCTCAGAGAGAGTGAGCTGCCGTAGATTGTCCAAAGGGGCAGCGTTTCTCCTAGTTCCGGTTTGTCTGCCTGTGCGCGCTGTGCGAGTTGGGACCCTAAACAAAAGGCTGCCATCATCCTAAAGGAGATATTCTGCCGCGAGAGAGCCCTGTCCGCTTGATGCTAACCAAACATGAGCTCCTATTTTGTTAACCCTCTTTTTTCTAAGTACAAAGGCGGCGAGTCACTGGAGCCAACTTACTACGACTGCAGGTTTCCACAAAGCGTCGCCCGCAGCCACACGCTGGTTTACGGACCCGGAGCAGCCGCACCGGGCTTTCAGCACCCGTCCCATCATGTGCAGGACTTTTTCCACCACGGGACCACGGGGATCTCCAACCCCGGATACCAGCAAAACCCCTGTGCGTTGGCGTGCCACGGAGACGCGACGAAATTTTATGGATATGAAGCCCTTCCGAGGCAAACGCTTTATGGTACCCAGCAAGACGCAAGCCTAGCGCAATACCCAGACTGTAAATCGTCGAGCAGCTCTAACCCCGGAGAAGGACAAGGCCACTTAAATCAAAACTCCTCTCCCAGTCTTATGTTTCCTTGGATGAGACCCCACGGTCAGAATCAAACAATTATTTCCTATTCTTTCTGTGTTGCTCTGCGTGCGCTCGCGTGTGTGTGTGAGAGAGAGTGTATTTCACGCGTGCATCTGCCTATATGTGTATGTTTTGTATGCTAAATATTGCTTAGTATCCACGAGTGTGTGTGTTGAGTATAAAACGAAAATAGTGAGGGAACATGATGGGGCAGATAGAACCTGTAGTGCAGGCTGTTGTGTCTCTGCAGCACATGTTCATACAGGGCAGAGCTGCTGCTGCTGCTGCTTCTTTCTCAAGTGCCTTTAAACGCACTATTACAGATCACAGCTCATGACACCAGCTCTTTGAAGTCAATTATCGTTGACATTAGATATTTCACAAGCTCAAACCGCACTTGGGGGAAAGATGAATAAGTCACAATTGAAAATATCTTGGTGCTACACGTAGACACACACACACACACACACACACACACACACACACACACATGCATGCATGCTTACACAAACACACACACTCCAAGCATGCAGAGTGACAGGAGAGTTTGTTCAAATACAACATGTCCTGGTGATCCAGAATCAGTTTCAAGGGGGTTTGGGGGGTAATTTGACCCTAAAGGCCCACAGAGTGGTGTGGGCATGATCATAAGGGCTTTATGTAGAAATGACCTCTCCTCCATTCAAAGATCATTTTGTGTTAAAGCTATCAGGCTACATAGAGAGTCCACACAGGTGTGAGCTCTCTTCCTGCCACATAGATATTTATAATCTCTCAGAACAGATATGTTGTTACAAAGCAGCTCTATCTCATCTTAATATCTTTCTTTTTATCTCTTTTTTTCATGATGTGTGAGTCGCTCAGTGTGTTTGCATATGTGTGTGTGTGTGACTGAAATCCACCTAGCTTAGAGGCCCTGAAGATCAGACTAATGTCTGCAAACATGCTCATCTGAAAGAGTTTATTTATTATAATTCGTAGGTATTTGGATTCAGAATTAGAAAGGGAGTAAAGGTCATAATCTGAATTGATAGGTATAAACACTAATAATGGGTTTGATCACATGGTGAGGTATATCCTCATACTTACCAAGAAGTCTGAGATCATTCCTGCAGAGAGATTTGTAAACAACATAGAGAAAAAAGAAAAACAATATAAGGATATTATTTTTCTTTTTTCTCTGGATTCAACATGTTTTTGTTCCATGTGTGAAATGACATATTTCTGCTTGTAGACAGTCGAATAAACCGAGACTTTGCCCTCACTGTAGAAGTGCAGTCTAATTAGAAAGGGTGAAGGCGGAATTAAAGAGCTGAACGATTAGTATTCATGCCAGAGGAGGACAGAAAGTAAATGAAAAATTAATTATAAGCCCTCTGAATGATAATTTTATGGGGTTCCGTGGTCAGCCCAGCTAACCTCTGGCTTTATTTCATTCAAGCACCAGGAAGAAGGAACGGGAGGCAAACCTACAGCCGCTATCAAACTTTGGAACTGGAGAAGGAGTTTCTCTTCAACCCTTACCTGACGCGCAAGAGGAGAATCGAGGTGTCACACGCCCTGAGCCTCACCGAGCGGCAGGTGAAGATCTGGTTTCAGAACAGGAGGATGAAGTGGAAAAAAGAGAACAACAAAGACAAGTTTCCGGGTCAGAGAGGGGAGGCTGAAGCCGAGGCCGAGGAAGAGGGCAACGAGGACGGTGAAGGGGAAGAGGCCGAGGAGAAAGAAGCAGAAGAGAAAGAAGAGGAGACTAAGGAGTGATTTTATGGGCCTTTTTATGGTTATATGGCTGAAAATGAGTGGAAAAAAGAGGTCCCATAAACTGAGGAAGAGTCACAAGGAGGCAGAGAGCGTCAACTTTATGACCACCCTTTCATTTTGTCAAGAGGGGACAGGAATCCCTCCAATGTCGCTGTCATAAAAAGACAAAATTCCCCCTCCTCATTACCCTGATATTATTTGCATATGGATATTTCTGTAGACGCAGATTTTTTGTTTTTGTCTGATAACCTTAGAAACTGGCGCTCTTCTTAAAAGAAAGAGAGTAAAAATTTAAAACGCATGTTAGATGGAAAATGGCTTAGCTGATAATTTTATTTATCACGAATTCGCTTTCAAAAATAAGAATAAGTATCAAAAAGCATAGCCAAACACGATCAAAACATGACCAACGCCACCCTGTGTTGTAAATAGACGAATAGCCTACATTGAAAAAGAACATGGACGTCATTTATAAGCAAAATGTAGGCCTGTAACTGAGTAGTACGTGTTGAAAAAAATCATTGCAGCGGATCCACTGGCTGCACCAGCCCATGTTCAAACCACAATTTTTCTATTATTCTGATTCTAATGATTAATGTTACTGTTTTACTCGTTTTCACGTGGATGGCCTAGACAAAGACATAGCCATTAGAGCTCCTCAGACATCTTTTCTTTCTAGGATGTACCAGGGAAATGCAATCGTTTGAAATCCTTTGATGCTACCTAAAACCTGGGGGAATTGCAATAGAGATTTCTGAATATAGAGATTTCATATGGTTATAATTTGAAAAAAAAGTGTTCTATATCAACCTTATATGATTAAGTTATGTATGTAGCATTTAACCCGATATACAGTATACACTTGTTGAAGACAATTTGTGAGTCTTTGGAAGACAACTAGCTCAAATGTTGAGATTGTAACCACGGCACTACCTAAACTCAGAGCCTTGCCCTCTTTTGCTGAATTTTTATTCCTCACTTGTGGCATCGCTCTGACTGAAACGCAAGCTATATTTCCCCAACAACTAAAACTGCCTATAACGCACATGTACTGTGTATGATAATACCTGCTACAATTACAACGAGTTTTAAAGTAAGGGACTTTGATTTTGATGTGCTGGTGATATAGCGTAGTTGTTTTGCACTGAATATAATCTTTATGTACGTCTTGTTATATATTGATGTTAACAATATGCTCGTTTCCTGGTGTTTTCTCCTGTGAAAAACGGAATTGTGTGTCCCGCCATTGTTGATGTAAAATCACAAATAAACAAGATGGCTCACAATCATTTCTGTTTTTTTTTTTTATTGTTATTGCAGCCTCGGAAATTACACCCCCTCCTCCTCCTTTACACATAAAATGAAGCTCATACATGTTTAAACTGAGAAACAATGCAAATGTAGTCCATGCATCTGTGTGCCAATTCAACTTAAAAACTTTGGGTTCAATGTAAAAAAACAGTTTTTACACATTTAGAAGTCATTTGACACAAAGTAATCACAGCAATTCAGAGAGGAAATGACCCCAAATGCGACAATCTCGACTTTTTGATGGTGCTGTGAAGTCTGCCCAAAATATTCACAGGCTGCAGCAGGATGAGAGAGAAAGAAAAACAAAGAAGACGATAAAAAGCCTCATAACTAAAGTTTTCCTAATTCATAACTTTCTAGTATGTCGGATTAAAAACGCTTCACATGCGCTCGCAGATGTATCTCGTTACCTTTTAAGGAAAGGTTGAGAAATCCCTCTCACAGCGTGCGCACTTCTCCAAAGCCTGCGTCGTGTTTGATTCATCCTCTTAATAAGAAACTTCCTCTCTCCGGGGAGGACACGAGGCTTTTCTTAATGAATCTTGTGATGAGTAATGACTGTATGGGATGGGATGAAGAAAACATCTGGCGTGATGTTAATAATCAGACTAAATAATCAAAAGAATAAATAAAAACTCGCGAGGTGGCCTTCTTCCTTATATGCATAGGAAATTGCGCTCGTGTCCAACCTGGTGTTGAGTCTCCGGAAAGACACAATCAGGACAGGTGTGAGTCCAATCTCATATTCTCTTGTCTTTTTTTATAAGGTTATAAAATTAAAGTAACACAAACACACAGCAGTCTAACATTAAATTTTACTACATTGTGTAACTTCAATTGCTTCTACAATGAATAACAACACATGCAGCTTCTTGATACTTAATACAGACAAAAATATGATCCGTCTTTACATCATAACATGACATCTATCCTCATCTTGAACTTAAATTTCTGTTAATTTTAGGGACCAAACAGATCGCGTTTCGGCTCTTTTTCCATTTATTTTCTATTTTCCAACTTGAATTCCTTACCTAAACTATCACATCATGATCAGTGCTGTTTCTCAGTACTTGATCTAGCTCAGTGTTGCTGAAATGTGCAAATTTTCTTGCCTGGTGTGCGTCTGTACAGTTACAGACTATTTGAATAAGCTTTAAGTGATCCATTTGACGTGCGTAAAAAGACACAAGATGCAAATAATCCAACCTCACAGACTGCTGCAAGGTGTGACTGTTATCCTGCATAGTCATGCAAGTTTTTTCTTTTTTTCATTAGTCTTGTTGCTAGGCTAACTAAGATCCAGAAAAAATGAATCACTGCTTTGGAAATATTTACTGTTCTTAAAAGTTGAATCCTTCATCTTGAAAAATCTTGTCGAGCTTTTTTTTTTTTTTTAACTCAAACACAGAAAATTGAAGCTGCTTCATCTTTTTATTCAGTCAAATAATTTTTAAAATATATTTTTCAGTAAATGATTTTAAAAGGTTGCAGGGTTGTTCAATTAAACCTCCTCTTGCCCCAAAATCGCCTAACGAATAAAATCGAAACTAACACAATTTTTACTGAATCCTGTTCAAAAAGACACGACTGTGGCGAACTGCTTTTTAAACCCTCTAGCTTTGTTCCCATTTTTAATCCACGCTTCACTATTGGAGTCCAGTCTTGCAGGTCTTCTTTTTGCGCTTTTCACTCTCGTGTCTTAAATTGTATCTGAATGAGTCGGTTTATTGCGTCAAGGCGCAGCCTTTTCATCCTGGGTGTTTATTTCCCTTTTTTCGTGCGTGTTGGCTTTAGAAAATTCCGGATGTGTCCCTTAAGTCACAGCTTTTCTCCCGCACGGATGTGACCATTGTGTGTGTGTGTGTGTGTGAGTGTGTGTACTTTTACCACAGCGTTGACATTCCCAATAAAGTTTAGTGTACCTGCTGTAAAGTTTATTGGCGGTGTAAAGGCTCGGCTGGGATGCCTCTTCCTCTTTTGTCTGTGTATGTGGAGGCTCAGTGTGGAGATCACGGCCTGCAAGGACAACATCCAAATCTCATTCGTGTATGTAACACAGGTTTATTTCATTATTTGGCTCTGGGAAATTGGATTTATCTCTAACTAAGACCACATGTCACAATTTAATGTTTCTGAGGCGAGAGGCCTTGCTCTAAGGGGATTTACGAGATAAAAGGTGCGTAAAGAGGCTCAGATTAAATTATATTTTGTCCATTGATCTCTTTCACTTAAATTCTTACACTGTTTAATTGGGTTACTTTAATATAACTCCTAATGTGTGTTGTGATCTTCTTTTTAGTTCTTGATGTTAAGGACGTGACCCTCTCAGCACAGATGGCGCTCGTTTCTCTGAAAAATATTAAGTGTGTGCGTAATTTGAAGGAGCATTTTTCCCGTAAATATCATCCTTGAGATCAATAACAGTTTGGGATGATGCTTGCTTTAAAGTTGCATGTTTAGCTGCTTTGTTGTGTCTGTTTCTGAAGGATCTGTGCTGCTTTTAAGATACAATAACGAGCAGACCTCTGAAACATGGATTCAAATATTCTCATTTTCTTATTGCGCATGTACCTTGAGCATCTTGTAGGTGTAAGGTGTGCACAGTTAAGTCATCCATCCTTAGTTCCGGTCAGATAGAAATATAGACTCTAATGTTGAATTCAAGTTTAGTCTAATTGAAGTTTAATTAGACGTCTCTCACTCTCTCTCTCTCTCTTTCTCTCTGCCCCTCCTCTCTCTCTCTCCCTCTCACATTTTTATTTCCCATTTCCCGTTTGCTCAGGGAACATCATGGCATTAGAGCTTGTCCATCGGGGGAACTGTCATTTCTTTCTGACACACGCACGTCTCATTTGTGACATATGGAGGAATATCAAGCCTCGCGCTCCATATCGCGTGGCCATTTTTAGTTTTGTGCAATCGAAAAAAGCAGAGTGAAAAAGATGGGTGCAAACATTCCTGGTTGTTAAAGGGAGAAATTTACAGCTGAGTAATAAAAGTTTACGACTGAATCCTATCTGCGATTGGCTGCTGTGAGCCACGTGGCACACGCTCTATGAACATGAACTTTATGCTGTTGTCTATTCTCTGGTCCTTCCCTTGTATCAGCAGCAGACTAAAGCTGGGGCGTTCAAACCTCTTTTATTCCTCCTTTTAACTCTAATATCAAAAGCACTGCACCATGATTTTTGGCGCTGCTTCGTGTGATATTCATCTGGTCTCCGACTTCCTGACAGAGGGATCTTCGGGGGACAGTCACCGCCTCTACCAGCCGCTGCTGCTGCTGCTGCTGCCTGCGAATATCCCTCCCGGAGGCAATAAAAGCGCGTCTGGGAAAAAGGGAAAGAGATCGAGAAAAAGACTTTCCCCGACGCACAGAAGCTCCTAATGGGCGAGATGTGAGGCAGACAGCAGTGCACGGGAGATGCGCGCTGTGTTTATACTCTCCCCTCAGCTGCTGCAAACAACGGAGAGCCCGCTGAAGGTAAGATTACACACCTCCTCACTATTCTCATGTTTTTATGCTCCGTTTGCCTGCTGGTGCTTGCTGTAGCTTGAGTGATATGATGCAGAGGTTAGTGTGTGTGTACGTGTGTGTATGTGTGTGCGAGTATTTTGTGCAGCCGTGACCTGACCTGTAGCCTGGCTGACTGCTGTTCTCCCCGGCTGCCGCTCTCTTGTACACCTGCGTGTGTATTCGTGAGTTTGTATTGGTCGCCCTGGCCCACATTAGCAGAGTATTTTCGTGCTGCTGCGCCAGTGTGTTGTGATAAATCGCTCACTGATAGTAAAGTTTGTCATCACTCACAGGCCCCTCCGACCAGGCAGTGACAAATTACACTCGGAGCACTCTGATGTGCTCTAATTATTCCTTCTTTACAAACTTGTCGTCACTTGTTAGATCCAGCCTGTGCCAGGAGCTTGGATAACATTTACAATTTTACGCACGCGGCTTTCACACAAATACGCACTCACATGCTCAGCATAGGAGACATATAGGCTTTAAGACGAGCACTATGGCACACACGGTGTGGATCCCGACAGTGCCCCCTAGCGATCACTGGTGTTACATGTGGAAGTGGGCGGGTGTTGAGGCTTGTTGTTTATGGCTGCTGCCTTTCGGCGGAGGTCCACTGCGGATGTCAGCTGACCCGGCTGATACAATGCTGCACGAGCTGACACGGAGGAGTGTTTCCTACTGTCTCATTTGTTGTTGTTGTTTCCAGCTCGGAAAGGGAAGCTATTAATTTGTTTATCTAAATGCTCTGTTTCGTTTTTTTGAAAGTTTGAATTACAGTATTTTACTGTAAAATCTGCCTTATTAGACAATCAGTGACGACACTGAGAGAGGGGGTATACGAGATTTTATTGAGACCACGAGCAAATCACAACAGATATATCCTCATCCATCACAAACAGTGTACAGATCTGATTATTCTTTACATGACACGTGCAGGATTGATCAAATACACTCGTTTTTTTAACGTAAAAAGAATACATGGAACAAATTCGAATGTGAGTGTGCTCAAACATGGTCTGATGTGCGCAGCCTCTGTGTGTGAATATGTATGGATGGCGTTGGCAACATATTGAACATCTAGAAAGATTCAAAAATCCTAAATTAATTATATGCCTTTTATAAATAAGCGTTTGGACCGAGTAAAAAGTTGTGTGATAGTTGCAGAAGTTTCCAAAGGCCTAATGGATACCACCGTGAATGAGTGTGTGTGTGTAGTGTGTGTGTGTGTGTGTGTGTGTGCGCAGTCTACTTTCTGTGAGCCTGTAAAGCTGAAAGCTGGTTGTTTCTCCAAACTCCTTCTCCTTCTGTGTTTCATTATTGTCTGCGCTGTGACAAAATGTCTTTTGAGTATTTCCAGTAATTTTCTGTGTGTATATGTGTGTGTCTTGTCTTGTTGCACACATCCTTGCATTCCAAGCCTTGTTAAAAAAATATTGTCTAAGCCTTTAAAGTCTTAAAACCTACTGTGAGGCACGTTGTTTGCTTTTCCCTTATGAAATGTCTCTTGTCTGCTGCTGCTGCTGCATCAAACTGCGTCTGTTGATAGAGAGAGAGAGAAGAGAGACAGAGAGAGTGTGTTTTATTGGATTCATTTGTGCTGTGAGGTAAATCTTAGTTTAAAATAAGAGGGGAAAAGCACAGTCTATTGTTTTGCCCCGCAGTGTTTTAAAAGCACAGATAGTCTGGTAGAAAGCTGCATGCAGTCATGAATCTGTCCGCATCACCACATTTAGAACCTCACTTACAAATCCCGACAGGGCTCAAAATTTTGCCTACTAATGGTCCTAATTTATGATGTGTGGATCAACATGCGCTCATTGGCCAACAGCTTCCTGAGTGCTTAACGAGCATAAAGTCGAACACTTCCGGACATTAATTGGGCCAGCCAGCAATGGTAAAGTGCTTATAGAGGGCTTTACATTGTTAGTATGTGAATTACTCCTTATTAGTCAGGTTAGGAGCGGGGGAGAGGGAAAAAAGCACCAGAGGCTGAGCACACTTCTCCTCCCTCGCTGTGGTTTTAATCATGGCTGATAATGTAGATATTTTACAGGTCCAGTTCAACTAATACTGAGCTATATTGTGGTGCTGGGTATTGATGTAGATTTAAAGGCATGCGTTAAAGAAGTGTGCATGTGGACGGGCCCTGTTGTGCTGTTGGAAAAGTTGGGCCTCCTGCACAAAAACCATCAGATTAAAAAGCGATCCAGCGTGGCAGTGATTCAACTTTTAACACCGACAGATACCAGAAGATGTAAATGGAATTTAATATGTGAACAATAATCCTTTCACGCGTGTTTGTATGCAGCCACACGTCTCCACTTTCCTTATACTAAGAAACAAATTCTTAAAAATTAAGCGCACAAATCAAACAAAATAGACGCTTATAATTATCATCATCCAAGGTTGGTGTAATGCTGTTCCGTCTGTAATAATTCAAGGTTTTTCCTACCTGGTTCTTTCCTTCATCGCTGTCATAATTTCCTGCTAAGGCTCGTGGAACAAACGGCACCAGAAGCCGTGAATGTGATTTGCCTCACGGGCCGCAATAAAACACTAAAACACGAGGGAAAGAATGACCTTTCTAATTCTGTACACTGGCTCGAGCTCTGCTGCATTCCTGCTCCTCCAGTCCACAAATTGGCTTTAGTGTTCAGCCTTTTATTTACAGCCCAAACTTTATGGACCAGCGTGTTTTTTTCCTCTTTTCTTTTCTTTTCGCGAGGGTGCTTTGAATAAGAATTGAGGAGAGAATCTGCGTTTCGAAATTCAGTGATATCAGATGTAGTTTTAGTTGAGGATTAACTTTGAGAATTTTATCTTATTATTTGTGTAAATTTGTAGATCGTGAAAAGGACTGCGCGATAATTGAAGTTGTTCTGGTTGAAGAAGTCTGCGTCCATGCTGTTTCTGACGCAGTGTGCATTTTAAATTCACAAAGTAATGGCGGACACCAAACAGCAGATTTTAACTCTGTTTGATGATTTAAATTAAGAGTAAATACAAAAGTGTAAACTTTAAAGCTCGAGTACACTTTTCTTTAAATCTCAAAGTTTGTTTCTTGTGCAGATTGAGAATATTTTATTCAAATTAAATAGTTTAATCCAACATTTTGTAGATTTATAGTATCACACTATCATAAGTTAAAAAGGAAAATAATCCCAGTGCTGAAGAGGAAAAGCTTCACAGCCTTCAACTTTTGCGCTTTATTTGCCCCAAATCTGTGCGCCGCGGATGTCACATATGGCCACGAATAAGGTGAAGGGGAACTTTTATTGCACCAGCCACTTCCTCCTCTTTGTTCTTGTCTCTTTTATGGGCTATTCGAGATCCCAAACAACACGCCAAACAGGGTTGCACGTTTAGTGTGCAAGTATTCACCCTACTGAGGAAATCAATGAGGTGAACCAATAGGCTGCTGCTGTGGCTGCGTTTGAACAGACATTTTCAATAACTTTATTGATTCCTCTATTGGGGTCTCCAATGGCCTGTTGTGAAAAGCGAGGATAATGTGGTTGATATTGTTCTAAATAGATGTGTGGAGTTTAACTTTTAGACGCTTAAATGCGCATCGATTCTTAAATAAGTGTAGTAGAAATCAAAGAGCGAGTTAATCAGCTGTGTTGTAAATATTTTTTTAATCCTTTGTGAAACTGGTCTGTTCTCTGCGCATAATTTGGACTTTTACGCATCGCCCAGACACGCTCTTAGCCGCTTAGATTTTTGCAGAACACATTTTAAGTAATTCCAAAACCTGTCATTTTCTACTGGGATAATTATCGGTTCCTCTCCACTCAGTCTGTGTCTCAGAGGAATGTCGGAGAATGATCAGAAAGAGGACAGAAAAAAAGGCTGAACACGTTCTTTTACATTTTAAAGGGCTGCGTTTGAGCAGCTCAACTTGTGTGCGTAAAATTAAAACGCAGACTTTTTATTTGCTGTGAGTGAAAGAGACTGTACCTGAGAGACAAGCGGCTCATAGTGAACACCGGGCCCAGCTGGTCTGTGGAGGATTATGTCTGACGTGTTGGACAATCGCATGACTGATTTGTTTGATCAAAAATGACAGGAGTTTTTCTTCTTAGACGCAGATCTTTGCTACACGCTGTTTCCCCTCTGCTGTGCAGGGCTCTTATTTGTGCTGCTCGTGTTGCAGGGCTCTGCTGCTGCTGCTGCTGCTGCTGCAGAGATAGTTGTTGGTGAGCTGGGGAACGTCACTTGTTTTATTGCCCTCACAGAAGAGAGACCATAAACGCATTCTTAACCACCTACACCCTCCCCCAGATCACAGCAAAAGCATGGAGATTGCTCACACGCCGGATAATTCATACACAATGGAAACATTAACAGTATTCTGGAAACTCGAAGAGATACAACAACAAAACAAAAAAAGCAAAATATTCATTTGAAAATTTCAGAGAGTGACGCTGCTTCCTGTGGGATGACAGTGTGGGGATGTTGTGGAAAATCTCTGCAGTGGTGTGGTGAAATTTGAAGAGATTTTTAAAACACACACACACACACACACACACACACACACACACACACACACACACACACACACACACACACACACACACACACACAATCACTCACACATAACCACAAGAGCTCAGAGGATTTTCCGTGTGCCATAGATCTGTTTGATGACTTCATAGTTAATATGTTGATTTCACTCTTAAAAGCCTCCTGAAGTTGAGTTAATGTGTGTTAGAATACAAATATTCCCCCCTGATTTGACGGTGATCCTTGTTCTGAATGACATTGGCCACATTTTTCACCCCCACTCTCCTCAGCAAACACCACATTCTGTAAAACTTCAAGTCAAAAAAGCCTCATCCATCCAGCCTGCACAGACAGTGTGCCACTCCAACTCCACGTCGTGTTTATCGGCATTTAGCACTAATGTTCAAGCTCTGAGCTAAAAGCTACACTTTCTCTTCAACTCCTGCCTCTCAATTGGTGGAGACCGGTCAGCTGACGTTGTCATATTGTCTCTCACCGAGCCAAGCCTCGGCTATAACACTCGCGTTTGTGCGTCTTAACCGGAGATTGGAAATTAATAATATTGAATCCTCAAAGTAGCCTACATCCAGTTAGAGAGGCAGAAAGTGGAGAGAGAAAAAAGAAGAGCTTGGAGAAAGGTGTGGTTGGTTGACACAGACGGGAAGGAGATTTACTGAGAAGGAGATTGAAAAGAGAGCGATAAAGAAGTGGGGAGAGTTTGGAGAGAGGGTTACAGGCAAGGTATGAATTCTTATTTCGCAAACCCGTCGCTCTCGTGCCATTTGTCCGGTGGTCAAGATGTTTTGCCTAACGTCCCCCTGAACTCCACCACCTATGACACAGTCAGACATTTTTCGTCGTACGGTGCCGCTGTGACCCAGAATCGGATATATGCACCTTTCTACTCCCCTCAAGACAATGTCGTCTTTGGCTCTGGCAGGGCACAGTACGAGTATGGATCAAACGTGTTTCTTCAGGACAAGGACGTGCTCCCAAGCTGCAGACAAACTAACATGGGACTCAATACACAAAGCCACATTGCTCAAGAGTACAGTTTGGATCAAGGAAGAGCAGGAGCGCAGGAGCAGAAAACCAACATCCCGATCTACCCGTGGATGCAGCGCATGAACTCACACAGCGGTGAGTTTTACTACGACAAATAAATTAAGGAAATGGGCCACTTTTACGATATGTCTTACCAAGAGAGTAAGTTACTTTTTATGGCCCCATAAAACATTACTGTATCCCCTCGACCTGTAGATGGGCCTTTGCATGTGCAAACAAACAGCTTTCATTTTAAGGAAGATTTAGGAGCCATACAGAGGCGCGTGAGGCTGAGAAAATGCATTATTATGCTTTTATTATTTTAGGTAAGAAAATAAAGATGCTCCTTGAGATAGTCTTGTATAGTCAGATTAATTTATTCGCCTGCATGGATTTAAGATTAGGAGGTGAAACTTGTGCTTAAGTGCCTCAAAGTATTTTCAAACCCCAGTGAGAGGCATGTCAATTTTAACGTGACATCAGACTTCGCCTTACAAATTGATTAAATTAGTTGTTCCACTTTGTATCTCAGCAGGAGTGGGCTACGGGACAGACAGGCGCAGAGGACGTCAGATCTACTCTCGCTACCAAACACTTGAGCTGGAGAAGGAGTTTCACTTCAACCGCTACCTGACCCGGCGCAGACGCATCGAAATCGCCAATGCGCTTTGTTTAACGGAGCGCCAGATCAAAATCTGGTTTCAGAACCGGCGCATGAAGTGGAAGAAAGAGAGCAACCTGACCTCCACGGTGACTGGAAGTGAACAGTCAGGAGCCCCTCAGGAGGAGGAAGCACGCAGTAGTAGCGCAGTGGAAGAAGAGAAGGATGAGGACAAGAAGAAAGAATAGTTCAAAGAAGAAGAAGAAGAAGAAGAAGCACCATCAAAACCCAACATAACTACCTAAAAAAATCTACATGGACTTGAGAGCGACTTCACTGCATGATGGCTAAACCCCGCAGCTCTCCCACTTATTCTCCATGTTGACCACAGGAGTGTTGAGCCTCAGAAATCCAAATTATTTCAGCCACAGTTTGGCCCCCTGTGACATGTGGAGCGCTCATATTTTTCTTATTATTTCCTGCAGTGTCACACTTGTATTGTGAAAATAAATAAAGAAGTATTAATTTCTACGTTATTCTCATGCCAGTAAAATCTGTGTATATATCCCTCACACCTTATCCATCACTGTGAACTCTTTGATCACCTCTCAGAATACAGTGTTGGTCAGACCTAGCTCAGTATTATACACGCACATTCCACGGAAGGACCGGACACTTTCTTTGATCACCGTATAATCCAGTACTTGAATAATGCGCCGAAAAGTGTCCTGCTGCATAAACATGAAAGTTGCACGGATAAAGAATACACTCCACACACACAAACACACACATACGCACACACATACACACGCACACAACTGAAATGCCTGTATATAATCAAAGTATTAGTATACTATGTCAACCCTGTGAGGACTTTTGTGCATTTAGCCGCTTCAATAGACGCTGCATAACATAAAATGCGCTTTTAGCCCCATTCTTTCATTTGATCGTTTGACACAATATCCCTGTGAGATAGATTTGTACACTTGTTATTCTTCACTTTTGTTTGGGAATTCATGTTTTGTCATAAATGTGTATCATGGAATAAAATATTTGTAAAACTTTCACCATGGTCTTGTTGTTTTTGGAAACCAATACACTTAAGAAAAAGGATTGGAGAGGCGCATGAAGACAATTTCTGAAAATTACGCACCAAAATCTGTGCGTAAAAGGCGAGGATTTTGGCTAAATTGGTCATTTTTTTAATGAGCTGTGTAATCAGTGGAGGGAAGGGGGAACACGTTTGGTAACTTTGTGTTTTTTAAGCAAATTTTAATCCAATATAAATGAATATTTAAACTTTTTTATGTTATTTTGGGAACGCGGGAATGAGCTCTTGTCTGATATACACTCAAACACTTTAATATTCCCGTATCGCTTGATACAACTTTTAGCATTCATACGCGTAAAATCAGCTCCGTGCGTAAAACCGTCTAACCAAGGACCACCTCTAATTTTATTATTATTGTTATTATTATCATTAATATTATTTTTTATTATAATTATCATTATTATGATCATGATTCATATTATTATCGTTATTGGAATATGTGGGTGTTGGTGGACTCACGGTGTGTCAGGGAGCTCTGGCCACTCGTGACCGTCCTGCTCCATACCAGACACCAGATGACGCTCTTGTCTTACTGTCCTGCCCTTTTTTCGCGCTAAACATCCCTGCCTGGTCCTCAACAACCAACAGCTCAAAGTTTACCGGACACGTTTCTCCTATTCATCAATATCCCCATTGAGTATCAAAGCCAATTTATGACTGGCCAACATGCGCACGTGATCCCATACAAATACCCCATATTTGGGCAGCGCACGTCGGATCAAGAATTAAAAAAAAGATACCAAAGCCTACTCCACCTATAAATCCTGGATTATTTTTTAGTGCAGACAGCAGTGAATTTTCCAAAAGCGGCAACAAAGAAAAGAAATGATCAACAAAAACACGGAAATAAGCGCCGCATCCATCCCGCAGCCCTCTCTAGTTTAGAAAGAAACTAGTTAAAATGAGCTCTTATGTTGACAGCTGCAATCTCAGGCAAACAAGCGAGACAACTTCTCCAAACACTATGTTTAGTTTCGATGTATCTGGGCGCACGTCCAGCCGTTATGAGGGTGTTAATGTGAGCGGGATATTCACTTGTCCCGTCCCCACGACCTCTGCTGAACGGGAGGAGATGAAAACTAGCCTGCGTGGCAGTGCGGATACTCCTCTCCCGGCAGGACCACAGATAACCATGGTCTCCAGCAGCTCGTCCGGAGACGACGCAGGCGGGCTCAGCTACGGGAGCAGCACTCTGCTGGGACTAGGGGTTGACAGAGACCCGGAGAGGAGCGCGAGATCCGACGGCAAGAGCCAGGAGAACGAGAGGAACGCGGAGAAGGCACAAGCGGAGAAAAGAACCACGAAAGTGAGCCAGCGACAGGACAGTGAGCAGCGGCCACAGATTTATCCATGGATGACAAAACTGCACATGAGCCACGGTAAAGTTTGCCTATTTCCTAAAGTGGGTCTGAGATGCTTTCCCTTATTCACTCTTTACGCTGCAACACTTCTTTTCGCCCGTTCCACTTTCCCCTCTTGAGTTTTATAGGCCAAACGCAGGAAATAATAAAAACTCGCGGTCATAAATTTTATGACAAAGGCATCCATTGCTCGTAAACCTGCTCTGTTACGGTGAAGAGGTGATCTGCGGGGTGATTTATGGTGCTATAATTGGATAAGAGAACTAAACTGTGATAAAACTATAAAATAATATTTACAAATTCCCCTCGAAGAATTAGTTTGTACCTTGTTTCTTTTTTACAACCTCACCCAAAGCTTCGTGCTTTTACATGATCACAGTGTATGAGGAAGAAGCTTTAGCCTTAAATTGAACTCTGGGAAACACCAATGCCCTGACCCAATCGTGAACTTTTCACCTCTAAAACATTTCAATAGGCGTGTTCTTTCTCCATGCCTTGAGAAACCACTGGTTGACTGTGTAGGCTGCAGATGGACACTGATGCACATTTGCTGCAAAAAAAAGACGACCTTATAGCCTGCTTTGTGTTGCTCCATATGCAAACATACAGGAGCCCACTGCTGGGGTGTTAAAATATATATTTCACTCCAATGGAGAAGGCCTTAACACAGCTGTGCACGAGTGCGTGTTATAAATATGAAATTATATATCTAGAAACAGACTGGACTGTATCAATTTTCCTCTTTTACGCAGATTTACTCATGAATTTGTCCTCTCTCTTTCTCTCTGTGTGTGTGTTTTATATTTCGTGCAGCCACTTAGAGGCCGAGGCCAGTGTTTGCATGAAGGCCACTTATTTTCCTTTATCAAATACAACCATAAAATGTAGTTCCCTGAATATAATAGAGGACGGTATGTTTTATTTTTGAGAAAGAGTGTGCGAATTATCCTTTTCTTGATTTGCGTTTATTTATTTATTGGATCTAGCTAACCACCCATATCAGCCTGGCGTATTTTTTTATTACACTCAAAGGAGTAATGAGTTTATGTAAAGCTTTTTGATCCTTTAATTTAGTTTAGCAGGGGCATCAATAAATCGAATTTGCTTGTTTTGCTTCATTGTGGATAAACCAGCTTCTTCAGCTTCTTCAAAGTCTCTAGTTTGATTTCATTACAATATTAATTGATCTCTATAATGCTTCTGAAAGCTAACTGGTTTTAATACTGCTTCAGAATCGGAGGGTAAGCGCTCCAGGACCAGCTACACCCGCTACCAGACTCTGGAGCTGGAGAAAGAGTTTCACTTCAACCGCTACCTGAGTCGTCGCAGGCGCGTGGAGATAGCACACACCCTATGTCTGAACGAGAGGCAGATCAAGATCTGGTTCCAGAACAGACGTATGAAATGGAAGAAAGACTCAAAGATCAAAGTGAAAGAATAAAAGAGAAGAAGGAGTGCAGCAGTGAGTAGACCCACACTGCTACTACTGCTGCTGCTGCTGCACCAAAGTGCTGGAGTGGCGCGTGACCTCTGGATGAACCGCGAGGAGCAATGACATCATGACACCGCTCTGTGTGCTTCATCACCAATTATGTGTCACTTGCTGCAGTTTGGGACCTAATGTATTGAATATCACTCACTTTGATCAATCGGTTTACATTTCTAAATTAATTTGCTGCCCATGCGATGATAACCTCACTTTGCTGCACGGACGGGACACGAGGGCTGAGGGGGAGCTGCAGGGTCCTTCACGGCTGCAAGACTCGCTGCTCTGGCGGTGTGTGCACGGAGAGGCTGCACAACAATTCTTCTAATCTGTGTTGTAATTATGGTAAAAGTAGAAGAGGCTGACTGACTCTTTAACATCATCGAAATAAGGGGACTCTAAGGTCAAAAGACGCACGAAAGCACTGCGAATGTCTCCTGACTGCTTTGGAAATGGTCTCATGAAATAGTTTCCCTGCAGTATAAACTCACAGATTTGTCTGACTAATAATATGTTCAAAGTTGGGATGTGTGATATGTCCAGTAAGCTCATTTGTGACTGAATTTCTGTTAATGCTGTGTGTGTCTTTAATTTGTGGATTTAAATCATTCAGTGTAACTCTACGACTGTGTGTGTGTGTGTTTATGTGTGTGTGTGGTAATATTGTGATGTGCAGTGAAGCCATTCCTGTACACTCTGTAACCTTAAGGTGCCTGGTTCAAAAACAAGGCCCAGAATAACTGATAGATGGCTTAACTGTTGAGTGAAACCAATAAAATCTCATCCTTAAAATAAAATAAAAACAATCTCGTCTTTACATTCCTCATATTTGCTGCATCAGCCGATAGATATTTGTTTTTTCCTTTCCTTGGTGAAGTCGGTTTTAGTCTGCCTCAGAATTTCCCTGACAGACAAACGCGCTCAGAAGTTTAATGCCCTCATAAAACTTTATTGCCCCTCTTCCAGCCTTCCACCACAGGCACACTCCGTTTCCTGTTTAGTCAGGGAAGGAAGAGACTCTCGAGCTAGCCTGAGATAACACTCGCCCACAATACAACGTGGATGCAAAACTTTGGTTTCCTGTGGCCGCAGACGGACGCGCCACGCACCACAGTGGAGACCATATGGCACCTTTATGATATGGCCCTGCTCTTTAATCCTGGCATCATTACGCCGCAGTTAAAAACAACACTAGAGGACATAAAATCACCCCAATTGCTTTTGTAGAAGTAATAGCAGTTTTCTACGGTTAAGCCCAAGGTTAGGAGGTAAATTCTCTCTTTCACTAGTCAAAGAAAACAAAAATACACTCACCTCTCAAACTAAAAGCTTCCTATTGAACTTCCTGGACGGTTTTGAGAACCGGTCAGCGCAGCGTCCACTTTCTCTGCGCTCTGCTAGGCCTAACCTATACATGGACAATGCATTCAATCCCCTTTTTCTATGTCTTTCTTTTAGGGTATTTTAAAGTTTACAAGGTTACATATGCCAATTGCCCCAAGCAGGGCCTGTGAATGGTGCATAGGGAGCACGTGGTGTCATTTAAGTGGGTTTTATGGCCTGGAAGAGCTGACAAACCTTCGATATATACACATCATATATAATCTTAACTGTCCGGAATCGCAGCTGCCGGCTTCCCCTTATCTGAGGGAGAAAGGGCTTTGTGGCAGTGAGGATGCAGTACCTTTCTCCGGACTGTGTGAGAGGCGGCTGCTGCTGCTGCTGCTGCTACGGAGAGCTGCACGCTGCAGTAAGTTCATTTTCAATTCGACTTCAGGCCTGCGAGTATATATGCCCTGATTTTAGCGCAGAAAATATTGTTGTGATGTAGAATAATGTGACTTTGAATGCTTGGTTATTTATTAGAATATCATTTTAATAACAGTACTCAACTATAGTTAATAAGCGTTTGATAGTGACTGAATAGTTATGCTTTCGGAATAGTCGGTGGATGATAATTTGGAGGATATTTGGTGTTGCGTATTTGGATTGGCAGAAACGGGATCAAACCAAAATTCCTCTCATAATTTTTCCGGTTATTTCAAGGTTTAAACGTCCTTCTTATCATCTTTATATTTACATATTTTGATGATTTTTAGCTGGTGATTTTTAACGCCTCAAAGAGATTTGTTGTGTAGTGGTGATCCCTGTGACTCAACAGTTTGTTAAGCATGTTAGTGCTGTCACTAAGAGGGAAGAAAAATGTCTGAGAGCGATTGAAAAGTCAGCCAGAAGTATCATAAAATCATCTGGCGTCCAGCTTCACCCTCCACCCCCACCCTCTCCTTCAAATAAAATATACATACTGACTCTCTTTCTAGAAAATACCGAGTTTGTCCTCTTCAGCTGAACTTTCCGGGCACAGATTTGAAAATAACAGTGTTGAAATAATGTGGCACTTTTGTTTTCGGCTGTGCTTTGAGTGTTAAAGCCTTGTTAGATTTCTCATTCGGTGGCACAATGTCAGTGTGTGTGTGTCCCTGTTGTTTCAGGGTCATGTCTGGGCCAGGAGACGTGTTTAATTGAAGGCTAGTTTGCAGCATAATTATTGCAGCATTGTTAAAGCCTGTGATAAAACAAGGAGCCGGAGTTAAAACTGCTGTGAGAGAACAAAAAAACATCTTTCATGTACAACAACAAGGGAATATTTGTTTCCCACTCCTCATATTTTTATGCTAACTTGTTGTCCTCGTGCAGGGGCAGATATCTGAATTGATCAGTTTGGAGACTGATGAGGCGACGTGTTCTTATAGTTCGATAATTTTCTATAGGCCACATGGTTTAATTGCTCATAAGTCTTGGAGAGCAGCTCATCCAAGAAATACTGTTGTTTGCTTTAATCAATGTGTGGAGCTGTGAATGGTTCATTTTAAGTCTGGAGTGTGTGTGTGAGTGTGTGTTAGTGAGACTTGTGCAGGATGTGTGTGTGTGCTGTGAAGCTGCTTTAACTCTGGTTACACTCCTCTGTCTGCGTCATGAGGTGTGAGCTCTCCGCTTTTATTTTGAAAAATAAAAAATAAGATAAAATAGAAATCAATATTTTAAAAAATCTCTGTACATATTCAGGATTTCAGTTTTGTAATCAGGTGTGCAGGATTATCAGTTATACACTTCCAATAGGGGGCGCTGTGTAACATGCTGCTGTGTGGGTGATGAGACACTGTGGGGGCAATGTACCCACGGAAAAGCTCTTTGCACCCAAATACTTTATTTGGCCCCAGATTTATAAAGTGTTTCTGACATGTTTACTTAAAAAAAGAGGAGGTCTTTGATTGAAAATAAAGTCAAGAATTAAAGGATTTCCCACATTGGACGACTCTGTCCTCCAAAAGAGAAAACTGTTCCTTTTTTTCTTTAAATTGTGTACAAATCTCATGCGTAAAATCGCCCAAAACTCACCAAGATCTTTGTTATCATTAGCATTCGTTTCATTTAATCCATTATTTCATTTTGAGATGATTGTTAGGCCAAAGATTAGTGTTAGTGAAAACCCCACAGCATCTGAGATCAGAGTAATACCAGCAGAGTAAAAGTGAAGCAGTGTAAACATCCGTTTTCTCCTCCATGTTCTGCGCTCTCGTGTTCCTTTCTCTGACCTGTAGAGCTGACACTGTCATCATTCACACACAGGGGTCATTTCCGGGTGAGCACAGACTTTCCTCTTTGTCTGACTCCAAATAAGAACCATAAACTCTCATTACACCGTTTTCCCAACTCACAGCGAATTTATTTACTATGTGCAGACATAGTTGTGAGTCCTTTATTGACTGTGCGCCATAACTCAGCCACGATGAAGTCCAGGGATTTCTATTCTTAGAATATTTGCCCGAGGAAATACCGAAACGTCTGTAAATTTAGTTTTTGTCTTTTTATATTGTCTGAAAGTGACCCGTCCTCGATTTGCCGTCCTCGGTCCACATCTAGAGTCCACTCCAGAGAGTTTCTGGGACAGACTTTGTTATAGTTGGGCTGAAAAACTGAAGAGATTAAAAGCGAAGGGACACGCTGAAGGATCATTAACGTCAAAATTATGTCTGAATTGTTCGTTTCTGTGGAAACAGAGGTTCACTTCAGGGAGCGCGTAAAAATAAAGAGAAGGCCTGTTGCTTTTTAAGCACGTGACGCAAATTGTTGTGTTCTTATTTGATTCCTTTTTAATTGCTGTTCTTAATTGTATGGGTGCAATTTTAAATAAAGTATAAACAGACGTCAACCAACACATAATGCATCTTTTTATGACTATCCTCATTGTTGATGAGTGTTATTTTAAAATAAATGCTCGATTGATTTATCTCATGTCCTGTAGATTCAAAATGTATTTTCACTATTTCTCAAAATGTTCAAAACTCTCCTCGATATTCTGATATTTCAAGCTCCACATACAAAGAGTCTCCTTTTCAAAACTCATAAACAAAGTTACACCTGAACTGATTTTCGTTTCTCTTGTATTTTCCAGACTGTTCATCGGGTCAACAGGAGTGGCACCGTGGATTCCTCCGTGAGTATTACCGTCCCCCGTCTCTGCACCTGGGTCCAGTCAGGAGCTGTGACACTTCATGCAGCTTGTTCTGTATCTGCAGGCAAACAGCTGGCTGAGATCAGGGCTGTATGATGCCTTTGATATGAAGCAGTTTCTTCAGGGAAGGTTGTGTTTGTGTTAAGACAATTGTTGTTGTTACTCCCTAAAAGATCTCTTCTTGATTATTTCCAACATTAAGTACACAAACAAAACTTTAACTGTGATTACAATCCTTCGGCTGACCACTTCGTGTCTAGTTAATATGTGGAAGAGTTGCACTCTGGTTGCACAGGTGAGCTGGATTCACCTCTGCACTAATGAGACACAGCGTTTCTATAATGAGCTGCAGAACAAACAATGGTTTCTGTGGGGCATCCACTCTTTAAAAGCACCTCTGCTACCCTGGCTGCTGCTTTTAGAGGCTCCTCATACCCAACTGGTCTCCAGTCTGTCTGCACTTCATTAAAACTTTTTATTTAACTGGACGCTCCAGATGAACGTTATTGCACCTGGGGAGGTTGCACGTGCGGAGGCTATTAGGTTAAGGGTTTGATTAAACGCGCATCGTAACCATTTTCATCAGGGAGTGGGGAATATTGCTGCTCATGCTGCATCCAGGTCAGCTGCTGCTGCTGCTGCTAATGCTGCTGGGCCACCAAATTAAAAAACAGACACATCAAGAAGGTTCCCCGCATACTTCTGCGCATATTTATTCTGTTTACGTATGTACATGTGTGAACACGCTTGTACCTCTGTTATTTTTCAGAGGGGGGGTGCAAAAAAGAAGCTTAACAATTCCTCAAATGAACAAATGAAACATCAAATTAGTCCGCCCGAGGGCCTCATTTTTTGTACTTCTACATTATAACTAGTTATTGAACTAGGTGCACGATCTGAAAGCCATTTGTGGGAGAAGGAATTCATTGCTGTCTCTCCATCAATAATCCTTGGCAGTGAACTATTGGAAGCAGTCAAACGCGAGGGGTGAAACGCGGGTCAGGCTGTCTAACTAATATTAAAATGCGTCCGCCAGAGCGCACGACGAGAGAGGAGAGGGGAGTGTAGTGTGCGTGCTGCTCGGGTGCAAAACAAACAGCGTGTATTTAGATGAGAATATGACAAAGCCAAATAAACCTGAGTGAGATTTTTTAGGAGAATATTTACTACCTGGTTGCTTCAGTCTTTTGTTGATTGATGATCAAAATGAAAATGCACGCGGAGAAATGTGTAGATTGAGATGCTTGTGGACAGTATCTGAAATTCCCTTATGCGTTTCCACTGTAAACAATTCCATTGATTCACAATCCGAGCGTGTTTGCTGTTTTTAATAACCCCTGAACAGGTCACATGTCTGATATTGCATTTTTCATCCGAGGCTTTTCTCATTAGCTCTCGGAGTGGCAGGAAGCAGGGTTACCGAGCGGTCAGTATGGTAATGGCGAGCACGAGAAATGGTTGGGAACAATAGAAACTTATTTTTCATCCTTGCTGTCACGCCGTTCCTTTGTACGCGCCGTGTTTGTGACTGAATATTCATATAGGAGCTATCTGAAAGGCAGGGGGGTGTTGAAGGAGGGGAGCGGGGGTCTTGTCCTTTACGCACGACATTTTTGTGGGCGTATGTGCAATTTTGTCGCTATGAGTGCAAACATATTCCTCTGATCTTTTCCTCTTTTTATAGACTAGCTGAATGTAGTATGGTCTCTTTAACCCTGGTAAGCAGCCTCAGCTTTGTGCTCTCTGTCTCTATTTTCTCCTGAATGCATGCCAGTCTAATTGAGCCGTGATAACCTGCTTTGCATCTTCTAACCTAAAGCCCATTAGTTGTCTATATGTACCCTGTAGAACCGAATTTGTGTGAAGTCCAAACAGTCGCAAATACGTCTCTACAGGAATACATGGGCAACTGAAATACCACGCCAACAGCCAATGGAGTCCTCTGCGCCCCCTCCTTTTACTGGCTTTTCTTCTTCTTGCTTCTGCGTATCCAAGCATCAGTGATAAAACACATACATCCTGGCTCGTGCAACGCCATAACAGTCACAAAGTAGTATGGCCTGTTCACGGTGCAGACAGCGGTAGATTGTACAGGCAGGTTAGGCCACAGAGAGTTAAGCCATGTGTGCAGAGAGGAGGCTACTACTGTGTCAGAGCCTGTAAAACACGTTAGGAACCAGGGGTCGTTTAAAAGTGACTGATTTACAGCTTTTATTGCTCTATAAAACGCCTCTAACATCCTCGCGAGGGCTAATAGAAATGTCGCGCGCATTCTGTACAAACAGGAGAGCCAGAAATGGCATTCCACGTCACTTTTGGCTATATTATGTAATCACACTAGTGGAAATAGATGCACGTGATAACTTTAAAGCTGCTACTTTTGATATAGTAGTTGTGATTTACTTCTGTTCACATTTTAGAGGAAACCCAGGACTTTCTCAAGTATGACTACTATTGTGTTATTATTATCATTATTATTGTTTTTATTATTATCACAGTTATTTTACAGTTGTTATTCTGGCCGCAGATGACCCCATAATAGTAACATAAATAGAAGAAATGAGACCTTTGTGTGTTATACAGAGGCTGCTAAGCTGTAGGCAAACTCTCACACCACAACAGACAGAGTGTGGGGTGGAAAGTGAAAACCAACAACAGATCATGACAAGTTTATACAGTCTAACAGGATCAGTTTACAGAGGAATAGCAGACCCCCAGTAATGTGCCTGATGGTTGGTGCTTCTGCTATGAAAAGTATGTCACATTTAGAGGCTGTGTTTCCATCTGGTGGCATGACTGAAAGATTCTTTTTGTGTTTCCAAAACCATAAACGCTGTACTTCAAAGCAAACAGATAGTTGTACCTATATAAACTGGTTGCATTCATCTCTAAACATCTGCCTACAGGGCAGTGTGTTCCTCCTTCTCCTGAACATTTTCAGACGTTTATATTTGGGTTGCAAATTCAAAAAACTGTCATGTGACAGCTGATAGTGGTCACATGCTCCTCTTATGGGCCATAACAAAGGTTTTAGGCCATTTTGCACTCAAGTGTAAGATCTGGATTTTCAGTGATGCAAAAACAGAGAGTCAAGATAAGATGCAGAGATTACAGTTAATTGCTGCATTTTAATCCTCATTAGAAGATTTTTAAGCAGTAATATTAACACTATTATATTGAATATTGCTTTTTACATATTTTAAACTTCTAGAAAAATGCACTTATTCCAAAGGGATACATAAGTTGTTAAATGCTCTTACTCTCTCTTTGATAAGCAACAACCAGTTCTTACTTTACGCTTCTAAAGCACATCAGGACTCATCTGCAGTGCAGTCAGGGAGTCCTAATGCCCTGAGCCTCTCTGGTCTGTGATACTATAATGATGTGGTCTCCTTCTTAAAAGTCCATGAAAGCAGAATAGTTGTGTCCCAGTGCTGGCTTGTCCTTCATACCACAGTGATGCTGCTCTGCACAGTTATGACACCACAGTGGAGCTGCCTGCTGGTCTACGCTTTTCCTTTGTTACTGTTTAGTCAGTCAAGACTTGAGACATAGAAGTATTGATGATGTTACACTCCTGTGGTCTGAGTCTGGTTGCTTGTTTATGTTAGGAAGCTTTCAGCCAAATCATATAGATTCATTTAACATGAGTTGTTTTTAAAATATAAAATAAATCTGACTAGTCTGACTTTTCTTCTTTCTACACTTTGACTTTTTTTGTATTGTAAACTTGGATGCACCTGACATTTTTTATTCACACATACACATCATATATACCTAATGCAAAGCAGATTTTTGCCTCTGACATACAAATTAGCTTGAGGAGGATCAACTCTGTCAATTTCAGAACCCCACCTTTAGCCTTTCAAAAATAAAACAGAATATAAAAGGAGGTAAAAAATATTAAAAAAGACAAATATTCATCTGTGCATTGAAAACCTTTTGTAGAGTTGGCCTGGCTTTTGTTGTCCATGCACTGTTCTCCATCATTATAGATTATCTGGCCTGTTTTCAAACATAAACCGCACCTCCTGATCATCTCCCCCCTCTCCAGTCCTCCTCTCTGACATTTAGCTTCACCATAAACCTTTGAAATATCAGTGCTGAGATGCTTTTAGAAATATCATCAAAGCTGCAGCAGCTCTATAACTCTTAAGTGTATTAATGGAGCATAATGTGCTTCACAGCTGAAGTGTTGTTGCTAAAGACTTCATTAATTAGCAGATAACCTTTCTATAAGGCGTGCAGCTTAACAAAATGATTGCTTTGCTATTGTTGTGCCTTATCCTTGGTGAATCACCTATTGTCCCTTTGAATAATTGAGACCGGTGGATTTTGCCGGTTTTATTTTTTCCTTGGTCAGCAACTAGCTACTAGTTTTGTCCCCAAGATCAATTGCCTTGGTAACACAACCAGAGAGGGAGAGAGGGGGGAGAAAGGGAGAGAGAGTGATAGAGAGAGGTAGGGACATGGAGAGAGAGGGAGAGAGATTTGTGCCCACAATGGCGACTGTAGGTATGCTAAATACCTCTGGTTCCTTATCCGGGAACTACCTCTTACTCCGCGATTGGGCCACTGGGTCACGTGGTAAAAGTAACTTTACAGGGCTGCTCGCAAGTAGGAGGGCTTTATGGAGCAGAAAAACGACAAAGCTAGAAAAATTATTTTCCACTCCAGAAATTAATGATCATGAGCTCGTATTTGATGGAGTCTAACTACATTGATCCGAAATTTCCTCCATGCGAGGAATATTCGCAAAATAACTACATCCCCGAGCATAGTCCAGAATATTACAGCCGCGCGAGGGACACTGGCTACCAGCATCACCACCAGGAGTTATATCCTCCGCGGGCGAGCTACCAAGAGCGCCAGTATAACTGTGCAAGCATCCCTGAACCTGACACGCCACGGGGACATGGAATACCCCAATCTGCGCACCTGCTGACAGGGAAAGGGCAGCCTGCTTCATGTGAAACCCCACAGTTGTCCATGTCCCCCGCCACCCCACCGGCCGCCACCTCCGCCTGCAACCAAGCCACCCCGGAGCATCCCAACAGCACAGCCTCCTCCAAGCAGCCCGTGGTGTACCCGTGGATGAAGAAAATTCACGTCAGCACTGGTAGGCAACTTGTGTGTTTATGTTCCCTGCACTCCTCATGCCCCTCTCTCCCTCTTTTTTCCCTCCCTTTATCAGTCCCTCTGACTCCCATCTCGTTGCCAGCCCCTGCTCCGATAGCAGGGAAGCCTTTGAAATGGCACAATTGAGGCGGATTTACGACTCGGCATTGGTAATTACACCCACCATAAATTTTATAGCCGAGGTATACTCAGGGCAGCCGTATCACCATGTGGCTTCTGCTGTTATGTATTGCGCGATGGAGAGAGAGGGGGAGAAATGAATAAGAGAAAAAAATTGAGCTTTGTAATCTTGCATTAATAATTTAGCTGATAGTTGGATGTGAGTGTCCTCTCATTACGCGGAGAAGTTCTTAACTTCCCATTTAAATCCCTCAAACAGCCAAACATTCATATCCAATAAATCTTTGCAGCCATATCTCAGTTGAGGCCATTCTTGTTTACCCCTCCTTTCCTCCCTTCTCTGTCTCTCCACTTCTCCTCTTTCTAGTGAACTCGGCGTACAATGGGACGGAGCCCAAGCGGTCTAGGACAGCTTACACCCGGCAGCAGGTCTTAGAATTGGAGAAGGAATTCCACTATAACCGGTATTTAACTCGGCGGAGGCGCATCGAGATCGCCCACACCCTGGTTCTCTCCGAGCGACAGATTAAAATCTGGTTTCAAAACCGCAGGATGAAATGGAAAAAGGATCACAGGCTGCCGAACACCAAAGTGAGATCATCGTCCTCCTCCTCCTCCTCCGGCTCCAACACAGGCTCAGCAGCCGGCGCTGTAGCTGCTGCCTCGGCCACTAATACAGGGGCCCCCGACGAACTGACCGGAGCGCAGCATGGCGAGGATATTACCAGGTTATAAACCCACGAGCCAGAAAAAGAACTGGTTATTTATAGAACAATTCTATATTTTGTTTTGGTAGCTATCTTGTGCGGTTTCCTTTAAGTCCAAAGTTATATAAAATGCATGTTATATAGCATGGATTACTGCGAACACCGATGAATTATTTTTACGTGACACAGGGTTTAATTTATTTGAAGCTCAATTAAAATGTTTTTTATGAAAAATGTTTTGAATGAAGGAACAAAAAAAAAGTAGAAAAAAAATATACATTTTATCAAAATGTTATTGTGGGCCATTCTTTGCCCTGCTGCCCAATAAGGTGAAATGCACAATCTATTTATTTCAAACAACACTGGAAGGAAATCACTATAATAATAGTTATTTTTGGTATATAAAAAAAGCTGGAACACACCATTGATCTTGAACTTGTTTGTTTTGGATAATGTGTGAGATTACCTCGTGTATTTCAGAAAAAAACAGGATTTTATTTGCAGTTTAGTTTTGTGGTGTTGATGTTGTGTTTTAGACCGTTCAAGCAGATTATTGTGAAATGCAATAAACGGAGTGTAGTGTACTTGTGCTAATCATATTGGTCAATAAAACAGTGAGTGTCAACTAGTTTTAAATACGTTTGGTCCAACCTTCATTTTTTTAGGCAAGATGAGGTCTGTTTGAAGGAAAAGCCCCCCTAAAAATGTAAACATGTATGAAAACCTGAACATTTCACGAGGGGACACAAGAACCACTGTGTTTTCAATCTTGAAGCTCTCTCTGGCGTCTTTAAATCAGCAATGTGTATGTATGTGTGTGCGTGTTTGTATGTGTGAGAGAGAGAGTGGGTTAACGCCTGGCTCATAATGGACTGAACTTATTTCTAAAATCTGAAAAAAAAGAAGGAAATAGTTTGCGCTCTGCATTATGTGCAACCTCATCAGTCTGAAGGGCATTCAATTAGCGCTAAAGACGTGAAGCCAGTGAGGCCCTGAACGCAACACTGCACTGCCTCTCTGCTCCCTGCGTCCTGACCTCAACACAAAGCTGCATGCCATTCATTTAGAGGACATTTGCAATGTGTTAGACATTATAGATTGTTGTGGAATTATTCAGAATCATTTTGTAAAGTAGCTGCCCTGCTTTTTCTATAGTCCACTCCGCCATGCGACTGAAGTTTTCAAATGTAAAAAAAAAATAAAAGACATCAAATAAAAAAACGTGGATTGCAGATAGATTGAATCTAATGCGTCATTTGGTTTTGGTTGGGGATGAATATGAAGGAAACCAGCTGATCTTTGGTACCAAGCTCTGCAAGGATGTTGATATTCTCTTGTGTTGTTGTTGTTTTTTTTGCATTATATTCTCTTGCTGTGTCCCTATTGGGTCAGACTGTGCAGCAGCTCGCGAGAACACAACAAAAAAACTACTTTACAAAGAAAAAAAAAGGCGCTCAGTACAACGTCATGTGGCAGGAGGACCAACACTCTGCTGGACTGTTTACGACTGTCGATCTTCTGGACTGACTGAACCAAATCTTACACCAACTGCACCTGAACTCAAGAGTCGTGTTTGATTTTTTTTTCTCTTTCTCACACAAGGATGCATTGTTTGTTGTATTTTTTTTTTTAAATTCGTGCAAAAAGGATTCCAGCTGAACCATGACTGAAACCCCAAGACGCGCAAGAATTTGATAGATTATTGAAATAGTGACATGAATAGGGCCTTATATAAAATGCCTCGCGTGGTGGGGGAGCTCGAGAGCACAAAAGGAAGAGGTATTCTCCATCATCAATCTTTCACTACACAGCTTTGTGTGTTATGTTCGGGAAAAAAAACAACTCTGACTACAGCCACTGTTGATCCTTCCAAATATTATATACTAGGCCGTATATCATGTAACATTATTCCCAAATGTGAGACTTTAAATGGCCTCTAAAATAACTCACTTTATCCGCAGCAGAGCGGTTACAATCTGCCATTTGGTGGAGGCTTTGGAAAGGCACTAGAATGGTGTTGAGACGGCGCTGAAAAATGAATCCACGAGCCTTTATGTTGCCGGACAGATTAGAGAAATTAATGTGTGCGCCACAGTCGCAGCATCCCTCTGCTCCTTTTCTCGGCCCTGTCGCCTCCATGTCGCGAGGCTGAAAAGGTATTTTATTGAAGTTTGGGGGCGAAGAGGGAGAAGGCCGAGTTCACCTCGAGGACACATTTTCTGTCCCATTAGACTCATTTCAGTCTGGATAGCCGACCTCTCCCACCCTGTGACCTGACTCCCTCTCTGTACGTGTACCTTCTGTGTGTGCGCGCTGCTCCCCCTTGGCCTCAGTTTTCTTTGCGGGGTTTTCCTTGTTGTGTCCATAGAGAGGCCTGCGGCGGGGCATCACCGAATTTGCTCAGTCCTTTTGTTCATCGGAGTAACGTAGTGCGGTATTGAACTCTCGGACAGATTTGCAGATCAGGGCCCTGAACGTGGAGAGCCTGAGACTTGTCAAACCGAACTGGAAACGTTTGTGGTAACTTTCAACGCCGATAATGTCGTTACAGCATGAGCACGCATGGTTGAAACAATCCAGAAGATTACGAAAACCCCTGCGTAAATGCGCGTAATTCTTTGTTTTTTTTCTGTATGTTTGACAGGCGTTTGGTGAAACCTCCCAAATTACCTCACGTAACTGATCAAATTAATAAAAACCTAAAATTAGCGTCAAGCTTTAAAAATGTCACACTTCCAGAGGTTAATTACATTCCCCAAAGTGCCCAAAAAACTGGAGGCAGTAAAAATAGCTGACTCCGTCACGTGACTCCAACATGACTCGAGAGGATAACTGGCCTCAGGTCAGTACTTCCACTCAAAACTAAGCTGCCAATTATAGCCAGGTGTTTGTGACAGGACTGGGACAGTTGGTCATCGTGATTAGTTTCTGGACAGAGACCTTCAGCATCAGTACAAAAACCTTCAAACTTTTACACTCCTCTTGTAAACTTTCAATCAAATTTATTTACTTTCTCAGATAAATGCTGGGATTTATCTTTCGTTTGATAGAGCCCACTCCAGAAAATTAATAGTGTCGTTGAAGCATTGCAGATGTTTTAGGACGTCTCTAACTGATTTATACGCAGAATTTGAGAATGACTTTAAGAGAATTTTCTAGAATTTATTGACCCACTTCAACTTTTATTTCTTTATTTTGACAACCCGGTTGGGTCCACATTACAGCTCCAGGACCAGATTTTCACCAGCAGCATGCCTTCAGTGTAGATCAGCTGACAGACACTCGTGTCCAAACAACTCGTTTAAGTGTTCATCGTGTGAGGATTCAGCTTCTGAAAAGTGGAGCTCGAGTTACTCTGAAGAAAGACTCTGTATGCCCCTGTTGTTTGAGCTCCTGTAACTGAAGATTGGTGTTAAGTATACAGAGGATAATCTGCGTTTACTCCTGTCTTCAAACTTTTTTTGTAGGACTTATTATTAGGCACATGTAGGAGGCTTTGTTGGATCTGTTAGAATAAACAGATGTATTTAAAATAAGTCAAACAAAAGCTTATGTCACCTGTCAGCCATCAATCTTCCTGTTTGTTATTTAACTCTGGGCTGGCTCGTGGGCACAGATTCCTTCAGTATGAATTATTATCGATATTGACAGATATTTATCCTCATATTTGGAGCCAACAGAATAAGCTGTCCACTTTGTGTGCGAGCTTAACAAACAACCTCAATACGATCAGCTTGAAAGTTTTATAGCCTTAACTTCAAAAGGATGGACATGGATTTAAAAAAAAACATATTTACTGTATTCAGTCAAAGAGACATTTTTAAAATTTACAATAAAGTCTAAAGTCTACAATAAAATTATCAGTGAACCATTTCGTTTGAGGCTCCTCGTGTCCAGTTGCAGTTGTAAGACACCTTTAGGAGTGTGAACCAAATCTTTAACTCAACACCTCACAGCCACACCGTGTATATATGTGTGTGTTTCTGCGTATGAAGTTCACTGTCTAAATTCCTCCCTTCTTACTCAGTCTGTAACTGCTTTCTTCTTACTGGAGAGACTGTTGAATCACGCACATGATTTTAGCTCACAGTGTATCGCTGCAGGCTGCAGGCTGTGATTTATGAGCACCTCGGGCCAGGACTCTTTCTTTGAGGAAATAAGAACTTAACACAAACAGCTATCGAAGTGTTTGAACAAGAGCAGATTCTAAACCAAAATGATCTGTGTAGTTGCGGTGATGGCAGGCTGTTCACTTACTGCCTGTTTTTATTGTTAGAAATGCGCGTTTTTAGACGTTCAATCCTCTCCGCCCGTCTCAGCTGAGGGACTAGTCGAACTACCTCTCTTTGCAGTGAGAAGTCTGAGTTGCTGTTGTATGAGATAGTGGTGTGTTTAAGCGGCAGTCATGGCAGATGCATAAAGGCTGCAGAGTTGAAACAGGGGTCACGCTGCTATTTTCCAGGGACACACAGGCTCTCGCGCATTGACCAGCAGTGGGTGTGTCATAAATCCGTAAATCTTTCTAGGGAGCAGATGCACCACGTCTTTCCTTTGTGTGACTGTGAGTGTCTGTGAGTGAGTGAGTGTGTGTATCTCTCTCTGTGTGTGTGGTGGAGGCAGAGTTAAATGAATTTGCATAAAAGTAGATTTTAAACCTCCATCTAGAATGTTACTGTGATTTACTGTCGGTGCTGGCAAACATTTCAGAACAGCTTGGATCCACACTCGTGACGCAGGACATGATGGCGTGCGTAAACTTTATGTCACCATAACGCCTCGCTGAGATGTTCCTCATTAGCCTATTTGCTGCATGGTTGAGGACCTCAGAAATGACTGTGATTTTCCCTCAGTTCAAGGTGTCACCAAGGGCCCTGGCAAGCTCTCGACTGAGTTATGATTATGTGATTCACTTTTCATTAGCACAAGTGATCTGAATATGGGATCCAGAGACTATAGATCCACAATTACGCACAGGTTAAGTGAAAACGCGCTCTTTTATACTGGATTTGTTCTCGGGAAGTGATTCCCTGCTGGAGTTGTGTAGCAACATGTTGCATTTATGCTGCAGTCATCTCACGAGGACAGCTGCTGGAGTCATATTTTCTCATGGAGTTACAGTTTAGCGCTCAAGACGTAATACACTTTCAAAATAAAAGTCCAAACTGAAAATGAAAGGGTCACATTGACACCACAGGATTTAACCCTGCCATGAATTAAATTAAAAGAAAATAAAGTTTGATCAACCTCAAGGTAAAAGATCACTAAATTAATGTAGGACTTTTTTATCTTCTGATTTAAAGCAAGTTTAATGATTGTTTAGAGCAGCTTTGTCTGAGCTAATAGTTTCTATTGTCATCTAAGAAGAGATGTGAAAGCAAACTGACAGAAGATGCGTACTCATTTTTTTCAGTCAATCCTTTTTATTGATAAAAAACAATTTTAATAATATAAGAGCTGACCCAAAGTGCTACAGTTAGTGAAGGCAGCCAGCATTAGCGTTGGTGCCAATGACTGAAGACATAATATATTATAAAGCACTGGCAAAATATGATAAAACACAAACTGTGCATCACATTTAAGAGGAAAATAAATATTTAAAATGCTGCAATATAATTTTGAGTGGATTATCCTTGAATCCGTGAAAGAAAAAAAACATCATTTTCAGATTCATTGTCTTTGAGCTGCTGTATTTCTACCCTCCACACACTCTCTCACACAGTCAGTGCTGTTGGCTACACCTTCTCGTGCCCTATAGGCTACACCCAAATTAATACAATATGTTAATGCACGTGCTCACGCAAAAGTCAGGACTTGTTTGGGGAATTGACAGTGTGTGTCTTTCCCTCACTTATGAAGTACAGTGTGCAAACTCTGGTCCTTTCATTTCACTCTGCATTGTTTACAGCAATATAGGGCAGCGGGCCCATAAATCTTCCGCGTGCTCTGCAGAGACAGCGCCATTTGTATGCACCGTTTTAACCGACAGCATCCTCTGCCCATTAACGTCTTCTCCCGGCTCTCTCTCTCAGTCTGCTCTTATCTGCACGGCTCCGTCCCCCTTCCAAATACATCCGCTGAACCGTGCACCGAGCTCTGAAAACCAATTATGTTTATTTGTAAGATTAAGAGGTGTTTAAATTATGGCAAAAGAAACAAAAATCTATGAGTTGCATTGCATCCTGAAGATTCTCCCTCCGCTTCTGCTAAAGATATTCCCCCATCCTCCCTGCGCGTTATAGGTCTGAAAAATAAAAGTTTATCGACGGTTTCCTCGCTTGTTTGTGTCAGCAGGCGAGAGAGCGCAGAAGGTAAGGAGGAATTGTAAAAGGGTTGACACCCAGAGCGACCGGCGCGCTTTTGTGTGAGAGAGAAAAATGATTTATTGCCAGCGAGGCGGTTCAAACAGAGTTCACGGAGAATTGTGGTGGAGGCGCAGAGGAGCTAAATTATGGGCTTGCTGAGCTAGTATATCATAGATTCTATCTCACATTCAGAGAGTGTGTTCAAGGGTGTGAGGCAAGGAAAACAAAAGCAATTTAATTACAGTCCCCTATTTCAGTCAGGGCTCGATGCATGCTGCTTAACTCACCCCTGAATAATAATAATAATAATAATAATAATAATAATAATAATAATAATAATAATAATAATAATAATAATAATAAAATATTTGATATGATATTTATTTTATTTTGACAGTTTAAGAGGAAGTGAAAAATCAATTAAGGATTTGTTTACACTTTCAAATTGAAAAGGAAAAAAAAATCACGTGACTTCTTATTTGCAATACTATATAGTGGCAATAGCAGCTGTATTATTGTATAAGCCTTACAGAACAGAGATTTCCAAATCAAATATTTCATTTATTGGAAAAAAAAATATAGAAAAAAAACTCCAAGGACGTCACGACTGCGTGGAGGTTCAGGTGAATCCTCCGTGATGGAGGCAGCAGGGGTGAAACGGAAAAAGGGGGGAAGGCTCCTCTTCTTCAGCCTGAGTGCATAATCCATCACCGCAGAGAGACATCTAAAGAGGGTCTCCTCGACAGCTTTGTTGTACTGAAACACCAGAAGGAACTTCTATCTCAAGCCTGCTTCTAATACAAGATTGATACTACCACAGGTTATACATGCTAATAACGCAGCCCCGTAGAAGCCTCTCATTTTGGCTGCACTATTTAAGATTTTCAGAGAGCTTCATTATTATATTATCTATACACTCTGCCCATTGTTGGAATTAAGCAATCTTGCTTTATGAGTTTTTTCAAGGAGTAACTCAGTTATACCACACTCATGAAGCTTTGATAAAAAATAATAATAATCACCACAAGAATATTTATTATAGTGTTTTTAAATGAAGTTGCAAAATTTATACTTTATTTAAAAGCTTTGCACTTTATTTCAGAGTTATAGGTTGACTTGGGTGCACATCAGTGTGAGCGCAAACTGGCGCACATGCTCAGATTCTCCTCTCTTTTATGCAGCATGGACAGGATGTTTACCATCAAATGTTTCTTTGACAGGCTGACAGGCAGGGACACTTGATAGTGTACTTCACTGATGCCTTATTAATGCAAACACATTGTATCCTCCTCAAGGAAAAAAACACAGTAATGATTGTCTCCTTTGTCTTTGTGTGGCAATGACTGTCAAGCCTTTGTTTGACCACTCCCAGTGAATCTTATTAAGGCAAAGCTACACTTCTAGTCCGGCAGTTATAGCATATGCTCTTATTTTGAAAAAAAAGAAAAGAAAGGGGAAAAAAAGCCCGCCGATTTTTTTTTCTAATGGGGATTTAAATTGGTTGCAGTTCTTCTGAAATGATCTTTATTATTTGTTTCTCAGGAAAAAGCAGCCTAGGGCCTCTTACATATAAACATATAGCCTAGCTGACGAGAGAAAATCAGCTTTTATCATTATAGCGCCTTATTTGATAGATAACACAGACTGGAGCACTTTGTTTTTAATTTTCACATTTTAAAAAATCAACAAAATGACAATAGATTTGGATGATGACCCATTATTTTCCCTTTCTTTAAATTCCAGATACAACCCTCTTGTAGCAGGAGCTCCTCGCGTTGAATCCGATTAAAAAAACATGCCATGAAAAGTTCAGAGTGGGCATTTCCTTTAAATAACAGCGTCCAGTCCGAGCATTAACAATATCACCTGAACACACACACAAAAATAACAAAAACAAATTCTCTGTTAGCAATGGTAGGTTTCTCACCACACAAATCTCCCTCTGTCTCCCCCTCTCTTCCATTTTTCTCTCCCCCTTATTCCGCAAATCACACCTCACCGTGTCTCCCCCTCTCATTACACGCGTGTTGGCGTCTTTTTCATGTGCCGTTACGTGTGTTTTTTTATCCTTAGGTAATGACTCGAAGGCTGCAGCTCATATAATGTTGGCTGAAGAAATACCTCTGAAGCGTCTTCGGGCGTCCCAAGTTGCCGGCGGATTACTTTCCAACTCCGGAGCTCTGCCATTGGAGGAGGAACCCACGTGACTACGGCACCCTTCTGGTAAATATTATTCAAACGCTCCGCATGGTTACTCCAAGTATTCTTCCCTGCATGCCTTTCTACATGCAGGTTAATTGTGATCGGATATTAGACAAACAGAAGTCGTGGTCTTTAGTGCTGCTGAGGGATTCCTGTTTTATTTGAGACAGTTTAGTTGATGAGTTCATGGACCCCCAACTGTCTGCCCTCCCGCTGCAGCTGCATGGCAACAGTTTGGCTATGAGCTCTGGACAAGTGCCAGAACTGAGCCTTAGATACAATGGAGGAGGCGGAGGCCAAGAAACGGAACTTAATCAGCAAAACATGACCTCTTCTGCTCCTATCATTTCCAGGTTGAAGCCAGGTGAACACTTTGAGAATCTACCTGAGCCTGTGGGTCACAGCCACGCCAAGGACAAGCCAGAGAACAAGAGCAAGAGCTGCAGTGTGTTCACCATCTGCCACTCAGGAGTCATTTTCCCCTGGATGAATCCACGGACTACTGACTCTCAACAATCTGGTAACTCCTGCTTTGTTTATTAACTTCATGCAGCCGTAACCACTGGGACTAATAAATTGCAACACAATGTTTATCGGGAGCTCTGATGGGGAGAATCCAAATCTGGACTTATTAGTAAGACTTTTTGTTGCATGAAGACAGCACTTCACTGTCCTCGTTACAAATTTATTATAAGTTATTCAGTGGTCAGACACCTGCAACATTTATTAAGCGTAAAAGCAGGTTAACCAGATGTGAAGGCTATTCTGTGCCTTCTAGGTTGATTAGATTTGAATGGGAGTCATGGTAAGTGATGCAGCAGCTGCTAAAAACACACAAATGTCACACTTGTCAGGGTGTTGCTCATATCTGTTTTTTTTCCTTCCAGTCCACATGCAAATAAATACTCAAAAAAAGAAAAGTGGTGATGCAGAGGCCACACATGAACTCCCTTTATACATGTAAATAAATAAGTAATATCACCATTTTATGATCTAGGGGAGAGTGGGGTAAGTTGAGCCAAAGGGTAAGTTGAGCCACCCCCTGTTACTTGGAAAAGGGAAAAGAAATTGATCATGTGACCAAATATTTAGGAGATGGGCATCAATTCATGGAGTCTGTGAGAGTTAGAAGTACATGGGTAAAAGGGTTAGACATTTATTTCCAAAAAAACATTTTTCACTCTACAAAGTGAATTGAGTCTGTCTTAAGTTTTATTAGAATTGTGTTCAGACCAAAAAAGGTCATTTTAAATTTGTTTTATACATCAATTGTGGTATCTATGAGCTACAACATGAGGTCAAAAACCTAGCATAAAAGTCCACCATTTTAGCTTAGAGGGCTAATAAAGTCATCATCGTAGTTTAGGGGTAAGTTGAGCCAGTCATATTTACATCCAATTTTATTTATATAGATTCAGATTGTTGAAATATTTTACTTTTTCTTTCCAAAACTACAGCTGTGAATGTTCTGAATCACTTAAAGACATTCTCTTGTTAAAATGGCTTTTTACAAAACAGCTTTTTTGCAGTTATATGTAATAATAATATATAGAATTATTGTACCAGTTGAATAATGTATAATAGATAAAAATACACATGAATGTGAAGAAGTGACTGTTATTTAGGGAGGGATAATAGTCAACTTGCACGGGGTAAGTTGACCATAGGAGACCACTTTTTTTGGCCCACTATATTATCAAGACAGTTGTGTTTACACTCATTCTGTTGGTTTGCAGGGATGTGCACCATCTTGAAATATATGCAGATACACTAGTTAGAGACAAAACTATGACTGACTTGATGTAATGATCCAAAATATAAAAAATGGCTCATCTTACCCCATTCTCCCCTATACACAATCATCCAATAAGCTGAAAAACATTCACCCTCATTGGTAAGAATCTGTTTATTTGGTGTGATTTTTATTCCATTGCATCGAACAGAAGGTTTACACAGAGAGAGAAGAAAATAGGATGAAAAAGAAGGAGCAAAAATGTCCTATTTTCTATTTGATACATTAGAGATGCTTCTCGTTTCTTGCTTCTATCACTCCAGACAAGCTAGCATGCATACAGGAAGCTCCAGCCTGATTGAGTGTTGTTAAGCAGTTTCCTCTCTTAGGCCACTGCAGGCCTTATTAAGTGTCCATTAACCCTTCATGTCATGTTGTTATCAACAGGGCTCTGATATTGCTCATATACATGTCAAATGGAACCTCTAATGGTGGTTATTTCCAGTGCTGCTCCCAAGGTACCTTTTAAGTGACTGAGATGGGGATTTGACAGGTCTGCTTCCGCATGGAGCTGTGATTAATGTGGCCTGTCAGGCTTGCCGTAGTGGCGTCAGATGTTTCCCCCAGACTGTTTCTTCGGGAGGTAACTTTCCCTGAACACATGACACAGTAGACAGCCGGTCTTATAGAGTGTCTCAAGCATGAGTGAATACACAGGAAGAGCTGAGGGCCCTTCTTTGTCCGTGGGCTGATTGGTGGAGGATTAACACTGAGAGGTCTTCTGTGGAGGTCGTATGATTCAGGATAGACTTGTTAGATATGTGGCACCCTGCTTTTAACAACCTCTCTTCTTTATGTGCTTTCCTCTTGCGTAAGTCAGTGGAGACGTGGCAGCAGTGGGTCTATCAGGACGAGGAAGCGCCAGGAGGGAGAGGACGACGTTCACCAACAGCCAGCTGCTGGAACTGGAGAAGGAGTTCCACTTCAGTCCTTACCTGTGTCGCCCTCGCAGGATAGAGATGGCCAACGGGCTGCAGCTCACAGATCGCCAAGTCAAGATCTGGTTCCAAAACCGCAGGATGAGGTACAAGAAGGAGCACAAGTATACCAAAGAGGGCTGTTTGTCCCAGTTGTCTGCCTGGGATCCACCCTCCAGCTCATGTGCAGACGTCTTGAGGTTTCCAGACTCATGTGTTGTAAGAACTTCCTCCTCTGCAGAGATGCACTGCATGGATTATGCTCCTGCTTCCTGTTGCAGCGGTCAGTGCTTTCACTCTGCAGATCTGACCTATCTGAGCTGTGTATCTCAATCTGTTGGTTGGCCATCCTGTGTGGATGGAGACAGTCATCACTATCCGAGCATCTCAAACTGGCCCTAGAGCCTAATAACAGCTGCCCCTCCTGTGCTCATCAAAATCTCAACAATACATCCACTTTCATTTAGTTGTAAAAGACCGGAGGACGTCTGATTAGCCTCTCTGGGCTGAAATCCCCACAACACACCCAGCTCACCATTCATGAAACATTTTAATTAAACTATGTGAGTGTATCTTAATTAAAGGAGAGCTGCAGCGAAATCATTTGTGTTTCTCAGGCAGCGAACCTCAAGACTGCAGGTCTTTAAACTTGCTGTAAATACTGTACACAGACGGCATGCACAAGATGTTGAAGCATTTTTAAACTACATGGTTTTTTAATGAGATTTTGTGGCTGGTAACTGTAATGTCGTTGCATGTGTAGTGCAAGTGGGAACCATACCATGAGTTTGTTTTTTATGTTCTTCTACACAGCTAAGAGGCTGTAATAGTTTCTTTTTTGGGACTCTATTTTCTCAAGAGCTTACTGTGAACTGTTTGACAAACTGTGAAAAGAAGCAGAATAATGTCCACACTGAATGTTTTATTTTTTACCGTTTAAAGACAGTGTGAGTCTTTGATACTGTGTCTGGATTCATTGAGATGCCATAAACTGTACATGCTCAATAAATCGGCGCTGTTTACATGTTTTTTGTGATCAAGAATTTTCTTTTTATTGCAAATTTGGGTCAGAGTACAATCAGTGTCAATGATTTTTTTTAACAAAATATAAAGGAAAAAAAAAACAAAACTCCCCACCGCTCTTCCCCAGTCCAACGAGAATAGTATAGTAGGGCTGGGATGATATGCTTTTCTCCCGATTTGATTCTTGTACAATTTTTTGGATGCTGATTCGATTTAAATTGCGATTTTACAATAGTGTTGATTTTCTCAATCTTTAGTCTATATTTTAAACACCAGTGAAACAGTTAAATGATTATGATTGTCTACTGACTATTCCAGGAACCATATTCCCAAAAAATATAAATCACATTTAAGTCAGTTTTTAAGATTTATTCTTAAATTTGAAAAAAAAAAGAAAAAAAAAAAAGATTTTTGAACATAAAAATCGATTTAAAAATTGTAAAACAAAAAAATCGTAATACTTATGTGAATTGATACCATATTTTTTGCGCTATGGGCGCACTTAAAATCCATTTGGCTTGTCAGAGCACTGCAGCTACCGTAGCCTCGTGGAGTTATTGAATGAGTTTAATTAAGTTTGACTTATCTGACTGTTTTGTTTGGCTTAATGCGCTTTATAATCAGGTGCGCTTTATGTATAATAATAGACGCAAATAGATGCGTTTATCGATGGTGCGCCTTATAATCAGGTGCGCCTTATAGTGCAAAAATAGGGTATTTTCTCCCACCCCTATAATATAGTAAAATATAAAAAGAAAACTGGTGATTCTGCAAAAAAACAAAGTATATCAGACCATATCCTTAATCTTCTCAGCCATGTGAGGCACTGTTTACATGTTTTCCATCTGATTAAAGTGACATTTTATCTATTATCAAGACTTCCTGGAAAGACTCAGGAAAAAAACTAGAGGGATTCTGTAATCAAGTTAAGCCATGCCTCAGACTCCTTGAAAACTCTAGTATTGTATTATAAACTATAGTATTGTGCATTCAGGTTGCACAACCCTGATACACAAACCTCTCCCTGGCTCCTACCTCTGAGTTCCCCCCCATTAATCACAGAGACAAGGCGGTCTTTCCAGCACTCCAACCACAAGCTCTGAACCCACTGGGCACCATGACAAGATCTCCAGCCTCCTCCCTCCCTCCCAACCCTTGCCTTTTCAATAGCCAAACTGTAGCGATGCAAGTCAGGGCCGGCCTCTCTCTCAGGGGCCGTGTAAGCCACGTTAGCTTGGAAGCACTTCCAGACCTCAACACACTAATGAGATTCAGTCACAAATGACAACAGATTATCTTAAAGGACAATGAAGAGACTGTTTTAAACGCCGTCCTCTGTGCCTTTGTGACCTGTGGGTTCTCAGACCTAAACCATGTCACGGAAACTTAATTGTGATTTCAACATTTTGAGTCTTGCTGAGCTAAATTAGGCACCTGGGAGCTCTCTGCCTTTATTTGACAGAAGTGGGTCACAGACAGGTTCTCCTGAGTCTCGGCAGAATAGTGTGTCAAAGACAGACAGCAACTCTCATGATGAAGGAGTAAACCTCTTCTTACACCTGATAATGTGAGTCCTGTGGTATCAATATTGCTAACAAAGCTGCACACATTTTTGGACATGCTGACAGCTTTATATTAGTGTCCTTACTGTAAACGAGCTGTCACTGAGGAGTACTGACAGCTCTGAAATCGAGAAGCTAACCAGGAAGCTGATCCCCTAGTGGTCCCGGATTGAATGACTTTCTCGCTCCTTATTTATTGGCTAATCAGCCTGTGGATCAGCTGTCATTTGGTAAATATTTGACACCATTTTCAGCAGGTCTCAGTTGGAGTCAGGGGAGCCATATAGCAGCCATAACCCTGTGGAAAATTTGAATAAAATAAAATTATGTCTACAACCACATCTGCATCAAAGAGGTGGTGACAGCGGGGTAATTTAAGAGAAAAGTAATAAAGGCAAGAGGGAGAAGCAGGAAAAAGTTCCCTCCTTCAAATATATTTGACTGGAAGAGGGGAGGAGGGGAAGGAAGAAGAAGAAGAAGCAGACAGTGTTGGATTCCTGAGATTCTTGCATACACTGGGTGATTTATGGTGTTAATGGAGCTGAGGCTCAATAGGACCTTTACCTCTGCTTCTTCCACACACACTAAGAGCCAGGAAAATTCACACACACACAGACAGACACACACACATACACACACACACACACACACTGGAGTGCAGTAATTCTGAGGATGGGGTCAAGGGGGATCCCCAAAGGTCAAGGAAAGCACCCCCTAAGGGCCCCTCTGCAAGGGGGGACACTACAACATTAAGTTAGCCCCTTGTTCTCACCCCGCGGTTGCTCCTAGTTAGCAACTAAAGTCATTATTTCCTTTTCACTCACTTGACCTCCTCAAAGATGATGACATCTGTGATATCAGGGGGTGAGATCTGCAAGGCCAAAGATGTGTACATGTTTTGTTTTTAGATCCCGGGCTTTGATCAGACTGGAGCTCAGCATTAAGTGGATCTTTGTCGTGATAAATGATGGCAGCAGTGTGTGCCATGAAACCAGCTTTGGTTACGGTCCATTATTAATTTCTTCATTTTTGCATTTTTGTTCGTTACAGTGACGGATGTACCACTGTCCCCTCTGCAGCTGTTGTTCAACTGATTTTTGAGGGTTTGATTTGAAAAATGCTCTTTCTTTGCATCGGGACTATGTGAGAACAAAACGGCTCTGTATTTAACAAAGATGACAGCTCTTCACAGAAGTTGCCACTGCATTCAGCAAACCTAAAGCCTGGAGCTCATCATGTTACCACCACTGTAAGCTGCTGGTGTCTGCTTAAGTTTTATGTTATGAGCAGGTAATTCCAGTCATGATACGGGGATGAACTATCAGAGGAAAAAAGTGATTATAATAATAAATGTCTATGTGGAAGCCGCTGCTCCCTCCCTGTATATATATATATATATATATATATATATATATATATATATATATATATATGCTGATTGGTTTGGTGGCTGAGTCTGAGGCTTCTGACTGAACCCCACTGAGAACTCCTCTATAGTTTGATTTGCCCCAGTCTTCAGCAGGTGTTTTTGTTACACTACAATCAATGCATACATCTTTTTACACCTAAATGATAATGACTAAACAGCACTCAAGCTGTGATAAATTCATAGAATAACCATCAGCAGAGCACCAGGAGGGAGTGAGATCCTCTTCATTAGAAAGTGATTAGGGAATCATCCCTATGGTGTGTAGAGTGGTAGAGGAGTAACCAGCTAAGTGAAATACATTTGACATCAAACCTGAAACAATAAAACATCTGATGGATGTAATTTATATATATACAAACTCAATGGCTTATGAAAACATGCAAAAAAGACTTTGTTTCCATAATCTTGAGGATTGGGATAAAGCAAAAAAATCCAACTCACTATCCACAAAAACATGTCTATCTACAGAAAATCATAATAAACTCAGTTAATGTGTTTTTTGCACTTGTACATGAATTGTTCACAAAAAAGTGGTCTGGTTTCTCTTCACTGTCTCCACATTTGTCTAATCAGAGGCGTCAGCTGAGCCTGCATGTTGTCATGACTTGCTCTCTTCCATCTTTCTTGTTGCCTCCTCAGTACATGTCAAACAGCAGTGTCATGTACAGAGTTTAATGCAGTCAACTACGGGAGGTGACATGAACGTAACCCTAACCCTAACCCTAACCTCATCAGGATCCTTACAGCCCAGCGACTTTGCTGTTGGCGATATTCGGACTTGCAGGAAGTGGTTTTGTTTATTGAATGAACAGTTAAATTGCACCTGTGATATAAAATGCATGTGCGAGATACTAAATCGCATGTGTGAATTAAATAAAGAAAAGCTCATGTCACCTCTCAGGCTCCGTAGTGAACAGATACAAATTTTATTTCATTTTATTTTTTATTTATTTTTTATGTTTTACTTGGTAATGGATGTGACGCGAAATGTTGCTAAGTTCAACACCTCAACAAATGAACTCCTTATAGCTTTGGTAGCTATGGACTGAACTCCTTATAGATGCCTCCTCATAAAATACAAAAGCAAACAAGACTATCAGAAACAGGATTAACCATTTTTATATAATGTAATTTATGATGCCTAAGACATGTAAAAAGGGGTAGAGAGCTTTACTTTTTGAATCTCGACAAAATGTTTACAGTAAACTTCACATTTTTTCGTCAAAAGTGCGCAGAATGAGATTTTTGTCAGAAGACACTATTATAGGAAATGTAGATGACAAACTAAGCAGTGTCTGCTATGTGCACAGGGGGCGCCAAAAGTGACACAAAGTGGAAGTTTCGCACTGGAGATTTATGCAAAAGTGTCAGTCCTGATTTAAAAATCACTCAAGAAGGTGCACAAGAAAGCTACTCAGCTCCAGTAATGTGAGAAAATGTAATGTACACTACGGTTTAGAGAACTTTTGACTGTCACTGTCGTATCTAAAAAAAAAAAAAAAAAAAATTATCTCACTTTTATACATTTAAAACTCGCTGTCCATTAAAATATGAAAAAAAATATCAGAAGAATATTTTGTTTTTTAATCTCTATTTTAGAGTATCTTAAAACAACACTGGTGCTGTTGTGTTGAATAATAACTACCAACAGACGAAGAGGAAAAACATGAAAAAGGTGACGTATTTATTAACTGTCAAGGTGAAATTCAAATTTTCACCCTGTTATCGATCATGCTATAAACACACAGACTAGAAATACACACACACACACAACAGGATCCACACCAATGGAGAACATCAGAATGAGGAGGCTGCACACAACATAGCACCCGTGTTATGATGCCCTGCAGCCTGATGGTGCACAAAAGGTAAGCTGTTATCTTTCTGGTGACCAGTCCCACCAAACTGAACTTCAACAAACTGAACTACTGACGCCATGACTGATCCAACTTTTATGGACTGTATTTATGTGTAAACAGGAAAATATCAAACATCCTATTTCATAAGTTTAAATAAAGACTCAAAGTGATCTTCCTGAGTCCACAACAGGGACAAGTTCTGCAGATCTACAACATTAGATCAGTTCTCCCAGTACTTTCTTTTTCTTCAGAGTGGGCCTGTCTTTATCAACCACTTACAAAAGATTCCGGTGTTAAATAAAATTATCGATAAGAATTATACTTCTGGAGAGGCAGTGATACATTGAATTGTTCTACAGGTTGTACTGGTCCCTAGAGTGTGTTTGATTCAATCTAGCAAACATCAAAACCAGACGAGCACAAAACTTTTTGTGACTCTTTGTTGTGGAAAATGTGTTTTTAATCCTCTACTGTAATATCTACCATGCTGTAGCATTCATGCATATTAACAATTACAACCCCTGATGGTATGAGGGCAAGCCCCCCACCTCAGAGGTTGCTAGTTTAGCTCCCAGCCACCACAATTACCACATTTTCCTCCCAAAATTCATGTCTCTCCTTTAGCTGTCAATCAAACAAAGACCAAATTGTCTAAATAACTTCAGAGAATTACTCTATGAACATAAATGGTCTTTATGCAGGTGATCTCCTTTGCCTTTTCAGGTCATTTAGACTAATCAGCATTAATGTCGATCTGTTTCATAACCAGCTAAATGGTCGTAACGAGAGCTTTGAGTTGTTAAGTTTTACACCTAATTGAACCGAGTGATGAGAAACAGGAAATTAAAGCTCCTCACAGTCTGACTGTCACATACAATACCTCGGTCTATTGTTGAGCAAAACCCTGAACTTCAAGTGTGGCCTTTAGGAGCCTTTGTTCTTTTTATGACCTGTTAACCTTCTCAGCGTCTCCCTGCACAGCAGTAAGGGCTGCCCACCACTCTCTCCAGGTGCTTGTTGCTCAAGATGACTGTTAAGTATCAATTTCCTGTGTCACCTTTATGGCTTTTATTTATTTGTCTGCTCCTCAGTGTGGAACAGAGCCCGAGCATTAGTCAGGTAGATGGATTATAACTCAACTGCTACGACTCATCAATCTCTGGAATTTGACTTCCTGAATCTCATACAACTGTTACTGTCATATTACGGCCCGGCATTATCAAGATCAATGACATTTTAAATGCTTCCCAGTTAAGGATGATCGGTGACAATAAAAAGGTAAGTTGGTAATGAAAGTGTCTCTCCGCTGTGCGCAGTGAGAGAGTCACCTGCAGGAGAGCTGCTCCGGTTAAATGAATGAACTTGTAATCACAACAGTCACCCTGCTAAATGTCACATGTTGACCATTATTGAGCACTCAAGAAGTATTTAACAGACAATGGCTTTATCACACCGGGTCCAATCAATGCTCGCTTTCTTTTGGTTGTTTTCACCTAAAAGGCTGTGTGGAAAAGTCACAGTGAAAACACAAGAGGTAGTGTTATGACATCTGCAGCATAGTTTGGTAACAGAATACAGTTTGAATGAGGTAAATATTCATCTATTTTGCTTTAAACACCCTTAAATGTTGGTTTATATGCTTGATACTCAAACATCTCATGATATTTGTTGATATGATTCAGAAAATAGTCCTTCCACAATCCATTTTTCAAACAAAACTTCATAAATTAGTCCCATATTAACATACTTAATTTATAAGAATGTGTTTGATGTTAAAAAACCCTAATTCATAGACATAGTAGGATACTTAAAGTACCTTTATACAAACAAATCAACATTTTTTTTTATCATGAATATCTAATTTAACCACCTTACCAATAACAAACCATTAAATGTTGGCTTTTATGATGGTTCTATCATATAGATAGAAGCCAAGTTCATGGTAACTGTATCTGCTTCAGTGCTGTTCTACATGCTGAGGAATAGTATTGGAAGAGAAAGTCCAACAAACTTTTTAAAAATGATGTTAGTTTTTCCAATATTATGGTTATTTTAATAAAAACACAAGTTTTCTCAGTTGGACTAAAGCATCAGAGGGATTAAGCCAATGTCAACAAAACACAAAAGTTAAAACTACGATATTCGCACAAAAGGATTGTTATTTTATGGACTGCATTAATAATCCTGGTTGAATTTCAAATAGAAAAACAAAAGCGTTCTGAGGAGGCAGCAATAACTCATGCTCTGCTGCCAGACGTTGTTCTATAGCAGATAACTTTATTTAAAAATCTACTGTGGAGGACCGAAGATCCAAAGATGCACAATATGTCAAACCAAATTTAAGGGAGTGTGTGTAAAATGATGCACAAGGCAGCTTGAATATTTCTGACTGATGGTCTCTGCCTCCATAACATAAATGCAGTTTGGAGATGACATATTTTATTGAGCATAAACACTGCATGGCACCAATGAGGACACGAACAACACAGTGAAATGATTCTTAAATAACCTAATTAAAAAATTGTAAAAGGCGTTTTACATATATATTTTACATCCTATACATCAAACTCTATAAGGCTTTAGAGATCTAATATTTTTCCACTCCTACCCAAACCTCTGCAGAAGATTAGTGTTGTATTAACACAGTGTCATTTTTCTATCAGCATTCTGCTATTAAGCATGATTAGCATGCACAGTAGACTGCTGATCTGCTCTGTGAACAAGCAGGGGATGTTTAAGCAAAAAAAAAAAAAAAAAAAAAGAAGGAAAATTTTAAAAACCACTCCCCCCCTCTTCTCCCTGCAGAGAAAACAATGCTGTATGAAGGAGAATATTAGCAAGTGTGCTGCAGTGATGAACATTTCCTCCTGTTTCATGTTTAACCCTGCTCATTTCCCACAGTAAGAACTCCGGAAACACAAGAGTGTGCGCAGCAGCTCGGGGGGAAGATGACTGATGGCTTGTTGTCATGATGTTTGGGATTGTGCCGACTCGAAGCCTCTTGGCTCAGTGAAGCTGTGAGGCACTGCCGATACATACTACAGGGCTATTGTTGGAAAGTCCTGGAATTAGTAAGGTATTGCTTCGTAGTCACACTGTTGAGCCTGTGCTGGATGCACTTAGCTGTAATGTCTCTGGCCATTTGCACAGTAGTTACATCAGATCTGTGCTTAAAGTTCATGTGCTGTGACTGATTTCATAGCAGTCAACCACAAAGAAAAGACAATCATTAGGAGCTGTACCATGAAGAGATGTCTTTTTTTTTAGACATCTAAATTTTACGAGATGTTTTTTATGTCCAAACAGCAGGAGAAAAAAAATACAACAATAAAGCTGCCAGACATCTTGACACCCATATTATTTGGATAATGTACACTCTGTGTAATGATTGTAGACTAACCATTCTCTGTGAAGCACTGTACACAAGTCTATATAAAAGAACATTATACAAGCTGTCAAGAAAATATATGGTATTTATAGGTGAGAGAAAATAATAGCATAACGTCACCTATTAAAACAAGTCATTTTTGAGGAAAATGAGTTTTTGGCTTAAATCATCTCTTGATAATTCTGGCCATCTCTGGTAAAATCGCTTAAATCCTTAGTTGAAAGGATCATGGCATGATCCTTTCAGCTAAGGATTCAGGCGAAAAATGACTTAGGCTATTATTTTAATAGGGTGACGATAGGAAGGTAGAGGTCACCAGTCTTGGTTTTTATACTTCCCATTTTGTGCATCTTACAATTAAGTCAAACTCTTTATTTCAGTAAAATGAATGTGAGTCTTCCTGGCAGATTTTTGCGTTTTCAAGTTGTACCCCCCGGATTGTGTGTGGGCTAAACCTTACCTCTGACATCACTATTTTTCAAAAATGTCAATACTTGAAAAACACAGACATGCTCTATCAATCATAAAGATAGCCATCTTTTAGCCGCTCAGTGTGCCACTCTTGAATGTTTGCACTGACCCCCCCTTTCTCTCTCTCTCTCTCTCTCTCTCTCTCTCTCTCTCTCTCGGCTTCTTTTTTTACCTTACAGCTCTATCATAATGCCACATTGATGAGCCTGAGCTCCATAAACATGGCATAGATGGCTGTCATTTTCCTCGTCCATGGAACTACATTAACAGCTCTGACCTCTCGAGCTTGTTGGCGAGACCCGTCTGTCAGCACAACTTAATTCCCAGTCTTGTGAGGGTCAAGAGCTGACACATAATGAGGCCTGACAGCATTGGAGGGCCACATGGGGGTCTGATGTCAGCAGAGGTAGCATGGATGAGGGTTCAATCCTGAAGTACTGAGGTAATCTGAGCACGGACGGCGCTGATCCCGGGGCCTCAACCGCCTATTGACACACATCAGAGCATGGACGCAAAACAAATTAGCATCAGTCAATATTGTCTCTCCTGCCCCCCTGACAGAGCCACACAAGAGCGGCCATGTTTACCTCACCTCCAGTCACAACAACTGGAAAGTCTCTGCTCCTAGTTTTGAAAGGATGTCTCTTTTTTGTATTTTGGAGGGTTTGGGGGAATAGTTTCTGTTGTTTTTGTAAATGGGATGCAGATTTTGGTTTGGGGGAAATCACCAATATTCACCTAAATTGTAGGGTTATCCTCTGTCTTCTATCTCATGCAGAATATGTGGTTTAGGGGAAACAAGCTGTCCTCAGCTGAAGATCACTTGTGCGTGTGTTTTTTTTTATGTGATAATATAACTTCTGTTGCATAAAAGTGCTGGTCAGTGATGTGGAACAGCTCTTCAAATATGCTAATCAGACATATGGCACTTCCTGGAACAAACACTGATTGCTGTTTTTGTCCTACCAGACAAAAAGGTTACTTGGTTTTTTAAATGTAATTTGTCTGAAGGCTGTGGGCTGAAGGAGCTGCTGCATGTTTTTTAAAAATCCTTTTGCATAGGGGGGAAAAAAGCAGAAATTGCTCACACCTGTTTTTTCTTCTTCTTTTCCCCTCTCTGCAACCCCTTACCCCCCCCCCTTCCCTTCCTTCTCTCCCTCCCTCCCTCTGCTGAAAGCCATTACAGAAATACAATTTCTAATACCTCCGCACAGGTCTTCGATCGACTGCAAACAAATTTATATTCAGGCGGTAAACAGAAAGCTGCAGAGATTTATTTATTGAGTGTGGAGGAGAGAAACAAGCGAGCGCGTGAACCCTGAGTAACCTCCGAGCTGACATGAAGATGGATCAGCGCGCGCTGCAAATGCATGAAGAGAGGGGATATATTGCACTCAGTCATTCAGCACATCGCTGCCTGTAGAATCCCATTAACTTCCACAGCTGGGACCATATTTCTGTGTTGTAAGGATGCAGTTAGAAGTTGTTCATTACGCTGAATTATTTTGTAATTACTGCAGACTTTAAAGACATAGTAAGGATTGTTGGAAGAATAAAATGATAAGAGAGTAACAGACACTTTGGGCTTTTTTTTTAATCGGATGTTACGGGTGGTGGTTTTGTGCAGTGGGTCTAAAGTGAAAATGACATATCAATAACATAATCATAATAGGATCATAATAAAAAAAGTTGCATGGTTTTATGGCTTTAAATCGACACGTTGAATGTATTAGTTATTGTATTTTTCCTATTATTGATTTTAGCTAGTAGGCACGTGTTAATAAATCATTCAAATCAATTTTAGTGGTAAATAATGAAATGTAGAAAAATAATTTCAATATGGTCTTGTTCACAAACCGATAAAAGAGAACCATGTCTGAGGTGAGAGGTATAAAAAGAAAAAAAAAACTATAAGTCTGATACATTAAAGTGGTGCTTTTATTTAAAGTTACAGTGAGAATAAGAGAAAATCTGAAATTCTTGGTTGAAACAAAAAAAAAATGAGACAGTTTAAATATCATAATCAAATTTGTGTTGGCTCTATTGATATTTTCTTCACCTGAGCTGAGCCGTGTGATTTTGAAAGTAGGTCACCAGACTTGAAGAAAAAAAAAAACTTGAGCAGCAGTGAGGAGTTACTTCACAGTTTCTCCTCTGTGCTGGGGGTGATAGCATCGAGCAGCTGATGACTTTTTGAGGAGGATATCTAGTGTTGCATAGTCTAAATGAGTTATGGTTTTTGAACAAAGTACACTGCTGGTTCTGTAGATACACTTTGTAAATGTAATTTTTTTTGTTTTGTTTTTTTTTTTTTTGCATTTGAAACTTTTATTCTGTATCAAATTACAAACTTCACAAATTTACAAAAGTGGTCCATTAATGACAAAAGAAGCACAGCTCATTAACAATATGAAAATAAGTCCAGTAAGTGAGACACGTATAGGTCATACTCCAGTGACCTGTCATTTTAAACCTATGTCCAGTTAGCTCAGCTCTAGAGTGTATGTAACTCCAAGAAGTTCAAGTAGTTTCTCCCATTTCCCCTGAATCCTCCCATTTATGTAATGTCCCAATTTTTCAAGAGTCAGAATCTCACATAATACAGATTTCCACATTGTTTCCATATTGTTGAATTTGATTTTGTCATCTAGCTTCACATGTTTGCACACACATTAAAAATTAAACACAGAGATGTGTTAGAGGAATAAAGTCTATGACACAAATCATTATTATTTTTGTCAGTCAAGCTCTATTTTTCCCCGCGGATGAATCAGAAGTTCCTCTTTGCCTCTCTGTCAAACTTTTGATCCCCGCTCGCAGCCATCTTCTTACAAGTATTTGTTCGAGGCTAATTACAAATCTGCTGCAACTGAACTTCTAAATACCAGCTGTCACGACCTCTGAACCCATTAAGTGTGCCTTTCACATGACCTAAGCCCTCTGCTGAAGACGGCCTCGGGTTTTTTTTTCAAGGAGCCGGCGCAGATTTGCATAATCCATTAGCTGCATCAATGTAGCTCTATATTATGCTAATTTAGCCTACTCTTTGGGAACAGAAGTTAGCATTGTTGGCGTGAAAAATAATCAGAAAAGCAGAGTTTGACCCAAAACACATTTCTCATGAAGGGCCAACAATAACACGTGTTTGATATAGCAAAGTGACGTCATAGCCTACCTGTCTGCAAAGGTGAGAGGCGCACTGAGGCCCTCAGCGTCTGCTAATGGACTTAAGACTGCTCTGTGTTTTTGGATGGCACCTCTAAAATGTTGAGTTTCCTCAGTGTTTGTCCTCTCTGATGACAGAGATGTCCAGCTATTGGCCGAGACCAGGAGGGCACGTCATCTCCATCAATCAGGGACTGCTGGTTCTCCTCTGAGGAATGTCCCCACGCTCGTGCAGCTGCCTGACCACGCGTTACTGGATGCACGAGAGGCCGGGCATGGAGCGAGAGCCCGTCCAATGATTATGCGGGAGGGGAAGAAGTGATAATGACTTCCTATCAAGAGTTAACGGCCGAAGGGGAGAGTAGCCCTCTGTTCACGGGCTGCTGCCGAGCCAAAGAGGTCATAAACCTGGACCCGGACTGCAGGACTCATCCTGAACTCTGCAGCCGTGGCGAGGAGGGGAAAGTTACCTCAGGATTTAACTCTCGGCAGCCCCACTACTTGACTCTCTCTAACAGTTTGACTCTGTGCTCGTCTTTGGACAGCCCTCCTCCTCCGCTTCCTCCCCCTGGGACTCTCGATGGTTTCTCGGCACCGGCCTGCCCCCACTCGTCCCGTGTCCCCTGGCGGCGTAGGGCGCAGGGGCAGGGCTCTCCAGGACGCGGATACTGCGCGTCAAGTAACGAGGAAACGGGACAAAGCGGGTTTGGGTCACCCACAGAGCAAATACAAATCTGCTCCCAAAATGGCCCCGAGATTCACGTCGACGTGGGGAGTTCTGCTACTTTGGACTGCGACGTAGCTGCCGTGGATGTAAACAGAAAAACTTTTGAGTGGATGAGAGTGAAGAGGAGCCAGCACCGGGCGGGTGAGTTTTTGTCACGACACACTGAGCACGAAGGGAGGGAGAAAGCAGCGTTAGACATGAATTTATGCAGGAACAAATGTCTTTGTGTTTATTCCAAGCTTGGAGAAACTTTCATTGATAGTTTGGAAAGTTTGATCCAAAGTTTTTTTTCTTATCGCTGAAAAAAAGAGAAAAATGCTGACGTTTTTCGCGTCACTGTGCATTTCCCTCTGTCACTATCAAACTAAAACAACAAAAACACAATATTAATGCAGATTTAACCTCCTGAAATGCAATGCAGCTGTATACCTGACGCCAAATTTGAATATGCACATGCAGACTCAGTTACTTTTCCCTCAACGGTGTCACGTTAATGCCTGTTTAACATATTCGCTCCACCTACTTTCACAAACAGGATCCAGTCAGTATAAACACACAATGAGAGCAAAGTACAGTAAAGGCCTGCTCAGCCACAGTGTATATTCAAACCCAGAAAAAAGATCAATTATTTACCCCTGCCCTTCCTAACCAGCAGCCTTTGAATAATGCATCAGACTAGTGGCTGTCCAGCCTCACAGGAAGTTGAGTAAAACTTACTCCTGTAAGCTGGAGTGCTGCCTGAGTATCGATTAGTTGTCTGTTTGTAATGAAAGCCCTTGCCTATTGATTTCAGTTTGCAGCACCTTTACATGTGTCCACCTTTTTAACATAATTGCTGTCACAGATCATCATTTCCCTGAGTGATGAGTTCTGGGCACAGAGCCCACAGAGGAACACATATCCCAGGCTTTAAATAAAAAAATACAGATAGCCTCCTAATGTGAAAAATGCCTATCAATCCTCAATTTTATGTGAGTTATAGTGTCCTATATAGATCCTTCATTTTGATCAATAGTGTCAGTTGACTGACTAGCCACTGTACTTGAGTTTGGTTTCATAAATTTTACATGGATGAAGATTTACTACAGAGGTGGTCCAGTCTTTTTTCTCTTTCTCTCTCTCTCCACAGTACAGTGTGTGTCTGTTGTGAGGAAGCTGCTGACCCAAATGTTCACTAAGCAAAGATACAGGTTAACCACACGCTGTTTATGGTCAGAGGAAGGCCCAAGTTCCTCTACAAACAGGAAGCTCCTGCAAACTGCACTGTAGTATGTAAATGATATCACTATGGCGCTGCGGCGTATTTGATTTGCAGCCCTCACAGAAGTAAAAATTCCAGCTGTTGACTTGAAGACATTTGATTTATCTCGACATACTTCAATGTGATTTCAGGCAGAAGCACATGCTGATAAAAAGGCACTCCAAAAATCAAATTAGCGTCAGTGATGGAGGCTCACACGCCTTGACAAACATAATTCTGTAATAATGATGATGCTCAATCAGAAACATTAGCAGGCTTACTATTAATTTTTCTTACATGTATAAAAATGAAAACATACAATGAAAACAAAAAGAGGCTCTTGAGTTTGGAATATTTCAAAGTCAAATGATGCATAAAAACTGACTGAAAATCTGGAGTTAATGAGAAGTGATGTTGACTAAGATATTTCACACAAGAGGTGAAACAATAGATAATTAACATCTTTCATTTGAATGGAATATTTTAAAAAGATGCAAAGTAAATATCAGAAGTGAAGATTTTGCTTAAGTATATTTAGGTCTTATATGATGCCAAATGACAGGCAGATACAAAAATAACATCCTCAAAAATCAGAGATGTGCACTCAAATATTAGATTTTAGTTATCCCAATGAAAAACAGACATAACACTTCAAATTTGTTCAAAAATATATATATGAGTGGTCTGTTGATGTTAACATCTTTAAAACATGTCAGTGTTTCATGAAGCAGGAGCACAAAGTGACAAAAACACACTCCCAAACTCAGGCTCATGGAGAATGATGTGCTCTCACACACCTTGATAACATTGTTCTCAGTTTTGGAGAAGACGCAGTGAAACACCATTCATTTGTCGTAAATATTACAAAAAAGTAGCAAACCTGACACCACAATGAGAGCTTCTCAATCCCTCTTACAGAATTTATAATAGCAGGTAAACATTTCTCTGATGATGCCACTCTGAGGGAGGTAAAGGTGACGAATACACCTTTAGCTGATCTCAGAGTGTGTTTTTATTCATAAAACGCATTAACCTCTCCTCTGATCTAAATCTGTGCACTTGAGAAAGCCATTTGCTCACAGCCGCCCACACACACACACACTCACACACACAGACATCTCTTTGTAGTACTGCTAGCATCTCTGTAACCTCTTTCTGCATCTCTCTGAAGGGGATCATCTGTAGGAGTAACTCATTAGCGCTACTGTGTAACTTGTAAAAGAGTCATTAGTGAAAGTATGCTTTCCTCTGGAGCTTCTATTGGTTTTGGCACCGAACAAAGTCTGGCGTATTCTTCCTGGTTGAAAGGCCTCCACAGACCTGCAGTAACCTGATCTCCTGGCTCAGTGTATATACTCCCAGTGCGTCATTCTTCAATTATGCTTTGACAGCACCTGAATTACTGTGGGCTGGATGCCCAGATGACTGAGGCAATGTGTATCGATCTATCCCTTTTCTTCTTCTCCTCTCCTTGGCTTGGGAGGCCCTCTTCCATTCCCTTTGCTGGCTGGCTATTTTTAAGCGTGCAAGTCATTCCTCAAATATTTAGTTTGATTCTTTTATGCCTTCTAGCTGGCATCAATTCTATTATCTTTGCAGCCATTTATCAGAATGTGCATGTGATTTGCACTCCAGAAAACTGAACTTCATAATCACGTACTGCTCCTTTTGTATCGGTTCTTCTTATCTGCTGCTGCCCTCTAATTCTTCCACTCACCCACCTTGACATTCATTTCCTTAAAACACAGATGTCGACATTTATCCTATAAGTGACCTTTCCATCTGCTATGCTTTTCCAAGTGGCTAGAGGCCTGTTAACCTTCCTCCCTGTGAATTGTGGTGGGAGAGATCGTAGTACACCTGGCACACTGACTCCATTATGTTGCAGCGACACATTTTCTCAGAGGCAAACACTCACTGACAACTTAGCCGCAATGTCAGCCGTGAAAAATCGGGATCTAGCTGCCATTCCTGTCATTCACAGCACATAAGCAGCGCAGACGATTCTGATACTTTCTGAAAACCTCAGAGGAAAAACAATGCAGACGTTTGTCATTAATGCAGAGTTTGAAAGGATTTCTAAACTGTTAGACAGTCATTGACACAGAAAGGCCTCAAGGCGAATTATTAATGATTCTGATGAAGTTAATGGTCTGCAAAGTTTTTATGCATCACAAAGCATTTCTACGTCTATACTTTCTGTATATCTTGAACATTTTGACATCTTTTCTTCTACTTTATCATGAACTTGGCCAAAATATAATATCAAAGCAACACCTTTACATTAAAATGCAGAGCTTTCCAATCTGTGGGGGTCAGTGCATGGTGTCGATTCTTATCTGCATTATTTTTCCAGGTTGCACCTTGTGGTGGTGTTGCATGAGATTGCGTTATACCGCACAGGTGTTTTTGTGATTATGTCCACCCCGGTAGATATTATTCTATTCCCCATGCACCTGTGCTCACAACACCAAAAGATTTCGCAGAGTCCCAGAGGACTGTGGCAAAAAGGTGATTCAGTGGCAAAACCCCATCTTTGATATTCAGACAGAAAAATGGCCTCATGTGTGGAGACCTTATATACACAAGCTGATTCAGGGGCAGATGCTACAATTCAGATTCTTGGAAATAATTTTTAAAAAAAGTTGAGTTCATCATTTTTCCACGGTTAAATACACACATGATGCTTTCTAATCTGCAGGCAGACTAATAACTAAATTTAATTTGATTTTTGAGGAGATAGGCAAAAGTTCTAAGAGTGGATAAGTGTTGTAAAAGGTTATTTCTCATTTATTAAAGAAGTGAGGTCTTTTATGTTGAGACTTTCTCATATAATTTTATGGATATGTACATGAATAGCTTTATTGTAAAGTATTTCATCACATCGCTCTCTCTGACGCCTTTTTTCATGTCCTTTTTCCAGTCAGGATGCACATGACCTCTGGGTTCGGTGTCGCTAACTCGGGCCTCAGCGCTGTAGAAGCTGTAAACGGAATCCTCTGCTCGGATGTCCATCCTTCTGTGAACGGGACCCCGAGGACCAACTTCAGCACCAGGCAGCTCACCGAGCTGGAAAAGGAGTTCCACTTCAACAAGTACCTGACTCGGGCACGGCGCGTGGAAGTGGCCGGCGCCCTGCAGCTGAGCGAGACGCAGGTCAAAGTTTGGTTCCAGAACAGACGCATGAAGCAAAAGAAATTACAGAGAGACGGACTGATCTCAGAGCCGGGGGTCGTAGCTGCAGTTGCGCACTTTCAGGCGGCGGACACTGCGGACAGCACCCCCTGTCACGGACCGAGCTTTTCTTCAAAACACCTGACGTTGAACTCTTGAGCCTGCAGATGTTTTGATTCCAGTTTGCATCGTGTTCAATCAGGCTTCACCTTTATTTGCTTACCCACGATGGATGGATGCTTATTGCGACAAGCGCCATGGCAAGTTTCTTCGTGCAAGAACAGGTCAAAACAATCACTCATCGTGCCCGGCTTCAGACTGGCGCTCTGATTTGAATATTAAAATCAAGTTATTCCATCGCTCTCCATATCTACACAATGTAAACGCAGAAACAAAATCATATTAATTGTCCATAGAGAGTGAGTTGGACTATTTATTTATTTATTTTGTGCAATTGATTTAGGAAGTATAACTCCAGTGGAATATATTTATTCTGCAGGGCGTGCGTCCTGGTTTTGTTTAAAATAACAAAAAGGAAAAATCGCCTTATATTTAGGCTTATTTAAAGACACACAAAGGACTTTAAACGTGTGATTTTATAATTGTTTTACCATATCTCTCTACGAGGTCTTGATCAGTCCATAAATTAAGTTTTATTTTCTTCTTATTTTAATTTTTTAGGAACAGCTTAGACTTCTGTTACAAATCGCGTGTGCGTAAACTCAACAGAAAATTCCCAGGCTGAAAAAAAGCAGACTTTTATTTTCTATCTTCACGTGTTTTCATAATAATCAGTCCCAGGCAGGATTAAAATGACATAATTGACTGATAGATTTATTGACGGCTCGTATTAAACGTATCGATCCGTGGTGATCCATCCATTTGGAGGCTCAAAAACGAGGAGCCCTCGCGTGCATGTGTAACTGCATGTTAATGGAATGTAGAAACGTCACGATAGGGAGCTGTTGCGTCTTTTATTACCACGATACATGCATCAGAAAATGATCATTTAGCCTGAAAACTCATGCGGGAGGGCAGACAATAAAACGCTGTCTGTGCTGTTTTGCGCATCAACCAATAAATTGCGCGCGTGGCCCCAGCAGCTCGTGGAGCAGATTCAAATCTCAGCTCATATAAAGTAAATGATTGTAAACCCGGCCCTTAAACACTGTTATGTTCCCGGTCTGCCAGTGCGTCTCTGTCGTGATGATGTCTATTCTAATATCTAGAAATGATCCGTCAGACACGTTAATTTTATGTGGGGAAATATTGTTTAGCTTTCAATTAGCGTGTGTTTGCACTTATATTAATGTTGTTCTATTTCCTAGAGGGGTATTAATGACAACAAAGGATTTACTACGAAGCAGCTGGGGATTTAAAAGATAAAAAGCTACAAACAAAATGATTTAATTATGTCCCTTTTAAATCTTTAACAGGTGTCCTCCTGCACATAAAACACTTTTAATAAAATAACAATTAGACACTTGCTCCTCTGGACATGCAGGCTGCAGGGGAAAGCTAATATATGCACTTACACCAGAGTTCACCCCTCACCTCTTGACCTTTGTCTTGCCTCAGGACAAGGATGACCCGGTCAGTGACTCCGAGAGAGAAAGATGCTTCATTATAATATGTGTGACCTCCAAATCTCAGCTTTTTCTCTTCCTTTATTTCTTTCACCAGTTTGTTCCTTTTCACCAACAACTTCGGATGCTTTTGTTCTGCTGGCTCTCTATGTCCACACAATATTTCATCGTGCTGAATAGAGGGGGCGACCAGGCTATATGATAATTGTTCATATTATAATTCCATACCAGACCTGCATAATGTGTTTTTTTCCTGGAGCTAACCTAATTTTTGCCCTATCTCTTATTTTAATAAGCAAAAAATATGCTACTGGCTCACTTTATAAACTGGATGAAAGAGTCTCTTCACACAATCAGGTTTTTGGAAATAAACTGCAGACCTATTTTTAATAGCAAAGTTGAAAAATTAAAGCTACTGGTGCATACTTAACTCTTAATGTGATTCCATGTCAGGACCAGCAAAAATAAAATTTAGAGCAACTATCCATTACATACACGTTGCTTATTCATTTCATGCATATGTGGTCGGATCATTTTTTTTTTAAAGTAAGGCATAAATCCTTCCAAACAATATATTTTAAGCTACTCTTTTTCATTAATATTTACAAGAGCTTTAAGGAGTAAAGTTGAAAAAACTTGCAGGTCTACAAAAAACTTTTAGACCCTAAAAAAAAAAAAAAAGAGAAAGTTTTTTGTAATTGATTAAAATGACTCACATGTGAGCAAGACTAAAAACTGTGCTCTGCCCGATTTATTTTACATTTGCATTTAAACAAATGACATCCTATTAAGGCCGACTCTCTGTAAACAAAATAGTACAAAGTGGAATGTTTAACAAAACCATCGAATGTGTCCTTCTTTCTAATGCAAATCAGAGTGCACATGTGAAGGTTATGAGGATGAGGAGGAGGACAATGATGATGAAATGTGACGACAAGCCTGGGAGTCTAAAAACGTTTTTCCCCATGTCCACTGTCCCTCCTGAGGAGTTTGTGAGTTTGGCCTCATTACAAACTCTTTTATCATATTTTGCAAATTTGTCCCCCCCTGTTACAAAGCTCCACGGTCGAGGCTGTATGCTTGCAGCAGAAATAAAACAATTCAACACTTATTTTACTTTAATGTATACTGTGTTATAGATTGGCTTAGAAATACACACCGATTTAAAATAGTAGCAGGAAATTGTGCAGAAATAAACAGCTACACGTAAATTATAGGGAGAGGGTGAAGGTGAGAGAAGAGTTGATTTATACAGGGTGAACTATCACTTTAATTTCATCCCGTGGCAGCTTCAGCATTTGCCTCTCAATTGATGGAAGGCAAAACCGCATTGTTTGTTCAGACCTGACATTTAGTTCCAAAGCGTCTGAGTGTGACTCCACTCTGATGAATTTGTGCTCTTCTGTAATTTCTTCCTGAAGATGTACGGTTTGTTCGCAAGACTGACAGCTGTGCTCTGCCCGTATACATAAGGTGAATGAAGGGGGAATGAAACCAAAACAACTAATCCTACAAGTCCTCCTTACCTCTACATTTCTTTTTCTTTCCTCCGCAGGGGAAATGTATGCCTAACTCGGCTTTAGCTCCTTTATTTTAATCAGGAGGAAACATTTTTATGATGGAGTGGAAAACCTCAGAGAGCCTTTGTAGAAGTGAAATTACCTGCTTCATTTTGAAAGTAAAACCTCAGAACTGAGATGTCAAACTCAAACCACTGATGTATCGGTTCATGATAAATGCTCATATTGACAGTCTCAGCTTTTGTCTGTGTTTTGTTTGGTTTTAGCTGATGTGGGCAGCTGTTCCCGAGGAGTGCAACATGACAGAACATATGTGCCTTGTACAGAATAACTCGCAATGCATTTGAAATTAACACTTATAAGTGGTTCCCTCTCAGATCGTTGTAATTAATGCTTAGTTGACAAAAAATTAACTTAATGCATAATATGCATGTAATATCCTCACCGGTGCTCAGGGGAATGAAACCAATTGATCAAGCTAGGCTCTTTCTATCTCAATGTGAAGCACATATAGATAAGTTGTTGTTGTGATTGCAAATCATTTGAATGTTCCATTTTAGCTTTCTGCTTGTCTGATTTTACTGTTTTTCTTTATTTGCACAGACTTTCATGCACTATTAGTCTTTTTCACCGAGCTCATTCACAGATTTGACTACCAAACAATTTGTACATCAAGAAAGTTGAAATGAGGTGCACCTGTTTTTTTTTTCCTCTCCAATGTGTGTGTGCCTATGCATATGTGGATGCCCTTTGTATACAATTACTCAAATATGTGTTTTGTTTCCTAGGTGCTACTAATAAAGCGCTCAAAAAGATACAAAGCACCTATTTGAATAATTGTACGCTCGCACACACATGCACAAACATGCACACACGCTCAGATACAAATCCATACATAACACATTCTGACAACAACATGCACACCAATCCCAGTCCTTGCCTCTCCTCTCCTGCTCCGCTCCAGGGAGCAGATGTTTGGGGACAGCTTACAGCCTCAGCGAATTTCTATGTACAAAGCAAACAGGCGCACTCAGCACTTCTGGCTGCAAAGGGAAATTTGCTCTTGAAAGCACGGGAGGAGTGAGGGAGGGGGGCTTTGAGTCAATGTAAGGTATCGTGGGGTTGAGAGAGGAGGGGGTGAAAGGGTGAGAAGGGGTGCATGTAGAGGTGAAAGTGTGTCAAGTGTGTTGCACGGGAAAATTTCCTGTTTCCTGTTTTGTATGTTGGCGCAACATCACGTACATTATATAGTATCTCTGTTGCACCATGCAGCATCAAAACCAATCAAGCAAGGTGGCCCCTGCTACATACCTGATTGTATGCAGTCTCGGTGACCTCTCCCAAGCAGCTCTGTCTTCTCACTAGTTTGGATTGCCCTTTCAAAAGTTGCAGACAAGCATAAAGTGAAGGGAATAGAGGCAAAACAAGGGGATGTGCCTTCACCGAGTTTGCTGATACTGCACATGAGATAACCTAGGAGCAGCTATGCTAATGATGCCATTGATATAATCCACTGATTTAATGGCACTTGCCCTGTGATGGTATGCTGCATATTTGTGCCCTCAGGAAAATTGCTTTATTGCTTTTATAAAATTCCTTCCTCAAGCTGACTTGATTTTATTCTTTCATTATGCCTTTAAACTTTGGTGTACAATAAAGAAATATCTTCATCAGTAATTCCTTTAATTTTTTCCCCTTTAAAATGTTTACATTGTATGCTGAACGCTCTTATTTTGAAAAGCAAACAAACTCCTGTTCAAACATAACACCAAGCGCAGACATTTTGACCTCCAATCAGTGTATTATTTTCCCGAAACAAACCATCATAAATGAGCCCTGCAATGCTTATTTGTCTGAACGAAGGCGCCCCCCCTCCTCCTCCAGCCCCTGGGGTGAGGTTGCCATAGTGACAGATTCACAGACATATGGAGGAGAGCGGCGAAAGGGGCGGGGCTGCAGGGGTGAGGTAGAGGGGAGGCAGAGGAGAAGGGGATGGGCACCGGTTTGAGGACGTTGGCGCTCTGTCTTTCAGATGTCTCTTTGTGTTTCATCTGTCAATCAGCCATCCGTGTCAGTCTGTGCTCAGCGAAGGAACAGTTCATGAACTTTTCTCAATCAAGTCTCTGTCAGCCGCCATCTTGGCTCTGTTCCACAAAGCAGAGGATTGATTCACGTGTCGTCTGCACAGCCCCCAAAAAAATGACTGTATGTACAGGAGCGCTGTAGGTCAACAATTCAGCGCCGATGTGAACAAGTCAATCGATTTAAAAGTCACTTTTTTGTTTTTCTAGCCTGACCTATTAACATCAGAGAGACAAACATACAGATGTAACCCACTTCACATGACTAGTTAACCTTTCTGCCAACCTGAGGACAGCTGGACAGAGGGGAGGAGCAGGTGAGGGGTCTATGATGAAGCAGAAACTGGGATTGGTCATGTTGCCTCAAAGGTACATTTCTAGTAAGCATCTTATGCAGAGAGGGAAACCCAATCTCACTTCAGTTTCATCTTCATCGTCACTCCTCTCAGTGCTGCTGCTTCTTTCTTTCCTTATTTATCTCAAACTGTTTCTCAAACAAGCCCTTCTTCCCTTCCTGTGTTTCTTTACCTGTGCACCATTCTTCTCTTCTTCTTCCCTCCCTCCGTGTCATCCATCTCCCCCCTTGCCCGTGCCTCTGCTGCCTGCTCTCCAACTGATATGAAAGTGACCCTCAGGCCCTCAGGGGTCAAGTGATACAAGGTCATTGGCAGGTCATCTCTGCTGACTGGCTGACCTCTAAAAGGACTTCTGGAAGGAGCCAATGAGATCTCACTGTTCCCCTCCCTAAGGCGGATCCCCCTCCTCGGCTCATCAGCAGCCGGTGTCACATGACCAGGGCAAGGCGTCAGAGGGAGGATGATTAATGATGCTTTTAGTACCTGTTTAGAATGAAGCTGTCCACACCGCACTGTAATTACCCACTCCCAGGCGGCAGCTGCCCAACATAATTGCTTTTTGTTTGTTGACCTGGTTTATTGAGGAGAAAGATGGCTTTGGCTGGGTAAGATGGAGCCGGGTACACCATACAGAGGTGAGGACGTGTATATGTTCAAAATTTGAGGAATCTGTGTGTGTGTGTACGTTTGAGATCCATGTGTGTATAGATAGCGGGGATATGAGTGACACAAAAGTGCTCAAGGCCCTTTACTAATAACCCATGTCGAAGCAAATCAAATTATATTTGTGGTTATGGTGTGTTGCTGACAAAAGCCAAAGAACTAAGAGACATAAATTCCTGCTATTTCAGCTCAAATGTAGCCACAGAGCTCCAGCACAAGGTTACAGCAAACCTCTGAAATACACAACTCGCACAGGTAAAGATGGGTGTGTTCTGTCATGCATAATTTATGTCAGCATCTCAAAAGCCAAAGCACAGTGTTGCTCTGAAAATTCAACACTAAGTTCAGAAGGTCAATGACATACCGCTCTAAGAACCCCCCCTCCCTCTTTGGCTATATGCCTAAAGCAAATATGAAAATTTCAGTACCTGCGGTGCATGCCATGAGGACAGTGACAATGAAACCCAGATAAACAGCCCCTCGTTTGACCTATGGAGAGCATAAATTTACTGCCCATAAATCCTTGAGCGTTTCAGCTCTGTTTGGTGCATTTGCCGGGCCTCTCTACCCAGACAGAGAGAGGCGAGCTTGGGGTATCAGCTCTGCTGTATGAGCAGCTTTCATCCTGCTCCTGGTTCTCACATAACTCAGTCCTGCAGCCTTTATCACCGCCTCATAAATAACTAGGCTATCGCCTGATAATGTCCGCTTAATGCTTAGTCAATAAAGCCCACAGTAAGAGGGGCCTTTTTTAGCCTCTCTCCTGTACATAAATATAAACAGTGCAGTAGATTGATGTGATGGGCAGGCTCTCTTTGCACTGGGACAAAAAGAGGCAGCATGTGGGCCCAGGAGCTGAAGGTGGGCTGTGGGGCTGCAGGTGTTTAGAGGAGATAGTGGGCTGTAATGAGGGGGCTGCAAGAGAAGGGCTGAGTGGATAGCCTTGACTGATCACCTGTGAAAGGCACATACACGCATATACACACAAATGATAGCGCACAGACACTAATGCACATGTACACAGAGGCACAGTCATTCACACACCCACACACACACTAATGCCATCATTAGTTAACCCATTGGTGTTGATGCCTGGTGCACAAAGCTCATCCTCCCTATTTGAAGGGCATGAGAGCATTATGATAAAGAGACTCCTGAATGAACTGCTTTTTGTATCTTGTAAGCATCTTTTCTTAATCTGTTGACACTTAACAAAAACAACCTCATGCTGCTGCCACCATAGAATGATATCCAGGGATGTGAGTTGTCTCATTGTCTCGGTGTGCTGCAGCGCAGGGACAGCTATCGACCATCCGCACCAGTCATCAGACCATCCAATTCCAGTGTGGAGCCAGGGGCAGCTGTAGTCTGCGTGATGGCTGGATTGGGATCAGACTGAGCCCTGGGGGAGACAGCCCAGACTGACAGGGACGTTGCCGGGCTGAACTGAGAGGGATGATTGTGATCCATGAGTCAGACAGAGCAGCAGCACCTGGGCTTGAAGCAGCAGCTGGGAGAGATGGAAAGTGAGTCCAAAACAAGAGGGATGATGCAACCAGGTTGTATTGACATACATGCTGGGGTACATTCGGTGGTTTGGTTGTTAAATGACTTGACTTTATATGCAATTTATAAGGCCAGGTTCTGCTAATTAACTGAACCAGGCAGACATTCCTGCTTAATAATGGTCTGAATCCAAGTCATGTTGTAAAATCATGAATGCAGAAGAGAGGGGCATTCGTTCTCCATTTGTTTTTGAGTCATTTTGGGAATACTTGTTCTCTTTTATTCGTGCTTTGATTATCTTGAAATAAATACAATAAAGCTGCTGAAAGAGAATTTGTGCCTCCTTGTCATGTCCAAGCTTGCCAAAGATGTTGCTGATCCACCCTACATGGACTCAAGTAATCCTATTTATTGTTTTTTTAAACATTATTTTTTTTTTTTGTTTGTGCATGAAAATATCTTACTCTTATTTTAGAAAGCATGATAATCTTCATTTGGATAAACTTGGTTCTGCAGGTAGATTGGATACTGCGGCACGTGCCCTTACCCAGATTACTGACAGCTGCTGACTATCTACAGCCTTGGCTTGGTGACATATCAGCAAAACACACATGGTGGCAGCAACAAGAGGTGATACTTTTGAATTTACAAAGAAACTGAGTTTTGTCTTACTGTGGAAAATATCTTGATTCATTGCTCTCTTGTCCTACAATGTGACAATGACAGAAACTCTGATACTGGTCAGAGTTAAGGACATGTTTAATATTTGCTGCTGCACTATTTCCTCAGTGCTAAAAATTAGATGGATACATCATATCTTCAAGCTTAGGTTGGCGTTTAGTAATGTTAAGTCTGTCATAAGCCACAGTAGTCTCAAAAATATATATATCACAGGTGCCTGCACAGAAAACATGCAGCTGCAGATAAACTTCATGTAATGGAAAAAAAGTGTAATCTTTCACCCAAAACAATAAAGAGAAAAGGTCTCTCTTTAAAGTCCTTCTCCAATCATTTTTTTTTTTTTTTTTGCTTTTTTTTTTACTACTTAAAGTGTTATCAGTGGTCTGTAAATTGGGATCATGAAGTTTTTTATTTAGCTAAAATCACATTACCTGTGTCATTTTCAAGGGCTTTTCTTCTGCAGAGCTCCAGTAGCTCATCAGCAATTCGCTTCTGAGTCGTGGGCGGAGACAACGCTGCTCTGCACACATCACTTCACATTTCTCCTCACACTAGCTTGTAGCCTAACATTATCAGTGTAATAGAAGAAGCAGGTAACATAGGAGCTATTCAGCTCCGGGACACTAACATCTTTGGGAACACAATGAAAGATAATACCATAATTAGCTTTCTTACGAGCATTGCAATCCACTAACACAGGTTTCTTCAGCAATCATCCTCTCTACTTTAGCGAGTCTGGCCTGCATAGCGGGGCTCCGGGGGCGGAGCTTGGTTTTGCTACATAGGAAATCTCACGGTGTCTGAGTTTGGGTTCTCAAGAGATTCACAGCGATTTGAATGCAGAAATACTTAGAAATGTAATTTTGCACTTAGTTTTCTCATGATATGTCCTGTAGCATCAGAAAAGTGCCAAATGAACATTTGAAAAACAAGAAAAACATGATTTTCATCTGAGTGAGTCTTAAACCACTCTTGGATTTCTCCAGATAGCAATCTAATGTCTCAAAACTGGGATAAGACTTTATTCTGAGATCAGGATATGATGTGTACATTCACAAAACACAGAATCAGACTTAAAAAATCAATACTTACATACTTTAATCATGTTAACACACTTAACTGTTCTGAAGTTGAGCAATGCAGTAAAGATAGAAATGAACTATGTCTCTAATAATACCTCAACAAAGGCATGGGGCATTTTATACCTCTCAGAATAAATCCCAAAGCATTTAAGAGGAGTCAGATACCAGAACACTGTCATTGTGCAGCGATGATTTAGCAGATGACACTGGTCAATGTAGGTTCTCATTTTTTCTGTCTTGA